CACCGAAAAAACGGCACCGTCGTCACCGACACTAGCGGCACCATATTTTATTTTTAATATCTAATTTTTGAAAATCCGCCGAGGCCACTTCATTCGCGATTTGACGGCGCGCGACGCGACGACGAGGACCACGACGACGCCATGATGTTCGCGACGACACGGCGTGAGGCCGACTGAAAAGCCGCCTCGTCTCTCACGAACGACGCCTGAAATCGCTGAAGTTTCAGGTGGCGATGTGCAGCGGCTCGGCACGCGACGTGACCGACGCCTGAAACTGCGATTTCAATCGCGCCCGAAGCCACTCTCGTATGGAAATTTCCCTTTTTCGACTTTCCTCGCTCATAATAAAAAGGCGATTATTAATTAGGAAGCGAAAAGTGCGACCAATACAAATTTTTCGAGACGTTCTAAAATATCAGCCAGCCACCAATCTTCCGAAAACTTAGCAATAAACAAGGAGATAACGACAGACTAAGTAAGTACTCAAGTCGTTAAACATTAAGCGACTCAAATCCCAACCAGAGAAGACTGGAAAAATGGCCCACGGTAGAAATAATAAGGATCTGGAATATGTACACCCGGGAGGGCCAGCACGCAACAGTGGCCACGAAGGCCACAAACCCATGCTTGGGCCAGAATGTGGAGGGGCACAACCCATTGGAAAACCAGCCATCATATGGAGAGAACGAGAAGAATGCCAATGGTGGAAAGGCATGCCAGAACAAAATTGCTCCAAATTTACAGCACGCTTCTTAAGCTACAAAAGAACAGGAGTTAAGAATAATGGCATGTCTACTGTAGCCTTAACTTAAGGCTAATGCATCATCAATAAATATACAGACGGGAGACAAATGCGCACTCAAAGATTAGACTATAATGATTACGTAAAGGATACTATAAAATCTGAAAATGGTATTTTCACGTTTCTGAAATCGGCAAAACCAATTAACCTCCTAACATGTTATGCTCCAGGCATTATGCTGCAACCTGAAAACTCATATAACTTTCTTGCAAATCTTAAATGATTTTTTTTGTACAGTTTTCTTATCACATACCAATTGAAATCAAATTTTCAAAATCCATAATCGAGGAAATCGGGTGGAACTGCAAAACATTGAAAGTGATTGTGGAAATATGATATTTGAACATTGTCAAAAAAATTGTGAATTTTTGATATTGTATAATGGAAGATTTTAAAATTTTGATTGAAAAATTCACGTCGGCATTAAAATTAAAACTAATAAAAAGTAATATTTTTATTATAGTAATATAAAGTATAATAAATAAATCTCAACTTATATTTTTGCATCACTTGTCCTTTTGCAAACGAACGAGTCTGGCAGAGATAAGATACAGTCTGATTAACAATCGAGCAGGATTGATTAAGCATTATGACGTTACTTTTTCACAACTTTCAAATTGGAATTAGTGATTCTTGTTGGGAAAAATAAATTGAATTAATATGGACTCAAATTGTTTCATAGTATTTTAGTATATTTTAGTATTATGAAATAAAGTGAACTAATTTGAACTGAAGTTACTTCATAGTATTTTGGCATTATGGAACCAACTCCATCAGCTATGTAAATGTTATTTTTAGTTATTTAAATTTAAAATTAGTTAATTAAATTATTAAGATTCATTAGGTGCAGTTCTGCTGCCACTAGCTGCCCCTCCAGCCACAGTTGACAGAAAACGTGTTGAAAATATAGCGAAAATAATGCATAGATATGGTAACGACTGACATTTTTATTTTGAGAAAAATTAGTAATTAAATAATGAACTTGTGCACAGGTTCAATTTTAAAACCAAAAACATTTAAAATAATATTAAACACCCTGTATATAAACGAACACAAAATATGCCACGAACTAGTTTGCAATAGAGAGAGACGAATCATCTGAAAACGGTGACTGCTGTGCGTAGTGGAAAAACGATAAATATTAGTGAAGATATGAAGGCACTATTTTCTACTCTATTTTTCAAAATTAGACAGAAGTTGCAAGCTATCAAAAGGACCGAAGAAAAATTTGTGCTTAAAGTGTTCATACATACATGGAAAGCAAGTAGTAGAAAATGCGCTTTTAGCAATTGGACAATTATCCGAGGAGGCTCAAGATAAAGAGATAAAGAACCATCGTGAAGATTTCTCTCGAAAGTTTTCTCGTGTAAAAACAATGCAAGATGTTTTCAATAGACTTGTACCCTCAGATGTTTATATCTATAGCCTTAGCAAGCTTCCAAAGAAAAAAGAGAAACAATTTTCAGCCGAAACACTAGAATGCTAAGATGCTCAAGATTCTCAACCTCTCAGAATAATAATTAGTTAGTAGTCCTTAAACTTACCTTAACCCATATTATCCCAAGCATAAAAAAGAATAAAAAAATCCTTTTTTGCTCTGAAATTATTTATTTTGTTGCATTTAAGAATACAATACATATGTCAAAAAAAAAAACTCAAAACATTCAAAAAAATACTGGTGCGTAAACGAACCAGTGGGAAAAAGCATTAAATAATGTTTTGGGGCACATAAGATACTTTACAAAGCATGAAGTATGTAAATGCACATTACACTTATTACAAACGTCAACTGTGCGGCTGTGACCTTGATTATCATAACGCACATCATCTATGGCATATTTTAGTTTTTAAAAGTCGCAAAGCAATGTAAGATTTAATATCAAATCAATCACTTCGTCATCAAGTGGAGTTTTTCCAGAAAGCCTATTTTTTAGTTCCTCACATGATCTAAATTCATCGGATATAGGTGTGTGAGTGTACTCAATCTGACCTTTCTTCCACTTGACAGTAGAAGCAAGCCTGTCGTTTGCAGAAAGCATACGTCTTCTTTTGAATTCCAGGGTTTCATCATCTGATGAGTTCCATTCAGGTTCCGTAATTGATGAATTACAGGACCGTTGAAGGACAGCTGTATCATTCGGTGTATGTAACTCGAAACTTCCAACTATATCAGTTGGTTCCCCAAACATTTGTAGATTTATCTTATCGTTCATATCTTCTTCGTCAGTCACGGTATCCGCGTCGGGTGGAATATAGACCGCGTCAATATGTTCTGAAAATATTTTTTCACGTTATTTTTAACATAAATTTACAAGTAATGGAATGCTACAATACATCAGAATACGTAAATCCAAATAATACCTACAACTTTCATTGTTATTGTCCTCATCCATCACGATCTCCTCCATAGCCGCCTCTAATTCCTTTTGAGTCAAATACCTCGGAAATGCCATATTTTACGAACTGTAATGTTCACTGCACAAGGCACAAACTAATACTAAAGAACACTCTAATTGGTGGATGTTTATTCTAGATGCGCTGACTTGTAGTTCTTATTTATTTTAACAAACTTTTGTTTCATACATAAAATCAGTAATGCATTCACGCACCAATAAATATTTTCAAAAAATAAAGCATAATCAATATAGTATTTCCAATGTATGTTTTCTGCGATATAATCTACACGCTATAGACTTAACAAAAATGGCAACACAAATCCAAAATATTTTTTTTTACTATTTTGGATTTACTTGAAAATGTGATACAATTTATGTACCGCATTTGTTAAATTTTGAAGTCATATATAAGATCATTCCTTTACCCATAAATTAGCGATTTCTACGGTTGTATGTCCTTTAGTAGTGACAATAATAAAATTTCTAAATGGATGTGCAAAAATATTTTCTGGATGTGTGCATTAACGCACCATTGGGACAAAATGGGTTAACTAACTAACTAAAATACTTAAATGTCTTTTAGTTTTGGTTAATTAAGGCACGATTTGTAAATATTTTCTAAATTTATTCCATTATTTTTATTACTTATTACATAAACATCAGGCAATTCGCTTTTGCACCTGAAAAAAAATGTTTCCTAATGTTACTTAAAATCGTCCCAGTTTAATTCATTTTGTTCTATTCATTATAGAAAAGTAAACAAAAGGGGCGAAAGCAATTTAATGTAGTCGTAGAATTTTTAAAATCGACTCACGAACTCAATTAATAAACTTTCCTCCTCAATCTCGTTCGGGTAACCGGTAAAATTGGATGGAACGCGAATAATGTCCCACGGGCGCCATCTCTCAGTCAGCGAATGAAACTCAAAACAGAGTCACTGGCTAGGCAATGAATAAAAGAGGATTCTCCTTTCTGACGGCTCATTTATATATTTATAGACAGGAATGGATAGAATTAAATTTTCGAAAGAAAATTGAGGAGAGTGCTTATTAGTGTGAAAGCGTGAAAGTATGAAAGATCTACGAAAACGACCAAACTTTTCTTTCGAAACATTAGCAATCGATCAAGTTCTTCAATAGTTAAAGCACTTAGATAATCGCTAACATACGATTTTCTACATACAAAATACTACGAAATCTGAAACTGGTGGTTTCATATTTCCGAAATCGGTATAATAAAAGCTCCAATATAATAAGAAAATATGAGATATATTAAATCCAAAATTGACACCATAAAAGGTTTGTGCTTTCTTTTGTGAAATTGTCACGAATAGGATTTTCTCATAAATGTAAACAGAATTTGTTGCAAGTCCATTTATTCCAAGATTCTTTTCCTAAACACCCCAAAAAAATTTACTTTTAAAACCAAATTTTAAATGTAAACTTGCGAAGGCACACAGGAAATCGAGAAGCTGAAATATAGAAGTTTCTAAGCAGCAAAACTAATTTTCCTCTATTCGTTACTGAAAAGTAGAAAAAGAGGACGAAAACGATTGAAAGCGATCGTTGAATTTTGAAATTTGGAGTCGAGGTAGAACTAGCGAACGCGAAAAGACGCGGCACCATCTCTCGGTCAGCGGACGAAACTCAAACGGGCGGCTAGAGGCTGTTAATCGTGGTGCTTTTTATTCTCCGAATCCAAAGTTCTGGCAAATCTTTTGTCGAATCGTTAACAACCATTTATTGAAACCATATTTGACCGCCATTTTTCGACTGAACCCGAATGATCAGCGGGAATCCGCGAGCTTCTTCGCGTGTTCTTCGCCGCAAGGTCACGTACACTAAAACCCGAACACTTTGTATAAAACGGCGCGACGAAACGTAGAGCGTTTCATTCGTGCAAGCAGCATGGGAAAGTTAGAGTCGATCGCGTTGCTTCTTTGTCTCCTCGCTGGTGAGTTTTTGACAGTTCCACCGTATAAGTTTGATCGCGTGTGAAAGGTGGCGCCCCACGCGAGGGGTAGGAAATGCGACGGACCCTCTTTAAGTACCGCGAAATGAGCCTGATCGCGAGGCAAATATGATGAAAGTACGCGATATCGTTGAGAAGCGCTTAAATTCGCAAAAATTAAATCCTAGGCGCTTTATGCATTTCATTTTAATTTTTTCTAATTTGATACTTATTTAATGCCGTTTTCGCCGTGACCTCAGGCTATGACACGACGGTTTCAAGAATCACTTTCACAAATTCAACCGACGCGATTAATTGTTCCCCAACGAACTTAACATATCGTAATTCGCGCAAGCGCCTAGCTTCAGCTGAAATTATTACACCGCGTCGTGCTGCCCGTATATTTATGCTTTCTCTACTGATTGTTTTTTTTTTTTTAATTACCAATCAATATTAGTTATTATTCAAAACAATTAGGTTTACTATGGATATTTAACAAAAAATATTAAATAATTAAATAAGAACATTAATAATTTTAGCGGAGAAACCGGTGAATGTCACTTATTTCATATTTTAGAAAAATTGGAATAATGTCCACGGTGTTATTTGATATGTTCGCTATTTCACTATTCTAACGGTAAAAAGTTGCTACAAATGTGTGGTCTAAGAGGGTCAAAGGTTTTAGTTGTACTTTTGTATAATTTCCTAAATAATGGCGATTCCTGAACAATTTGTACCTGTAGATTTTTTGTAATAAATATCAATAAAATTTTTACGTATGGTTGAACAGTAATCATAAAAACAACGTTTTTTAAATGGAAAATTTTACCTGACACCACCATCAAAAGGTTTTGCAAAACAAACTTACTAGATGTTTCTTAGAAATACATTATAAAACTGTTGCTTCTCGCGCCCTCTACACACGCAAGCTATATTAAGAACAAATTCAAATTTCGCATGTCAAAAAAACCCACGTATCAATTTTCGTTCCAAAATCGGCGTTATTTAGGAAATTTAACGAAACTTTCACTAATGAAATTAATTTTGATTATTTAATTTCAGGAGTGAAGCGATAACTGAAAAATTATTTGTTGCTTTGTTTTCAACACATGGGGCGTCAAAATCAATTTTTTATTTTATTTATCAATACGTCCGGCGTATTTTAATATATATTATTCATATCAAATGCACCCTTATCTAATCCCAGTTTCTGCATATTTTTTATCAAAAAACTTGGAATGAGGAAAAAAGAGAAGAAGTGTTTTATCCTTTGAAGTTATATTTTTGTAGTTAGATTGACATATTGTGCAACTTTTGAAGCTTCCGTTACGAAATATTTTTACCCAATGTTTTTGAAAAATTATAGGATTTAAAGGAAAAAACACAAATGAATACAATGAAATTTATATTTATTTATTTATATGTATTTATCTTGTGCGTTGTTCTGAGAACTAAATTGAATGGATATTTTTATTGGCATTCTCGGAATTGCTAAATACCGTATTTGGATATTTCTTGATATGTAAATTGTACATCACACACGCACAATGAATTATTATAAAATACGTATCATTATTAAAATATGATAGATAACACTCTACAATTGTTATTTAAAACATTTTGATCGAAGAAATGGTCAATTGACTAGTCCCAACTCAATTAAAAGACACTAACGCATGAAAAGTAATAAGTTAAATAACAACATAAGTTGCAATTCCTCTAATCAGTGGAGATATTATAAATACGCATTTTAAAGTGCCAAGAGAAAAATTCTATTTTAACTAAAAGAAAATTTGGTTAACGAATTGACAACATTTTTGTGACACCCTATATATTGCAATCTTCAACAAGTACGGGTCGAATGACACGAAACGTTTCAGCTTTCGCGTCCGCGGCGTCGTCGTCGTCGCGACGGAACCAGGGTCGAAACGTCGAGGAGGATGACGCTCTTACGTCGGACGAGTGTCCGGAACCGAACGGATATTTCGCGGACGCGGAGCAATGTGATAAATATTACGAATGCCGGGACGGACAAATCACCGAAAAACTATGCCCGGACGGGATGGTTTTCAACGACTTCAGCACCGAGTACGAGAAATGCGACCTGCCCTTCAACATCGACTGCAGTCAACGGTCCAAATTGCGTAAGTAGAGGAAGAGGACGCCGACCTAAGGGTAGCGTAGAAAGGACACACCACAAAATACGCAATTTTAAACTTTCCTACCTTGATGTGTCGTGTTTTATCTTGAAATTTTACATTAAAATTTCAAGTTTTATCTCAAAATTTGAAAATTTCGTGTCTGATTTCGAAATTTAACCTTAAAATTGCTAAAAAAAATTCATGTTTAATAACAAAATTTTAAAATTTCGTGTCTTGTTTTGAAATTTTGCCTAAAAACTTCATGTTTCATCTCTCAAAATTTTACATAAAATTTTAAAATTTCGTGTTTTAACCATACCGAAAAATTTCATTCTCACACAATTTTAAAATTTTGCGTTTTTACTCGAAATTTTATCCTAAAACTTGGTGTTTGATCTATATTTGATTCTACGGTCAAAGGTATATGGCTATAAAAACAAGTGCTGAACATACGGACGAAAGGTGCATAGCCTAAAATAATTTTCATTTTTATAAGATTGCGGTTTATATTTATAATGGTTGGAAATTTCTTCATTTGTCTCACATATTTGGGACACTTTGTGCGGAGCTGGCAGATTTAATATAGAATAATAATAATAATAATAATAATAATAATAATAATAATAGAATATTATTATGTATACATTTTTTGCAAATGTTAATGATAAGAAAACTATTGTTTAAATATAACTCTGCGTAACCTTACTTTTTAAAGCATTTATCGCACATCGTGTATACATAAAAATAATATTAGGTTTGCCACTTCACTACAATGTGCAAAAATGTTTAGTTATAAATCGAAACATCACTCCAAAACTAGATAATACGAAAATTGCAAGTTATTAGTCGAAATTTTGGGTTGTAACACAAAATTTCAAAATTCCGACCGCTAAAACGAACCTTTAAAATTATCAGTTACAAGTCGAAATATCAGCCTAAACTTCGGTTCGTTATAAAACGAACTTTGAAAATTTCGTTGTTAAAACGTACATTGCGTGCATATTTTTGTAGCGCTTCTACGCCTTCGTACAATGACGTTCGTTTCGCAGAGCAACCCCAACCGACGGAGCACTGTCCAAGGAAGAACGGCTACTTTGCGCACGAGGAGCGTAACGTTTGCGATAAGTTTTACTACTGCGTCGATGGCAAATTCAACATGATCACGTGCCCCAATGGACTGGTCTACAACGAAAATGCTGGCATCTGCTCGTGGCCAGACGAAGCCAAACGCAAGGGTTGCACTTCCGAAGGTAACTCGAGCAAAAAAATCTAAATTTCCAAAAATACTAACTGAAAAATTAAAACTAACTAAAACAAAGAAAAAAGAAATTGCTCAAAAATATCCACCAAAAAACTAAAAACTAACTAAAAAATAGAAATTCGGACTATCGCTTATTTATTTTTTATCATTGAAATACGACCTTTCTTATTCTAATGGTCATCATTATCTATTACCCGTTTAAAATATTTAAAACATATGCAAATAATAATAATAATAATAACAAAACAAAAATACAAAAAAGAACCGAAAGTGAGAACAAATATTTTTGGGGCTAGAAAAAATCTTGAAGTTCTCAGACTTCAAAGAGCCATTGGTTAGGACGCAAAAAAGTGGTGTTCAACTTTTTTTTTCGAAAATTTGACCCGACTTTTTCGAGAGATCCTAAAACTTTGATTAGGTTAATAACAAAAATAGGAAAAAAGTCGCCCTAAAAGTAATTTTTTTTTAAATCCCAAAAAAAATATTTAAAAAAATCACTTAAGAAAATTAAAACAGAGGCGGAAAAAAAATGCGAAGTTGTCACACTTCAAACTATAGGCAAAAAATGTGCGTTATTTCTGAAAATATTTTTTTCTTTGACACGACCTCACCGATCTTTCGGAGAGACATTCCATAGAGAGATCCTAAAACTATGATTATAATAATAAAATAGGAAAAAAATCGCCCTGAAAGTGACAATTTTTCAAAAAACCGTATAAAATATTTTAAACAATCCCATGAAAAATTAAAACGGAGGCGAAAAAAAATTGAGCGCAAAAAAGTGCGTTATTTCTGCAAATATTTTTTTCTTCGTCACGACCTTACCGAACGGAGAGACATTCCATAGAGAGATCCTAAAACTATGATTGGGTTAATAATAAAAATAGGAAAAATATCGCTCTGAAAATGAAAATTTTTCAATAAACCGTAAAAAATATTTAAAAAAATCTCGTAGAAAATTAAAACAGAGACGAAAAACAAAATGATATGGACCTCTCGAAGTTGCCACACTTCAAATTAGAAAACAACTGCGTTATATCTGCAAATATTTTTTTCTTGGACAGGACTTCACCGACCTTTCCAAAACTAACCAAAACTTTGATTGGGTAAATAACAAAAATAGGGAAAAGAATCGCCCTGAAAGTGACAATTTGTTAAAAATCCGAAAAAACTATTTTAAAAAATCTCATGAAAAATTAAAAAAAAAAAGACGAAAAAAATTGATATGGACCTCTCGAAGTTGCCACATTTCAAATTAGAGCGAAAAAAAGTACGTTATATCTGCAATTTTTTTTTCTTTGACACGACCTCACCGACCTTTCGGAGACACATTCCATAGACAGATCCTAAAACTTTGATTAGGTTAATAACAAAAATAGGACCAAGATTCGCCCTGAAAGTGACAATTTTTCAAAAAACCGTAAAACATATTTTACAAAATCTCATGAAAAATTAAAACAGAGGCAAAAAAAAAATTTATATGGACCTCTCGAATTGTCACAAAAGGGCAAAAAAATGCGTTATATCTGCAAATATTTTTTTTCTTTGAAACAACCTCACCGACCTCTCGGAAAGACATTCCATAGAAAGATCCCGAAACTTTGATTAGGTTAATAACAAAAATAGGAAAAAGAATGGCCCTGAAAGGGACAATTTTTTAAAAATCCGAAAAAAATATTTTAACAACTCTCATGAAAAATTAAAACAAAGACGAAAAAAATTGATATGGACCTCTCGAAGTTGTCACACTTCAAATTAGAGGGCAAAAAAGTGCGTTATATCTGCAAATTTTCCATAGAGACATGTAAAGACTTTAATTTAGTTAATAATAAAAATAAGCAAAAATACCCCCGAAATGTGATAAATTTTTAAAAATTTAAATTTAAAAAAATGTTATATAAAAAAGATTTTTCAAGTTTGTAAACTTTCTAAAATTTGCCCCGACTTAATCGACCTTTTGGACATACTCGAAACACGCCCGTGCCTTCGGCGGCGCCCATTAGAAACGTCTTCGCTGCATGGGTGGTTGCATTTTTGCATAATGAGTCATTCATTACGCAAATGGAATTTGATCACACATTTTGCTTTAGTCGAACGAAAATCAACAGAAAAATTAATGAAATATACGTCGCTTCCCTGAAAAGATTATAAAACGAGTGCATCATAGCATTTTGGTATAATTTTTTAAAAATATCAAAATGACCGCGCCAAGGTGGACGTTTTTCTCTACCGACCGCGCCCATTCCGCGTCAAACTGTGAATTAGGAAGTAGTCGAGGCGAAAAAAATTTTTCCGAACCAATCGCAAGGCTAACCGCTTCGACAGAAAAACCGGCTCTTATTCAATCATACAAGGCGATACATATTTAACATTAATTCCCGCTAATGGCCGCCCCGTTGCCAAGTCTCTGCGACGTAAATAACTGTAAAATTCCAGCCCGGGTGTAGAAAAAATGGTTTCAATATTAATAATTATACGATAAATCGTGAGGCTCGTGTTCTAATAAATTCTTAATTAAAAATGATGGGTTAATTATCCATTTGATGACAAAAAGAGACAGGCCAGATTGTTCTTCTTATTCTTTCTATGAGTATATAATTTATTCGACAAAATTGAATTAGAGAGAAAACGTTTTAATATGGATATTGTCCGTCCGGAAGGCCGCACGTCGTTGTCTCGTTGGTTCCGAGTAAATCCGGCTCGAAGGACCAAAAAATTTGCCGTACCCGACGGGATCAAATTGTTTTTCCCGTAATAATACGGTCCACATAGTTTCGACGGTAACATTACGGGTATCATCATTAGATCCCGTCGGGTACGGCGCAATAATCTTGATTTTAAAAGTTCCACCATTGCCTTTATTTGACTTATCGTGTTTAACCAATGTAAACCAGCAACTAGAACAACAGAATTTACTACTTTGATACTTTTAGCGCGGATACGACGCGTACAATAAAAAATAAATTTAATCAACGCCGTTTTTTGTATTTTTGGCACAGAAGTCTTCCAGTTCGATTGTCCCAAAGTGGACGAGTCGGTGGGCGCGACCCATCCGAGGTACGCCGACCCGGAGGACTGCCAGTACTTCTACGTCTGCATCAACGGCAACACGCCCAGACGGAACGGATGCAAATTGGGCCAGGTTTTCGACGACGAGGTCAAAAAATGCGATTGGGCCAAGAACGTACCCGAATGGTGAGAGAGAAAGAATGAGGGGCCGGAGCGGAAAACCGGAAATAAATATTCGCGTTTTCAGCGCGGACTGGTACAAGGGACGTCTGACGGAGCAGCAGCTCAAGGAGCTGGAGAATCCGCCTACGCCTAAACCCAAGGCCACCAAAGTGAGCAAGAGGAGGCCGAGGCCGCCGGCCTCGCAACGGCAGGTCTTCGACGACGTGCTACAGAAATGAAGGCTGCAGGAACGTTACTTAGTTGTTAAGTAAAAAAAAAAAAAGAAAAAGAATAAAAGCGGTTTTGTAACAAAACGAAGTATTATTATACACCATCTATTATACAGGCGCGTACAATTTAAAAATTATTAAAAGCAAAGCGACAAAATGCAAAACATCTTTTCAAAAAATTGAATTTATTGTTGTATATTGTTATGTACAAATATACAGTAGAGAAGAGAAGTCTAGCAAAAGCTACTTCACTTAACCTCTTAAATGATTAAATTGAAAACTAAATAGGAAGTTATAATTACATTGACAAATTAAATATAGTATAACAGATAAATGTAATATGGAACAATAGAAAGTTTTAAATAAAAAAAGCAACATTGAAAACCAAATTGTTTGAGAAGTAAGCAGTGTCAACTTGAAATATTTTTTAAAGAATTTAATTTACGGAATCGGCGTTATAAGATAAACAAACAAAGATAAACGATATCGGGTAGTGAGAGTCTGTAGGGGTGCCTTAGAGCCACTGATTGAGACATTACGAAACTGTAATTTAGCTCATAAGTAGGACGGATTGGATGTGCTAATAATTTGGAAAACCGTAGAAGCCAGAAAGTACTTGAAAGTCAATTTTTAGCCAGTTAAGTTCCTGGATTTTGTGGGAAATCTAATCAAATTTACGCAGGCCGAAAACAAATCTGCAACACCCCGTTATATATTTTGCAATCTATATTTATTAATACTATTGAGACATGGGTAATAGAGGACTACACCATAGTTCATAATCGAAAGTACAAGTGATTGAGCAAAAAGTGTCCGTAAACTGTATGCCTGTATAAATGGCGCAAAACCAAATAAAACTTACTTAACGAATTTACAATTAAATATAACGCCAAGGTTTTTATTAAAATTCACAATCTTCAAAGGTTCACCGTTAATTAATAAATACATTTTTGATACTTTTTCAATGTTAGGTTTGCATTTTGTAGCATTAAGTTGAAGATTATGCCTAGAAAAATATAGAAATAAATTATGCAAATCCAAATTGATATAAATTGAAGCAATATCAAATAATTTAGGATCGAAGGAGTAAAATAGCTGAGTGTCATTAGCAAATGAATGCAAATTCAAATATTCGATATATAAAAATTAAGAATAATATAGGTCCAAGGACAGAACCTTGGGGTATACCTGATGAAACAGGGAGAATTACTTTGGAGAACTTACATTGTCAATGGCAACTCTCTGATATCTGTTAGCTAAGCAGTTTTCAAAAAAATTGAGTAGAAACATCATCGAAGCCGTAGTAACTCAATTTGACGCACAAAACTTTAGATAAGGTTGGAAGAATACTGATTGGAAGAAGGTCTGAGAACTGGGATTGTTATTTTTTGCCAATGGTGCGATCAAAGCAAATTTCCAAATATTATAATCATAATCATAAGAGGATAGATAATGAAAAGAATAACAAATATTTGTCTGTGCCGTGGTCCATCGCGTTGCAATTTTCTAGAACATCCATGCAACGATATATTTAAAAAAAACAGCAGGGATGATTATCGGGAAAATTATACGTAATAAAAAAAAAAGCAACTGGGGCGTTAAGTACTAAAGACGATCCTAGATAGCCGTGGCTTGCCACGGACCTGAGCTGACATTTAAATTTATTTATGTAACCGAGGATCATCTGCTTTCACCGCGTCAGCAACACCTACGCCGTTGCTAAATAGAGGAAAAAAAATGTTGCCAAACAAAGCGAATCTCGGTCGAGCTGCCTTTACCGAAAACGTCCTCAAATGGTCGCGTAATAATCAATAAAGATCAGATTATAAAAAGTTATGGGACATTCGCAACCGATCATAGAGTTTCAAATTGCAACGGTATAAATGAGAAAAAGAAACGGTCCCAGGAACGAACCTTGAGGCATTTCAATATAAAAGATAAAACTTTCTTTGAGGTATTTACTTTGAATATTACGTGAAACACCCTGTACTGGGCGTCAGAGTGCCGTTATGCGGCCGAACGATTTCTATAGTCTAGCCTCGTAATTTTCCTAACAGTTTCGATCGGAAACGAACGGGTGTTCCTGATGGCCGAAAAATTTTCAAGGCGCCATTTTCGTCGAGCGCTCGTCTCAAGGTTTTCCCGGAACCTTTTTCGTTTATCCAAAAATTTGACAACTTTCTAATGCCTTAATAATGGACGCGCGCTTGTGCCCGACAATTTGACCAGCGACCGGCAATATCAGTCAAGGTCACCTTGAAAGCCTTGTTTAACGCCGGGTTCTTCGAACCGCATTCCTTTTTCCCATTTTTTTTTTTTAATTTTTGGAAAGAAAGGCCCAACGCGAGCCGAACCACGGGTCAAAAACAGTTTTCGGGGATCGACATTTTAAATGATTATAAATAAAAATAGGATTTGAAAAAACACAGATAAGTAACAACATTTAATAACAGAAGCCTCCAATCAAAGAATCAAAATTTTCAAAGAGACAAAGAAGAGTTAAATTAACCTAACTACAAACAAGTTACTTCAAGTTCATAGATGTTAGGAAAAATGGTGACACACTTTGCCTTTTTCCTTTCATTACTTTTTCGAGTTATTTGCTAGAAATCATACAAAAACTGTGTGCAAATGAATCAAATTACAAAAAGAAGTTTCAAAATATACCGAATACTATATTAAAAAGTTAACCAAACTTGAAACATTCTGTACAAATGTCGCCCTTAGATTTGACTTGCAAAAATTGACAAGTTGGTAATATCTAAACCGCTTTAGGACTTGATACTCAACAATTTGTTTTACTGATCAAACGGATAACGCAGAACATTTAATTTTTGACATTATACCGGGTGACAAGAAAATGGGAACACTTTTAAACGGGTTGAGATAGCGATTTGAAATTTAGAAAGATTGACAATATGTAGTCACAGGTTGCACTTCCAGTTTAACAGTGACTTTCGAATTTTATATGACACACCCTTTTTTTTTCTTTTTTGGATTCCGGAGATACGTTGGATAGGACGGCTTTTCTCTTTTTTTATTTTATGTTGATTTAATTTTTGAAAATTGTGTCTAGAAGGCTGTGTGACCATCTTAAATACTATTTAGCGGGTCACCCGATCATGGGAAAAATTGTAAATGATACTTATCTAAAGTTGTCTAATGGCAAATAGCATGAATTATTAATTTTGTAGCACCATAGGAGAAACAAAAACTTTTTAAAACCAGTACTTTTTTGCAATATTTTGACACCAAAATTTTCAAAATCCTTTAAAAATAAGCTCATAGGAAGGAAAAAAACAGATAAGTAAAACGTGTTTATAAAAACGTAGGCACGTATACATAATAAAACACTTGGAACAAAAATTCTAACCGTTGAATATCAGAAGAAACTCTCCTTATTATTATTTTTTTAATACTAATCTGTTTTTTTTTCTGTCAACTGCATGAGCTTGTCGATATTTTTTTCTGCATTTTGCCACCTAAGTAATATTTGGTTTTTGAAAAATGTATTTCCTTATCTGGTTTTTTTCCTTCCTGTGAGCTTATTTTTTAACGGATTTTGAAAATTTTGGTGTCCAAATGTTGCAAAAAAAATACCGGCTTTAAAAAGGGTTTCTTCGTACTAGAGTGCTATTTAAAAAAACTCGGTTATCCTAAAAAATTAACAGTTCATTACATTAAATGCTATTTGCCATTAGACAAGTAAGGAAAACTTTAATTTACAATTTTTCACATGATCAGGTGACCAGGTCAATAGTGTTTTCAAAATTAAATAAAAATATAAAAAGAAAACAAAAAAAAGTTAAAAAACCGGAAGTGCAACCATTGACTACATATTGTCAAAAAATTGGACGTTCGGCCTATATTAACCCTTCCGAATTTCAAATCGCCATCTCAAGCCGTATAGACTTTCTTGTGTCACGCGGTATATAATTCGTTTGTTCGCCAAAGTTAGTTATACTTGCGCCTCACAGCATCACCAGCTTTTGTGTCAATTGACAGAAATAATTTTAAAAATACGTTGATTTTTTTTAATTATTTATTTATATTTATTTATATTATGCGTTGTGTCTTTCAGAGAACTAAATGAAGTATTCGAGGTTTATAAGTAAATTAATATTAAATAATAATAGATAACACTCTACAATTGCAAGATGTTATTTAAAACATTTTGATCGAATTTGGCAAATCAATTAACACTACATAAAATAGATTATTTAATTAAATTAAATTACAAATTACAATATTTTATATTATTGAGTTGCTTCAAATTAGAGTCGCTCCGCATTTTGGAGGCTTTTAAGATACGATATTTTTCGAATTGAAGTAAAACTAAAAATAAGAGGAAGTATATATTGAAAACCAACGAACAATGTCCCGCAGAAACAACGGCAGAATTAGCAATCAATTCCGACGCTAACGGGTGCGGGGGTATGGGGAGGGAGTACGCGCGCTCATTATTATTACGAATTCCATTCACCCATTGGCCGGGGCTGCCATCGCGCAAAGCTTATTAAATAAAGAAAAGTCAGCCGCCAGCCTTCAGTCTATCGCAAGAGGTCGTTGATACAAGACGCACCTCTCCGACGCCATTATTTTTTTTATATATAAAACTTAAAAAATAAATAAATAAAAATATGCAAGTGCTCGTTTTGGGGACCTGCGTCCTCCTATTCCTCGCCGTCGTCGCAAGTAAGTCTATTTATTAGGCAATAGTTAATGCATGTTTTATTAAATTATATATGGGTTGCAAAATTCGTACGGAATATGATAATTATGCGGTGTCGGTTATTAGTATACTTTCTCTTTCATCAAAAAATGACACTCGCAAATGGCGCGTTGCGTAAGACTGACGGAATATTTGCAACGTGTGACAAACGTACATGTAAGCGGAGACATCGACGGGCGATGAGACGACCACGACCAAATTCAAATTTTTACGTTACCTTAAATTGTCAACAGGGGTTTTTATTTTGATTTTAAATTACAAATAATTTAATTACCATTTAGTTCCATAGAACATTGGCAAATTACAAAATATGTTTAAAATGCACAAAATTAACAATAAACACTTTCATACTAAACAAGATTTAATTCTAATATTTTTTGCTAATACGTATAGAAATAGATGTTCGAAAACCATTTTTAACTGGTTTCATGGATTATTTTTTGTAAAATACAAATTTAATTAGAATTCGCTGAGCTGGCCAATATGGAGTTCACATGTATCAACCCCCTAATAATAATAGATAAATGGGACCAATGATCATCGTCTATAAATTTTTCGTGTCAGGCAAAGTGAAACAAAAAGCGAAACACTTATTCAAGCAAAACATATAAACAACAAATTTAATTGGTAGAAAACAATAGAATGACGAATAATCTTAAAGTTACGAATGGGGTATTTTTGGTAAGTTCCTTCCTGACTTCTACAGGGAATTGATAATTGATATTAACAGCTGCTCAGTTTACTCCGGCAAACGCTTTCAACAATTTGAAATTTTGAATTGAAAAATTGAATTTAAAATTGATGACTATCAACTGCAGGCACTTTTATCCCACGCATTTATTTGCGACAAAATAGTGTGATTTCGCAACTTTTCCGGTTAGGTCTTTGTTTATGTTAGACCTGAAGGTCTCTTTGATGTATCCGACTTCTGCTCGTGACTTTCCCGCCCATTTTCCGGGCGAAACGTTATCCAACACTGGCTCAGGGTCGTGCGAGGCTTTTTATAAAACCAAGGGTGAATTAAATATCGCGCCGGGCGACGGTAATATGTCCATAGGCGTGCGCGCGACACGTTTTAAGGCCGGCCAAAGGGCAACCGCAAGCCAAATAACCGGTTCTTCGGTGGTATGTATCGCGGCGCGAGATGATGGGATGGAGAAACACCTTTCACTTTCGTTATGTAAAAATCGCCAGCCGACCGCTTTTAAACAAACGAATCACGCGTGTCTCTCGCAACTGTTGCCGCATTAAAAAAGCGCATCGACTTTTACACGCGACGACGCAATATCGCGCGTTTTCGTTGTTGTTGTTGAGAAAGCTCCGATTTCTCGATGAAATGAAGAAAAAAAAACGAATTATTTTAAAAATATAATATTGGCGATTGGAAAGTGCCGGGCCGCGACAAAAACCGACACCCACATCGAATTTTCTTTCTCGCCGAATTTTAGATCCGAAACGTCGCGTTCGTCACGAAATAGAAACTATATAAACTATATTAACTTCGGAAAAAAGCTCTCGCACAAAATATATTTTTCTCGATAAAAAGAAATGGCCCTTTTCTCCATTTCTTTCTCTTCTCTTCCTTTCTTTACTCTTAGTAACCTTGGTGACCTCTTTTTTACTGAATCTTACTGATCCTCTTTATCAAAGAATTCTGATGAACCATTTCGGAAAAAGTTTGATGCCTATAAATTTGACGATCCCCATTATAACTTTAATGATCTTCCATTCCAAAGATCTTCCAAGAACTTCGACGATCCACATATCTTAATAACCCTCCCTAATAAAATTTATTGATCCTCCTCTCTCCGTTCTTCCAAGAGCTTGAAGCTTGACGATTTTCATATCTCAAACACTTTGATGGTCATTGTAACCAAAGAATTTTGTTAATTTCCATTTCCAAAAAATTACAATGATCCTCAGTATCATTAAACTATTCTTATTCCTTCTCCAATAACTTTAGCGATCCAGATATTTCGAGGTTTTTGGTGTCCAAAGATCTTTGTTGAAATTCCTCTATAACTAATTCTGATCCGACCAATTCCGAAGAGCTTTGGTGAAGCGTTTTCTCCCAAGAACTCCAAATTTGCCGGTCCTCATAATTCAGAAAATTTGACAATTTTTCTAACAAACAATTTTGATGATTCGCGCCTCTTCCTGTTCTTTACTTGGTGCTCCCTTTCCTAATTAACTTTGTTGATACCTTCTCTCTAAAGAATTTTGATCAACGACCTTCAAAGAACGTTGGTGAAGCATTTATCCCAAGAATCCGAATTCTCATTCTAAAAAACTGCAATGACACTCGCTTTAATTAAACTTTCCTAAATACTTCTCCAAAAACTTCGACGAACTCAAAAACCTTGGTGATCTTTCTCCTAATGGACAGCATTGCTCCTTCTCTCTAAGGAATTCTGATCAAGGAACTCCAAAGAAGACCTCAATCTCAAGAACTCTAAATTTAACGAAACTTCGACGATACTCCATGAAATAATTTTCATGGTTCCCGCTTTCATTAAACTTTCTTAAATGTATCTCCAAAAACTTTGAAGAACTTTGAACCTTGGTGATCTCTTTCCTAATAATAATTTTATTGATCCTTCTCTCTAAGGATTAACGAACTCCAAAGACGCCTTTATGCCAAGAACTCCAAACCCTCATGTCACTTTGATGAAACAATTTTTAAGATTCCCACTTGGATAAAACGTTCCTAAATATTTCTCCAACAACTTTGACGAACTCAAAAACCTCGGTGATCTCTTTTTTAATGAATTTTGTTGATCATTCTTCCTAAAGAATTTTGAAGAACTTTCATGAAGCATTTATGTCAAAATCTACAAAATTAACCTCCTCATATCTCAGAAACTTCCCCCCAAATTTTCCCAAATGCTTCTTCGAGAACTTTCACGATCATCATTTCTATTACAATGCACTTTCATGAGATTTCGACTCCGAAGAAGTTTGATCTTCACATATTTGACCTTCAAGGATAATCAAAAGAACTCTAAACACTTGGAAGCGTTTTTAATACGTCGTTCCGTTTTGCAGACGCTCAATTCAAGTGCCCCAATAAAGACGGCCAATACGAGGACTCGCGCCAGTGCGACAAATACTACGACTGTACCGACGGTATCCCCGTGGAAAAACTATGCCCTGATGGTCTAGTATTCGACCCGCTGATCCGCAAACGTAACAAATGCGACCAGCCCTTCAACGTCGACTGCGGAGACCGTACCGAACTACGTGAGTATACCACAGGTTCTACCCCTCTCATGCGGTCTACACGGGTTCTTTTCACGTCCTAACAGAGAACCCGCAGCCTCGAGGTCCCTGCCCCAGGAGGAACGGGTTCTTCGCTCACGAGGACCCAACCGTTTGCAACAAGTTCTACAACTGCATCGAAGGGGAATACACCGAGATCACCTGCACCAACGGTCTGCACTTTGACGAATATTCCGGCACCTGCGTGTGGCCAGATTCCGCCGGTAGACAAGGATGCAAACGCACTGGTAGTGAGTTTTATTCCGTCTCTTTAACACCCTTAACACTCTGACAGTAAGAATCGCACCATTGATAACGTTGTATTGAACGTGTGCTTCGCAGACGTGCTGAAGGACGGTTTCGAGTGCCCGAAGGAGTCGCAAAAGGACGCCAACGGTAACCTGGTGGTGCATCCTAAGTACGCCCATCCCACCGACTGTCAGAGGTTCTACGTGTGCTTAAACGGAGTGGAACCCAGGGATTTGGGCTGCATCGTGGGCGAGGTCTACAACGAGGAGACCCAGAGGTGTGACGCACCTGAAAACGTGGTCGGATGGTAAGAACGCGGTGTTGCGGAGTAAATTCTCTCGACCTTACTCACGTTTGATTAACGTTTCAGCGAGGACTGGTACAAGGACGATCCAGCGGTGCCCGTAGGAAAACAGTCGAAGAAAAACTAGTGTGCCTCCGGTTATTGTTTTGTTTTTTTTTTTAATTTATTGTCGTAGCGTCGAGTTTTCCCCTTTTCTGTCTCCTTACCGCTCTTCCTGCCGAATATGACGACGCAGTGTCCTCGACGGGTATGCAACACATTATACTGTGTTAATTATTTTGTAACAACGATGTTGCGAACCGTTAGTCACATCGATTTGTAAATAAACACCACGTAAATGCAAACGAACAAATAAAAATAGTAAAACTTGGAACGTGTTTTGATTTTTCTGTTAGTGTAAGCCGCACGATGTGTGTGTGCGTATGATAAAATTGTGACCTTCAAACATATTGTAAAAAGAAGGCATTAATTTTAAGGTTGTAAATAAATAAAATTATTAAATTTTGGTGTACAAAGGTCAGTACAAAAAAAAGTTCTAGTGAAAGATTTTCGAGCAAAAGTTATATTATTTAGAGGTATACAAAAAAAAAGTTCTTTTTTTTATATATGTTAAATTTATAACAATTAAGCATGGCAAAAAGATTTTTTCATCACATAAGCGAAGAATATATTGAAAATTAGAGTCTAGTAGCTAAGATTTTGATCAGAATTGGTGATAGGCAAAAATGCATGCACATTTTTCATGACGATTTATAGATTCACTGACATCTGTATGATTTTTAAGAATTATTTTAAATATCCTTTTTTTTTCAGTTTGTACTCAAAATATACATTGTGTTTCAAACTACAACACTTTGGTTTTTAAGGTAAATTCGAATAATAGACAAAAAATTTTTTCCTTTTTAAAATTTCTAAAATCGTCTAAGATACTTAAACGGAATTTAAACTGCAAATACCATTGACTAGTTTTGGTTAGTTTTGTACAGAAGCGTCGCGATAGATGTCACTTCCATAAAATAAGGTCATCTGAGATTTATTGAGGTTATTTAAAGTAGTTTTCGTATGTGAGAACACACGATCTCAGGGAGTGATTGTTTCACTTTCAATTGTTTCAGTTGAAGGTATGTGTGATGTAAATTTTGTTTAAAAAAATATTTCCTGGAGCCTACTTTACCGGCAGGACATAACTAAACAAAAATAACAACATTTTTTAATATCTGAAGCCAAATTTAAAAAAACAGAAATTATGCTATTAAAATTCAATTAAAAAATGAAAATCTTAAAATTACAAACGCAGGGAAAAAAATATAAACCACCCACGTTTATAAATTAAATAAAAAGACTTATTGAATTGAGGTGGCTTTTACTTGATGAACATCCACTGAACAAAATAAATAAGAATTACAAGTTCAGATTTTCAAGAAATTATGTATATATTCACGTGACAATTGTTTCGACAACACTGTGTCTTTACAAACTACCTGCTACTATATATACCGAAAAATGGCAGTAAAACCTAAATTTTGTCGAGAATTTGACGGCTGGAGCCAAGACATAACTGGTCTAATAATTTAACAACAGAATATAATAATAAAATAGCTGCATTTCACTCTTTTATACACAAACTTCTTAATAAGCCACTCTCAACAGAAAATAGCTTTCAGAACTAACAACAAAATAGGAAAATTTAAAAAAAAAACAATAAAACGAATGTCCAAAATCTCAAAAATCAGGTGAAATGGGGATCATGTCCTAAAATTTCTATTGGACAAGCAGGTAGATCCTTCAAGAAACGCATTAACGAACATAAAAAGCGTTTAAAAACAATAGTCTAGATTCTAATTATGCTACACACTTAAGCGCAGAAAAACACATTTCTGACGGCAATTTTGATATTTTACATACAGCCACAAAAAGTAGAAAATTCAATTTATTGGAAGTCATGGAGATTAACAAAATGAGACACTCAAACGTAACGCTCAATTAGATTTAATACCTCTCTATTATTAAACTTATTCTCACAACAGTTCTTATTTATTTTTTTAAAAAGACTTATTAGATAGATCGGTCAAAACGCATTGAATTTTCGGGTACGTGGCCACTCTCTGTAGCCATACCATAACCATTGCTGATAAAACCAGAATAATTTGTTGGAAATTTGAAAGCTATTTTAGCAATAATATGAATAAAGTTTATAATAATAGTTCAGTTCTAGTGTTTAGAAAATTGTAAGACTTACAAAAGTCTCTCTATCCCAAATAAGTTATTATTATATTAATATTCGAAAAAGCTAGATTTCGCGTTTTGAAATACAAATGTAAAGTAAATAAACTAGTTGGTATGAGTATAACGAAAACTATTGTTATTATTTCATTTTTTAAGTCCCCAAGACGCGAACCAAATTTTTGGAAGCAGTGGCGCGCGATACACCAGCCGCATCGGGGGGCAAAAGTAAATGTGGCAGTTCCACTTTCATCTGCGCACAAAACAATCATTATTTTCATCCGCGACCGATCTAGTTTATTCTCGAAGCGTACGTTCTCCGATATCCCGTCGTCGGTCGCGCTTTTTTTTGTGCACGCGAGCTCAGGCCCCGCCCGAAAACAATGGAGAACCTGGGACGAACGTGTTTTGTCGTCATTTGCGCCGTAATCGGTACGTGCCCGTCTGTCATTTTTTTTGCAGTGTCGGGGGGTGCAAAATGCCTACCGGAACTATCAATTGTTTTGAAAAAATACGTGGTGGCTAAATTGTATATTGTAAAAAAAGGGTCCTTAACTAGTTAAAACGTGAAAATGGTAACCATGGTGTCTGGTAAGTATCTCCAATTTGTTCCAATTTTTATTCTAATGTTATTCTATATTTTTCGTCGTATATTTGAATAACATTTGTTACCCTCTTCGGGAAGCCTGAATAACCCTACTGTCCATTTCATTCAAATTTGAAGATTTCCCTTGGAAAAACGTATTATTTGTTTTTTCGAAATCACAAATTACCTTATTTATATCTCCATCTTACATATTAAGGGAGGACAAGACATTTTTTGCTTAGTTATGCAGTTTGTAACCATTTCAAGGATTAGGATAATATTTGTTATCTTCTGTTAAAAAAAGTTCATCCACCGAAATGTTTAAACAACCTCCGTATTTTACAACAGTTCCCTGAAATCTGCCAAAACGGTTAAATCTGAAGAGAGAATAAATTAAAGCGTCTGTGGTTGGTAGCAAGAATCTCCGTTTCTAATGTAATAAAAAATATGTATTACTGAATATGTAACACGGTAAAATAAAAAATATTCCCGAAATTATATATATTCACATGACAATTGTTTAACAAAATAAATAAGAACTAAAAGTCCTGATTTTCACGAAATTATGTATATATTCACGTGACAATTGTTTCTACAACACCGTGTCTTTATCAAATGTAATATTTACAAAGTACCTGCTACTATATATACCGAAAAATGGCAATAAAACCTTAATTTTGTCGAGAGTTTGACTGCTGGAGCCATTACATAAAACATGACTGGTCTAATTATTTAACTAAAGAATATAACAATAAAATGGCTGCATTTCACTCTTTTATACACAGACTTCTTAATAAGCCACTCTCAACAGAAAATTACAACAAAGAACTTAATATCATTCAACAAATTGGACTGAACAACGGCTACAATCCGTCCATTATCCTATATATACCGAAAAATGACAATAAAACCTTAATTAATGTTGCTGTGAAAATTTAAGGTTAATAATGGAGAGGTATTTAAATCTAATTGATGGTTAAGCAATACATTTGAATGTCTCATTCTGTTATGGCGTCCAATAGATTTAATTTTCTAATTTTTGTGACTGCATGTAAAACATCAAAATTGTCGTCAAAAATGTGTTTTTCTGTGCTTAAGTGTGTAGCAAAATTAGAATCTCGACTATTGATCCTAAGATCCGCATTTCAACCTGTAGACACCTGATTTTTGAGATTTTGGACACTTCGTTTTATCGTTTTTTAAAAATTTTCCTATTGTGTTGTTAGTTCTGAAAGATATTTTTAAACCACATTTTGACAAATGTTTTCAAACTTTTTCACTGGGTTCTCCTATATATGTAATTATTTAAAATTGTCCGTGTTCTGTATTAGGTTTCGGATAAATAGAGTTAAGTACCTGTATCTACTCTATTTATCTTACAGGTAAGTTTGAAAATAATCATTTTTGTCTTGTGTGCCTGTCGATTAAAAACATTCTTGTTCTTGTATTTTTGTGTCTTCTACGCACATGAAATCTTGAGATTACCCCCGTATCATTGTATATTTCACCCGTTTGAGATGATTAGGTCTGACTTGAAAGCGCACATAAGAAGAAACAACACTGCAGCAAAATTTAGTGACAGTACCATAAAAGTAAGAGGTAGATAAAATATCAGTACAAAGCTGGTCTAACTGTGAAAAACGACTAATAAAAGAAGAAAATATTTATCGAGAACGGCGGAGTTGATCATCGAACTAGCTGACTACAGTAGCGATAGTTCCGACTTTTCAAATGACTGATACTTTATTACTTTCGAAAAATCGATGAATTCGAATTTTTTGGAAGTATACGCGCTAGTAATTTTGTTCCTAGATCTCGGTAACGGTGCGTCGTAAAGCGTCGGCATTGGTACATATGGAGTCAGCGTTGAAAAAAAAAACGTTTTTTTTTGTTTCTCCGTTCTCCGTTCTCTGTGTCACGAGTTTTAATTCAATAATTCTAGAACCGTTTCAACTAGGTGGCTCTATTTTTGCTCTTTATGTACCGTCCACCAGGTGCATAAAACATTTGAAAATGACTGCGATGGGACATTGGCGGGAATCTTTTTTTTTTCGATTTTCGGCTGTTTTTTAGACATTTACTATGAAACACGCTAAGTGTCCGAAAGTTGAAACTATCGACTTCATTTTTGGCACACATATGAAGTTTGGTTCCCCGCCGAAATCTATTGAAATTGGGGGGTGGGCGGGTAGTCGAGAAGTATTTAAAAAAAATTAAAACTCGCGTTTGCAAGGGTCAATGAAAAAAATTATTTCTTGTAAACGGTTTAAGCAACCGAAACAATTCTTAAACGAGAATAAAATTTTACTCTTGAATTTTTTTCAAAAATGTGCTCGGCATTTTCAAAAAAACTGGAAAATAAGTCGTCCCATTATTGAAAATTGGCGGTATCTAAAAGATCCTGTGTCGCGTTCTTTCACATAACGATATAGCTCGCATAGACAGCTAAAACTTTTTTATTTAAGGTTTCCACCTGTTGTACAGGGTGTTCAAAATATTGACTGTTATATTCAAAAATTAACAGGTATCTTAAATTAGCAACTATCACCTTCAAAGTTTCTCGAAAACTATTAACTCGATCGCAAAATTTGTGAACCAGGAAATGCAGGAGATCCGGGACCACAACTTTTATTTCAGGCATTTTTTTCCATTATATACAGGATTTCTTAATTATGGACAAAAACCTGAAAGACCCCGAAAATCTTTCTTTTCGCTATTAAATTATTTTTTGTTCTATCATACATATATAATTTTAAATCGCAATTACCAGTACAAATTTTAATATTTACCAATGTTTGCCGTAACTGTCTAGTTCGACGAGACGTGCAAGACATGTACATCGATTACATCGATTTTGCGAAAGTTCCACAGTGATCCGCGCCCAGCGACGATTTTCCGAAAGCAATCTTGTTATTATTATATTTAATATTTTATATATTAACAATGAATATTATGTAGAAATGTAATGAAACAGAATGTCATAAATTCTTACTTTGTACTAATTTTTTTATGTGCATGATTGAAGAATTGCTTGTTATTGTAGGTAGATAAATTCCTAGGACGGCCCTGGAATGGGACTGCGGTATTGGAGTAACAAACAGTAGGCAAAGTTAATCACGGGGTCGGTTGTAAAAACACAATAGTTCTGGCCATGGTATAAATATTTATATACACCTTATAATGAAACCTTAAGATGTCAAAAAGGGTGTGGATAGAGAGCATCATCTTTAATGATTAATGATTTAATGATTAAAAGTTTCGTATGTTCAACAGGCGTATCGGGTCAGTTCAAATGTCCCCAACGGACCGGATATTTCCCGCACCCGGTGCAGTGCGACCTTTACTACCAGTGCTCCAAGGGCGAGCACGAGGTCAAATTGTGCCCGGACGGGTTGGTTTTCGACGACAGCGATCCCAACCACGAGAGGTGCGATATCCCAGCGAACGTCGACTGCGCGGACCGCACGGCATTGCGTAAGCTTTCCGAGGTTTTCCCGTCCGAAATCCGGCGAAATCTCGTTGATATACATACCGAGTGACACAAGAAAGTGGGAACACCCTGTAACTTATATTGTTATACAATTCTGGATTCATTTTTTTTGTTTTTTAATTTTTTATTTAATTTTAATACTATTTGTCGGGTCACCTGATCATGGGACAAATTGTAAGTGAAACTTTTCTTTGCTTGTCTAATAGCAAATAGCATTTAATGTAATGATTTTTTTACTTTTTTAGGATAAACTAGTTTTTCCAAATAGCGCCCTAGTGGGAATAAAAACTTTTTAAAAGCGACACTTTTTTTGCAACACTGTGACACCAAAATTTTCAAAATTCGTTAACAAATAAGATCACAGGAAGGAAGGAAAAGTCAGATAAGTAAATATATTTTAATAAAAACAAAATATTCCTCAGGTGGCTTTGCCTCTTCGATTCATTATTAATTGTCAAGCCGGTAACTTTCGACAAGCTTATGCAGTGGAAAGAAAAGAACAGATTAGTATTTAAAAAGAAATCAATGGGGAGTTTCTACTGAAATTCAGCGATTAGATTTTTTTGTTGAAAGTGTTTTATTATGATAAAAGTTGGAATACGCAGATACAGTCAAAAACTAATGTAAGCATTGTATTTATACGTACGTCATAAGCTACAAGCACTTTCTATAGGAAATTCAGAAGAACAAAAGAATTGAAATATTTTTTTCTTTTCAAACTGTCACTTCTTGGGATAATTCAACACAATATTTTCAAAATCTGTTAGAAAATAAAAACTCAACAATGTCGATAAAATCGATTTGAAAGTGGTATATCAACGCGTATTACTGCAAGACAAGTTTAACATTGACACAAAACATCATTCATTCATTTATTTTGGAACTGAAGTTTTGCATTTATTTCAATTAAATAAGTGCGACAGATATTTATTTACTTTATTTCCAATTCATGTTAAAATAAAAATTTCATAGAATGTTTTCAAAATGTCCTCCTTTACAAATTGCATTCGCTGTAGCCCTTCCTAACATTTCTGGAGTTATACTATCAAATGCGGCCGATATTCTCCGCTGTAATTCTAGTAGGTCAAACACTGGAGTTACATAAACACGGTGTTTAACGTACCCCCAAACAAAAAAAATCTGACGGTGTCAAGTCCGGTGACCGTGGGGGAAAGTTGACTAGACCGTGTGTTGAGATTAGTCTATCCCTATAAACGTCACGTAGGTGTTCCGTGACATCTCTAAAATTATGGGGAAGTACGCCATCCTGCTGCAAATCATCTAACGAGTCTCCAATTTCATTTCTTGGGAATTATAAATATCGTGCACCAATTAAGGCACCATGATGAAAAAAGCAGGTCCTGTCTTTCTATCACTCCTGCGCAACCATTGATTCCGAACCGCTATTGAAACTGTCCGGGACGAATTATTCTTTGATTATTTAAAGACCAGTATCTGGATCAGTGAAGAAAATTAAGTTAACTACATTATTATTCTCGTCATGTTTACCTAACAGCCAATTATAATATCGAACTCTTCTTACAAAGTCAACTTCATAAAGATGTTGATGAAGGTTATACTTAAAAGATTCTCTTGAGATGTCTAATTCTAATGCCACTTCTCTTAGCGACGCAGCTGGTTTTAAGTGGACGTATCCCACAACATTAATTTCTATTTCTTCACTTATAATAAAATTATCACGTAGATTATTTTCAGTGTTTCTCATTTTCAACTCCAGCTTTCTAAAGAAAGAATGTGCAGGAAGGCGACGTCCCGGATAGCGGGCTGCATACAATCCACGCGCCTGTCGAGAGTTTTTTCTGCATTCCCCGTATATCACAAACATATCAAGTTTTTCTCCATTTCCATGAAAATCCAAATCGATAACACGAAAAAATCGATAATCAGATGAAAATGTACAAACTCTCGGAATTTTGATGATGAATAGAAGCAAAGCCTCCTAAGTAATATTTCGTTTTTATAAAAATGTATTTACTTATCTGTATTTTTTTTCTTTCCGTGAGCTTATTTTTTAGCGGATTTTGAAAATGTTGGTGTCAAAATATTGCAAAAAAAGTACCGGGTTTAAAAAGGTTTTCTTCCTACTAGTGTGAGAGTGGAAAAACAAGGTTATCCTAAAAAATTTATGATTCATTACATTAAATGCTATTTGCCATTAAACGAGTAAAGAAAAGTCTCATTTACAATTTTTCCCATGATCAGATGACCCAGTAAATAGTAGTTATGTGGTCACAGCCTCCTAGACACACTTTTCAAAAATTAAATAATGATCTCCCGAATCCAAAAATGAAAAAAACATAAAATTCGAAAGTTATATAATGTCAAAAGATTGTAAATTGAGCCTATATTAACCTTTCCCAATTTCAAATCGCCATCTATATATAGTGTTCCCACTTTCTTGTGTCACCCGGTATATTTTTAAAATCGCTTTCACCGTCTCACGTAACCGAGAGAGAAAAGAAATTCCGTAAAATCGTCGACGGGCAACGCACGCGAAAAATTTAACACGATCTGATATACGTTTTCAGAGCCGCCGAAGCCTAGTAAGGGTTGCCCAAGAGCTAACGGCTACTACAGGCACGACGACCCGCGCGCCTGTGACAAATTTTTTAATTGCGTCGACGGGGTAGCGCACGAGTTGCCCTGCCCTCCAGGTATGGTACGTCTCGAAGTATATCGTCTTGGCTTTCGAGGGAAGTTTTCGAAATAACCTGCCGACGATAAAAAACACCTGACCAGTCGGTATTATAGGATAGATAAAGACAAACCACTAAGTTGTTTTAAAAATATAAAGATTAACTAGTACTAATACAAAATACACTAACTGTATAGAGATTATCAATTATTACCGAAATAAGTACGTTTTTATTAATTCTGGTTTATTCAACGCCGCCGCTGATATCAGCCGACACGTGGTTGACGTCTGCTTGCGTCGTCCCTTAGCTATGAATAAATAACTGCTTGTTGGGGGAGGATCCGTCAAAAGCCAAGACGATATACTTTGAGTGGCACTTTACAAAAAAAAATGAAACACGCCCGAACGAGCCGTAGGTCACCCTTAAATTACATTGGAATTAGATAAAAACAGAAGAACTATAAACCGTGTGCAAACAGAAAAAAATCACTAAATTGGATTGAACTACAAAAAAGAAATACAAAATAGATCTTTATTAAGTTTTTCCGCTAGATAGAGACTAGACCGAAAAATATAGTCTAAAATAATAAAAAAAAAAGAAAAAGGCAAGTAATGGACTAAAAAAAATTAACAAACATTGCATTTCAAAAATACCATTCCCAGATGATTGGTAAAACTTGGTATAATGACGTTTGAATAACATGTAACAATTAATTAAATTTGTAATTAACGATTTATTTCAAAAAATAATTTTGTTCAGCGAATGACACTTCAAGCGGTTCTCTGTTAAATAATAAAATTATACAATAATCATTTATAATAATAATAGAGTCTTTTTTTTTCATATTTCAAAGAAAGGGTTACATTCAATTAAATGGTAAAACGGCATTCCACAAAATTTGTTTTGAAAAGTATGGGTACAATTAAAGAAACATTTTATTTTTTGTGTTTGTCTTTACATATTAGGATAATTTTGCATTTATATGCATATAGAGCCATTTGTATAATAAACATTAAAATTGTCCAATAATTTTCAATAAACATATAAAATAAAAAATACTATTAACATAACGTACTAACCAGCTACATTAAAATGATTCAGTTATGTATAATTTTTTGCTTCCTGTTTTAGAGTAAAATGGCGTTCCACATTTTCTAGTACGAAATATTTTTGAAACTTTTTTAGTTGAGATGTAACCCAAAGTTATAATCCATTTATAGCGTAGCTAAGCCAGCCAATTCACTTTTTATATTGGAAATCAATTGAAAGAAAACACCGTTAAAACATTGTTTATTGACTAACTTGACCGAGAAAATGTTGAAAATTAACAAAAAATTTAAAAAATACACAAAATTTTAATTTAGAAAAATTCCCGATGTGAGGAAAATGTGTAGGATAAAACTTCTTTTTGCTAAAAAAATCTAGAAAAAAAAATGAATGCCTTTTTTGTTGTATGGTACTGTCTGAACATAATATTTTTGAATGCGCCTTTTACTGACGAATTTCCCGTAATTCCGTTTAATTATTAAGCATTCAAGTAATTATAACCAATAGGATCTCAAGCACGATACAAGCACAAGCAACTTGTAGCACTTTCCAATACTTTTTCACGAATTTAAGTGTTCCCGCATAAAAAAAACTTTTAGTGTTTATGGTTCCCGACATCATCCATGTAAATTTTAGGGAATTCAGTGACATATCTCTCGGGTCCGGAAGTGACACCTGATGTTTTAGGCCTGGTGTACGACGACGTCGCCAGCACGTGCGCGTGGCCCGAGACGAGCAAGAGGAAATGCGAGAACTCCAAGAGGGACGCGTTAGATGACGGATTCTCGTGCCCCGAGGGAGACATCCAGGGACCGGACGGCAGGAAGTTGCCTCACCCCACGTTCGCCCATCCCGACGACTGCCAAAAGTTTTACATCTGCAGGAACGGGGTGCAGCCCCAAAAGGGCTCGTGCGCCAACGGGACGGTCTACAACGAAGACACGTTCACGTGCGAAGATCCGGCGAACGTGCCCGGATGGTAACGAACAACTCCCAAAGCGCCAGCCTTAAAAGTCACGCCGTTCGTTTTTTTCAGCGAAAACTACTTCGGTCAGAAGAAGAACTAGCAGTTTTTTTTTTAATTTAGAATTTTCCAATTGAAGAAGTAAGAAGAAGTACAAGAGATTTTCAAAATTTATTGTTATGAGGTCAAATAAATGCTTCATTTTATTTACTAGTGAATATCTTTTTTTTTAAAACTACCTTATATAAAACAGAAATTTTCAATTATACATAAAATTTAATAAGAATCTTTTTTAACCAAATAGTTAGAAGAATAACTAGCAGGTTTTTTCCGAATTTAGAATTTTCCAACTGAAGAAGGAGGAAGTAGAAAGAAGAATAAAAGTTAAGATTTTCACGAAATTATATATTTTGACATGACAATCGTTTCACATTTAATAAAGACGTGAAAATATACATTTAAACAAAGATTTTCTTCCATTTAAAGGCCAGAAAAAGAAAGAGATATATTTTTTCAATTTAAAATTTTTAATCAAATGCAGAGCAGGGAGAAGATGTTTAAATTAAGAATTTTTTAAAATTGAACTCCTAATTAAAATGTGCATAACAATAAAAAAATGAAAGAAGAGGGGCTAACTAGCCGGAAAGACATTAAAAACTCCTGTTTGATAGTGAAGCCAGGAACCAACCAACTAACCAAAATATAACGGAAACCTATAATTCACAAAACGAACTAATGTATTCTAGTTCTAAATCCAAAGATTTTTTTTGCCTGTAAAAATGATTTACAGCAGCCGACATATTTGTAATTTCAAACTAACGAAAACTTTGTGCGAAACCTTAGTTTTGTCACATTTTACTTACAATGATTATATTTACGGTTTCGGTCTCGCTATGCATGTTTTTATATAAAATTATTAAAAATTATTAGAAACGCCCCGCCCATTCACTCAGAGAAAAATAATGCACTTGATAGGTAAATAATCCTATGTAACCTAAATTTTACGACTATTAATGCAAGTTAGCGATTATTATTTTAACAGGGTTATTTTTTCCTAAAACCATATTTTACAAGTACGTCAATGTCATTTTTTATTTAAAATTTAGTACCTAATCTACTTGAATAGCTCTAAGCTATACCGCGCCAGCAGAATACACCTAATTGTTGTTTAATAATTGTAAATTATTTTCACTTTTGATTAATAAAGGCATGTTATTATTATTATTATTATTATCAGATTCCTCTGCTTGCAGGTATTGGTGATGCAGTATTGGTAGAGAGGAGCTTCTGCCTATCCTACTTCACCTAAGCTCAAAAAATGTAGACCTTGATATAGTGTTGATGTTGTATTCGTTACTATTGGCATACCTAAGTTGAATGGTGTGAAGTTCTTATTATTATTATTATTATTATTAATATAAATAATAATAATATTATTATTATTTCCGAATTTAGATATTTCAAATTGACACATAAAATTTACTTGGTAGAATTTTCTTAGACAAGTCACGAAAATAGAGTCATATACATTTTTTTACATTTAAACGAAGATTTTTAATGGTTAAAATATATGTTTTCTATATGCGAATACACAGAAAACAAATTAGCAGTAAGAAAATAGTAAATGCTAATTGAAATGTGCCTAATTTTAAGAGCACAATTGCCTAATTGTCTAAAAACAAGTCACACCCCAGGTGTACTGCGCCTTGCCGCCTAACAGCAAGGACATCTTCGCCTCAATAGAAAAAGGCGTTACAAAAAAAAAATGGACCACGCATACTTTCACTATTGCAGATATAAAACATTAAATAAAACATCGGCTTATTAGTTACGGCCTTTTTATCTTATCGATCGACCGACTGGCGAAAACGATTTCACCCGAAAAGATTGAAAACAATCGATCTATCTATCGACTTTTTAAGGCGATTTCAAGCATAAAATATGAATGTTCTATACGAGGGAATGTCGGAAATTAGGCCCACCCCAGACGCATAGAGAAACGACTTAGTATAATATCAGAGACATAGACCAAATTATTTAAAAAGAAGTCCACTTATTATCATATCATATCATATCTTTATGCGTTAAATTTTGGCAAATTACAAATTTTACTACTATTTCAGTGAAAAACAAATATTAAGAAAATCTAGTATAAAATGTTGACTTTAGTAAATCTTTTTGTTATATGAATGCCTAATACTGATTAATGGTTTTTTCTAAAGTTTTACACAAATAGGTCGTCTTTTTGAACAAATTACACCTTGAGTTTTTGTATTTACAAAATTTGATATTCGACAGGATTCGCTTTACCAATAATCTCAAATATAATTGCTGGAGTATTATGATTACGAAAATATAACATTTATCTGCTTCGATCTGCTATCAAGATAACGTCAATTTTTAAAACAAGGATTCAAAAATGGCACAAGAGCCATTAAAAATGTAAAAGAGTTTGCTAATATGGAACATTGACATTTGGGGATAGCAAATAATCAAGTTTTTAGTGGAAATGCTTTTTAATAATTTGCATTAGTTTGGTTAGGTTACACTGGGTTGGATGTTTTTTCGCAATTTTATTTTTTATGCGGACATTTAGTGCATTTCCACAAAAAAAAATCGTACAAAAATTCCCTACAATTCTATATATATATATATATATATATATATATATATATATATATATATATATATATATATATATATATATATATATATATATATATATATATATATATATATATATATATATGCTCAGTTTGTAGTAGGAAAACATTGATTTTGGGAAAGCTTAGAGAAGCCCAGACAACAGTGTATTGGTAAGGAACAAGCATTCTAGTCACCGTAAAATTAACAAAATATCAATATAATTTCAGGTCCAAAAAAAATAAATAAATAAACAAATAATATATTTTTTTAATAGCTTGCTAGCTACATTTGTCAGCCATCTTAATTGTTTATGAAATGTCGGAGGTGCCAATTTTTTAATGATGACGTTTTCAAAAATGTAGTAAGAGCAATTGTCAAAGACTCATTTTTATTGAACACCCTGTCTTGTTTTTTACTGTTTCATAAAAAAAATATGTTTTTATAATAAAACTGAAAGCTCCTTCTTTCCAAAAAAATCAAGATGAAAAATTTAGATGACATATAAAAAATAATAGGTTTTTGTAAAACGCACTATATTTTTGGGATGCCCTGTATATGGTTTAAATCACGTAAAGTGACTTTTTTTTTTATTTAAGACGTCGCTCTTTGTACAATATCACTGCGTATAAAACTCATTTCTAGCTATTCCAGATTAAAAGTTCCAAGTAAAAAACTTCAGGTTCCCATATGGTCGTTCCACCGTGTGCCCAGAAATACGTTCACGCAGATGCGACTCTATGGTTGCGGTTGATACGTCTCGTTGACTGATACTCTAATCGCCAAATAACGTTGGTAATCTTTTTACTTTGAACAAATTGAAAATAACTAAATATATGCGGCTGTCCTCCCCTTTAACGTGCCCCACCGCTGGACGCCCAGTACTGGTAAATGGAAAAGGAAGCGAATGCAATGTAGGAATAAAATGAGTAAGAAAATATTCACTTCATATAGCTTGTCCAGTGTCTATTGACAATTGCGTATCGAATAAAACCTTAACTCGCGTTTCCTACTTTAGTGGGAGAACTTTCGCATCTGCATCGGCGCGATCTGTTGCCGAAGTGAACGGTCGCATAGAAACGCTAAGAAAACTTACCCGTTGCGGAGCGTTTCGCTCGCCAGTCGCCGAAAAACGGTCCGTGCAGGTGTTGGCGTAGAAGAAAGTTCCCCAAGAAATCGACAGTCTGCAATATGGAACCGCTACTGGCCGTCGTAGCCGTCGCGCTGCTGGGCTTCGGTGAGTGGATTTCCATCTGCAACACGATCGTGTCGGGGCGCATATTATTTTTGGGAAAATTATGTTTTTTTGAGGGGCGAAAGAGACGAAAATCGTTTCAAAAAAGTGATCGATCCGAATTCAGACACTTCAAGGTCTCGCGGGCACGGGGGTATTAAGGAGTGCGGCGAAACAACTTTCTTGGCCGGTTCGTTGTTTGAATTTACGTCGTTAGGTTACGCAATTGCGACGTTGCACCATACAGGGTGTTACTTAATGATAGGTCACTGGTGGGACCAAATTCAAGTGTCCAAATGTGAGTTGCGTTTACAGGGGTACAAAACGGATTTTTATATTGTTTTAGTCCCGCATATTAGCTTCGATCGTTCGAAGATTTTGGAAACCACAATGGCAATTTTTTGGAGCGCCTAATTCAATTCAATTCTGTAGGGATACGTTATGCAATAAATAAAGACACTTAGTAGCTGGATCCAGCATAACTGCTCATCTAATCACAGTTAAGAAAACAAGAATTATAATTTATACTTAATTAAAAAAAGGGATCCTTTCTCTCCTCATTAACAATACATCTTTGAACTATTTATGGACGACTTCGCAGATGGACAGGCGTTAACAGTAGCAGAAACATCATTACAAACTTTAATAGCATTATAAGAGAAAGATCTCTGAAACGTGGGAGTAATGTGCTTGGGAATATGGTACAACTCGCGGTATCGTGCAACACGCTGGTGGATGTTCGACTCCTTTTAACAATTTGTTTAAATAGATAAGAGGGCTCTACAGTGGTTTTAATTTTAAGTACTAGAGTGTCACATTCTGGGCATTCTGGACGCCCTCTAGAGCGGCCTGGGGGCACAACGGGCCCATCTGGTGGCCTAAGTGCTTGGACGCCCGCGAGGGCGCCCCCCTTTAATACCAATACCAATACTAGAGTGTCACGCTGCAAGTAATACCTTTCAACCACTTAGAGTGTTTTAGGAAATCAGTAATATGATCATATCAAGATCATCAAGAATTCTGAATTTTTTGCAGACGTCCTTAATTTTTTATAGTAAGACACGGCTAATAAACAACGTCTCCATACTCCAAGTTCGATAGTATTAGACTATAACACAGCATTTTCATTTCAAAAATATGATATTTCGGTAGACTTTTGTAGCCCTCCCTAACAACCCCTGCTTTGGTTCGTTTATATTTTGCTAAAGCTTTTTTCTTTAATTTAATCATTAGTTTTAGGTTGGGAGTTAACCACGGCGCAGGAGCTTTTGTAAAGCGGGAAGTCTTTAAGGCAATGTGTTTATTGAAAATTGCATCCAGATTAGTATTAAAAAAAATTCATCGTAGATTAAATAAAGATCGATTAAAAAGTTTACTACTAAGCCTTGCGGGCTCTGTTAATACTTGCGATAATCCAAATTTATCAAGAAACTTTGAAAAGAGAGTATGCGCATTATTTTTATTGACATTAAATTGCAAAAATTAATGATCGTAGTGAGGGACAGCCTCAATTAAGGTAATAAAAACAATAATAATAATAATAATAATAATAATAATAATAATAATAATAATAATAATAATAACGACAGTAATAGTAACAATAATAATAATAACAATACTAATTTATTGTTATTATTATTATTAGGAAGTTATAAATACATTGATAAATTAAATATAGATAAATGTAATAGTAATATGGAACAATAGAAAATTATTAAAAGTAAAAATTAAAAGAATAACATTGAAAATCAAATTATTTGAGAAGTTAGCAGTTTTAACCTGAAATATTTTTTAAAGAATATAATTGAATGTGATTTTAATGAATCGGGTATACTATTAAAAATTAAAACAGCGTTATAACAAAATGATCTACGGAATAAAGACAAACGATATCGTGGCAGTGGTAGTCTGTAGGGGTGCCTGAAAGTCACTGATTGAACATTACGAAAGTGTAATTTAGCTCGTAAGTAGGACGGCTTGGATGTGCTAATAATTTGGAAAACCATAGACGCCAAAAAGTACTTGAAAGTAGCCAGTACTTTAGCCAGTTAAGTTCCTGGAGTTTGTGGGAAATCCTATCAAATTTACGCAAGCCGAAAATAAATCTGCAACTGCTGTTTTGAATTATTTTTTGCAATCTATATTTATTTATATGGGTAATAGAAGACATAATCGAAAGGACAAGTGATTGAGCTAGAAGTTTCCGTGAACTGAAATTAAGGACAGTCCTATGCCTGTATAAATGGTGCAAAACCAAATAAGACTTTTTCACCAACAAAGATACATGTTTTATTACAATTCACAATTTTCGAAAGTTCACCGTTAATTAATAAATACATTTGAGGTACTTGTTCAATATTAGGTGTAGGAGAAAAGAACATTACACTGGAATGCAAGCCCAAATTGATATAAATTGAAGCACTATGAAATAATTTAGGATCGAAGGATTAAAATAGCCGAGTGTCATCAGCAAATGAGGTACTCTCTAGGTCATCTAACGAGCAATTTCAATTAACTGTAGGCGGCCTGTGAATGCATCCCAGACGCATATTTTTACATTTTAGCCTGATAGTCATCCATATCTGCTCAACGGCACTTTGAGTCGGTGGTGTATCCAAGAACTTAGCATTAAAATTCTCTTTATAAATAAAATGCGACGCCACCACCACGAGTGTCATGATCATTTCTAAACAAAACGTAACCAGCTATATTAATGACATAATTAGGAATATCCCTATGTAGCCAGCCAAATGTAGTAAATGAGGAGAAAACTACAGATATAATTTTTGTAATTATGCTCGTTTAATTTTTACACCCATTTCATGGCAGTGCACGGGGGAGTGCTAGTGCAAGACGCGCCCCAATGTCCGGAGCCGCTGGGCGTGCAGGCATACGCCCATCCCGAATCCTGCAACCTCTTCTTTTTGTGCACCAACGGCACCCTCACCGTCGAGACATGCGAAAACGGTCTCCTGTTCGACGGCAAGGGCGCCGTCCACAACCACTGCAACTACAACTGGGCAGTTGAGTGCGGCCACAGAAAAGCCGACCGTGAGTAATGTACCTCTTTATGTGGGGCCGCCACAGCAACGTTTCGGTTTCAGTGACGCCTATCAGCACGCCGGGCTGCGAGTACCAGTTCGGGATTTACCCCGACAGTGCCGAATGTTCGACCAATTACATCAAGTGCGCCTACGGCGAGCCCATACCGCAGGCCTGCGAGGCCGGTTTAGTCTACGACGACAGGATCCACGGCTGCAACTGGCCGGACCTCCTTCTCGAGACCTGCAACCCGGAAGGTTGGTAGTAGTTGTTTAGAATGGTTTTTAGCATCCAACATTTCCAGTAAGCTTTGCAAACGATGTATTTCTTTGAACAGGCGGCCTTTGTGAGGCCTTTCACTTTGAAAAGGCCGCCTAGGTCCTTTCAAATTATATAACAAATGATCTTAAAAGGCACCTTTTAAACCCTTTCAAATTATATAACAAATTGCCTTAAAAGGCCATTGCAAACGACGTATTTCTTTGAAAAAGGCGACCTGGGGCCTTTCAAATTATGTATAAAACAAATGGCTTTAAAAAAGCATCTTTTACTTTACAAAAGAAGTATTCCTTTGAAAACGCATGTTTTACTTTGCAAACGATGCATTTCTTTGAAAAGGCGGCCTAGGGCCTTTCAAATTAATAAAAAGTGATCTTAAAAGGCATCTTTTACTTTGCAAACGATGTAATGCTTTGAAAGGGGAACGATCCTTTGAAAAATGAAGCCTGGGCCTTTAAAATGATCTATTGAATGGCCTAAAAAGGCATCTTTTCCTCTACAAAGCGTTTTTTTTTTAAAGGGAACTACTCTTTTAAGACAGATATTAAAAATGACCTCGCAGACCTGTTTTGTATTGGAAAGCGGAGCTAGAGCCTTTCAAATGATATAACAAATAGCCTTAAATGGTATCTTTGACTTTGCAAACGATGTATTTCTTTGAAAAAGGGAGCTAGACCTTTTTAAATGATATTAAAACCGGCCTCTTTGCATTGAAAATGATATATTGCATTGATTTGATATTAAAGATGACCTAACAATATCTCCTTCGCATTGAAAACGATCCTTTGGAAAAATGAAGCCTGGGCCTTTCAATTGAATGAACTAAAAAGGCCTCTTTTCGTTTACCAAAGGTTTCTTTGAAAAAGGGAACTACTCTTTTTCGAAGCTATAGGGCTTTCCAAAGATTTAAAGATCTCTTCTGCTTTGCAAAGGGATACCGTTCTTGGTTGAAATGGGCTCTTTTGCTATGCGAAGTGTTTTGGAGTAGTAAATAAGACTAATGGTTTCGTTTGTGGTGTAGCCGTAATCGGATTCAAATGCCCTACGAAGGTGCCGTCAGGTCATCCGGCGGCGAGGTTCTGGCCGTACCCTAGATTCTCGGTACCGGGAGATTGCCACAGGCTCATCACCTGCGTCAACGGACATCCAAGACTCATCAGTTGCGGTGAGGACAAGGTGGTGGACGAGTCGTCTCTGACATGTGAAGAACCCGAACTGGTGCCGCACTGCGCCAACCACGTTAGGAAATAGAGGGGCGAGCTATAGCATTTCGGCTAAAATTGTTTGTTTTTTAAAGTTTATGTAATGTAAATAACATTTAATCGGTTATTTAATATTTATTCGAAATTTTAGGTTGATTTTGTATATTATTCGTTTTGATTGGCACAAATAAAGTTTTTATATTGTTTTTGCCGTTTTTCCGAAACACTTTCCAGAATTAGCAGGTTCTTTCATATTAACTTGAACAGAACAATCAAGAAAAACTCGTGGTTAAAAAAAAAAGTCGTATAACAGAAAACAATAAAAATTAAAAAAAAACCTCCAGCTTATGATTTCAATTTTAATGCACTTAAGTGAACCGCCAAAAATTCAGAAACTTTATTATTTGATTAACTGGGTTTTCTGGAATTATTTCCAAATATAAAAAGAACGTTGCATATTTTGCGTATGGTCTTCGGTGTCCGTTCGTCTAGTGGCTCGTAGATGTCGCTCGTTGACCGACAAGCAAAAAGAAATCGACAATATTATCCCGGTTTCTTGGAACGCCATTTCCGGCTGTATTTTGCAGCAATGCAACAATCGAGCGATAGAAACCGTCTATGTAGGTTTCTAGTCCGCTCGTAAACCAGTGGCGGGACAGTAGACCGCCATACACTAACGTCTATGAGTAGGTTAACAGTCGAAACTCTATATAGCGAAATTGAAGGGACTGCTTTTTTTTTTCGTCGTAAAGAGTTATAGATACTTGAAAAATAACAATACGCATATGTGTTCTGTAATATTTAATTAAATTATATACATATTTTAACATCTACTTAGAAAGATTTTTTATAAATATTTAAGAACTACATTTAATGCTTCAAATAATCGGTAATTTTCTTTTGATTTTTTTTAGTATGCCAATATGCATCTCGTACTTTGGCTTGTATTTTCACCATTTCTTCGAGTGGGACATCTTCCCCATGATACATAAAAAAATTCTCTAGCAGTTTAACTGAATATGGGGCTTGTTGACTGGTTGGTGGTCCCAGATCAACTTCTTCATCTTCTTCTTCCTCTTGGTGCTCTTCCTCACAATTTCTTGCTTGTTGTAATATGGCTTCCTCTGTCATCTCCTCATTTGTAAATGTAATTGTTGTTTGAAACTGCTTTATCCACTCGCTTAGTGGCTGATCATCTTCCAAGGGCTGTTCGCATTCTGTCTTGGTAATAAGTCCTGCATAGGAGTGTTGAATTGTTTGTGCTGTCACCTATTTCCAAGCTTCCAAGTCTTCGGACTCGGATCATTTCCATTAAAATGTTTTTCCTGTATCGACTCTTAAGACTTTTTATTACGCTCTGGTCCATCGGCTGTAATACACTCGTTGTTTTGGCTGGAAGAAATGCCAATTCAATATTCCGTAAACTTGGAATATGGGGATGTACAGGCCAGTTATCTAAAAGCAGTCATATTTTCCTCCCCTTTAATTCTGAATCCCATTTCCGTATCTCCTCTTCAAAAATTTGCGATGTCATCCATGCAGACTTGTTTGCCATGTAAGTGACCGGCAAATGCTTGATGTTCTTAAAACATCGTGGGTTAGTTGATTTTCCAATCACGACTAGCTTTCTTTTTTCTCTCCCACTCATATTGGCAGCTACTAACACTGTTATAAGTTCCTTAAAAGTTTTCCACCCACACACTTTTCGCTTTTTTATCTGGCGTCATTTTGCAAAAAATACCAGTGTCGTCAGCATTAAAAATGTCGTCAGCAGGGAACTTTTCTGCTAGTTTTGGACACATGCCAAACTGTTCAGCAAACTTTTCTGCTTTTAGTTTTACGATAGGTCCAGAGAGTGAATCATTATTAATACGTTGCTGTTGGCAACATTGCTCGATCCAAATCTACAAATTTTGGCTTTCTTAGTTTTTTACTAGAAATGCCTACCGCTTCAGCCTGGACGATTTTTTCTTTGCACTTCCAAATCGTGGATAGAATCGACGGTGTAAGTCCGTATCGACGTCCCGCATCACTTTTCTTTTCTCCCCGTTCTATCTCCCGAATTGAAGCAAGTTTATCATCTAGAGATAAAATTTTTCGCTTACCCGTCATGCTCGCCGTATTCACTAAGTCAAATTAGAACCGATTGAAACAATGGTGTGCTTTTATATACGCCGAAATTAATATAATCGCTTATTACGAGAAAAACACTGACCAGATGACCAGGTTCTCGGTAATTATAATAGATTATTAGGGTAAGGAATTCTGAGAAGGTAAGAGAGTCTATTAATTACATAGCTTTATATGGAGAAATAATAGTACAACAAATTTTGTTCGTAATACAGAGTTTCGGTATAGGGAGTTTTCACTGTAGTTAAAAAAGGTGGAAATGAACAGAAAAATTAATTCTTGATGATCCCAAGCGACGAAATCCTATGAAACGGCAACAAAGCTGGGCATAAACTCATCCTCATTCGTCCGAATTTTTGAGGAAAAAAAGACAATTACTTTCGTCGCTCTCGATTCAAGTAATCAAGGTCACGGCACCGGGAGGAATGCCGACTCGAGCGCCAAAGGAAAGAAAACAATAATAAAAACTCCTTTCGGAAGAAGGCCCTCTCGAAGAGGCGCGTATTTCGGGCGCCTCACCCCCCCGCAGGCTAACGGAACACTTAAACCAGTGAAATCAGCGCTTTAATGATTTATTGAAGGCGCCGTCGAACGCCGCTAGTGCGTCCGCATATGTACCGGGCGTATACTTCGACCATAAATATAGGGCTTTTACAACAGACAACGTGATTAACTTTGCCTACTACCGAATCATCTCAATGGGGTTAGATACACAATGATAAGGGGGTAATCTCAAGATTTCATGTGCGTTTTTTGTGCTATCGAATCGATTTTGTGTCTTTATTAAAATGTGTTATTTTTCATAATTCCAGAAGAATGTTTTTTCGTGTAGCTCTCTCCAAAATATAAATTATTTTTGTATAGAAATTCTTTAATTTCTTCTATATTTGAAGAAGTATTTGGAATTTTTCCCATTTCGGCTGAATGATACGAGAAATTCAACACAATAGCAGTATTTGTCGATAGTTTTGGCAACAGTTTATTCTCAAACCAGTCCTCAAATATTTGCGAGGTCATGTTTTCATGGTAACCCACACTTGAATCTTTGAGGTTTTTGGAAGACAAAAATAAGGCATCTTCCACACAACCATTTTTGGACCCAACATGAAGAATTATTATGCGTTTTCCATGTGAAGGCGGCAAGTCTAGTACACCCTTGTTACTTTTGCCACACGATCCGTTTTTTACTATGTCGTACTATGTGTAAATGTCATCTCTCACTTTCCTCGTGACTATCCCATTTGCAACAATTCTTCTTACAGTTGACTTCGGAACTTTGGTCCTACTTCCCCTTTTGAATTCCTTATAAGATTGTAAACATTGAAAACAATTTGTTTAGCATCCGAAGACAAATGGATCCGTTTTTTTATTTGCTGAGGCAGTTCGTCTTCTAAATTATCATTAGGTTCGACTACCATCTTCACTTCTTCTAACAGGGGAACATCTGCTTCATTCCACGGTCTCCACATATTAAAGTGTTAAAAAACAGGAACCCTTAAAAAATTCTTAATTGTAAGATTCTAATAAATATTTATCTGTATTCTGATGATGTACCGCGAATATAATTTATAGCCTATAAAAAGATTGTTCTTGTTTACAAATCTAAGAACTATGTAGAAAACACAATAATACAAGAAGAATGTTGTTAGTCAACAGGCACCCAAGACAAAGATGATTATTTTCAAACTTACCTGTAAGATAAATAGAGTAACTTACCTTACTTGTGAAATATCCAGTAAAAACAAACTCGCAGGGTAAAAGTTCGACAACCAGGTACATAAAATCTTAACAACGATGTTAAAATAAACGCTTCTACTTACTCGAAAATACCCCGATAAATCATTGCAAAATAAAATTTAACCCGGTCCATTTACGTTTCAAATAAAAATTTCTGCAAATATTCATTATGGTCCATCTCAGACAAGACCTACGTAATGCAGAATAAACATCTGTTGGGATGGGTTTTACCACGGGCCTGCGGAGGTCTGCGGTTAAAGTACTGTAAATACTTAAAACGTCAAAGCAATAAATGTACTATATCTATTGGTTTGAACCGTTTTGGTTAGTTCTACTAAGACAGGTGGTGGAGGAAAGTTAGGTTCCGACCACTGGCTTGGGTTAACGGAGTCAAACGAGCTAGCTCTCGCCTCTATGTTCTACTTTATAAAAAATAATATGTTCTTGACACTAGGTGCTAGGCGCTCGTCTAAGTACTTAACAAATATTGCGTCTTTTGTCTAAAATTTGAAATAATCTTCATTTTGATCATTATAAGAAAATTCTAAGAAAAGAGTAAGTTTTGCTGCTACTACAAGTAGAAGTGCTAACCAAAACTATTACAGGAATTACCGCATTGCCAAAGCGTTCGAAACGATAACAACAATATAATTAATAAACCGCTCTGAGACGATCAAAATTTTGATCTATGCACATTTTGGGACTTAAAATATAACTTCAAAGGTAACTTTTTGCTAAGCCTCACTGTCTTGACATCTTACTTATTACTTACTAATCCATATGACATTATGGTAATCTGGTATTATTATCGATATCAAAATACATTATACAGACAGTTTTTGCATTTAAAATTGCACAATTTTTGTTAAGTTGCAAAACAACTCCACGTACTATAATTTGGTATAACGCAAGATACAGAGTAAGGAATGCTCTTTTAAACGAGCGTTTGGTTATGGTAAAGCCAATCCGGAGTTATGAACATTTACAGAAAAAAGCATCAAAAATTCCCCACTTTATTTTAGCAGATAGGGGAAAATGGTTCCAATATTTTCTATAATGTTTTCCAAAGCTCAGATAAAAAATATCTAGTAAATTATACATTTAGAATATCTTAATCATCTTTAAAGACATATAGATATATTTTAAAAAGCTGTTTAAAAATCGCAAACCAAATGCCAAAAACATGGCGGATATATCTGTCGTATGAGTCCCTGGCAGGACATTTGCGAGTCGACTATATGCGCGCAAAAAAAATCGTTTTCCAAATGGAAAGCAGCGGCAAAAGTGGAGAAATTCCATCATTCGACGCGATAAACATAAATTTTCCGTTTTTTTCCGCGAGAACGCCGGTAATAGCCGCGTTTCATTGTATATACGCCATTTTTTTTCTTTCGATCGAGTGTACCACACACGCAAATTGCTAATCGCGCGACCTATCCGCCATATACAATTGAATTGCCAGGTTATACACGGATAAGCAGATTTCCATTCGCATGTATTATTTTCTTTAATCGCGCGACGATGATCCCGCCCCCGACTCAGAAGTACAATAAAATTTAAAAATTTCATGTTTAATTACTTTATTACTTTTGACCCAAAGAAATGGCAGATGCCACAACATTTTTCCCAAATAAAAAACAAAACTATAATTGATATAATCTATTAAATTAAAAAAATTAAATTTAATTAAAGTATAAAATTTTAAAAAAATCAAGTTTAGCTCTCGTATGACGTCCGTTATTTTGTAGGGCGGTATGCCCTTTAGAGTCTCTTAGGGCCTTGTTTTGGTTAATTTTCTTGGCAATTTCTTACTGTTTTGGATGCTCATGTAGGCGATTTCAACGCCTTTAGTTCTGTGTCCATGGCCTGCCTAGAAGCATTCTTGCACAGAGCTGGATGGTAAGCGCTTCCGCTTGGAAAATCCCATTCACATCGACCTTCGTACCGTGCGTTCAATTTATCTCGATAACATTTTAAATGGCTCTAACTTTTTTGTTTTTAGAGACGTGGAGTTAGCCAAGTTGCTACCATTTAATCAGCGCTGATATATTTAGGGGTAAATCTTCTATATATTGTTCTATTTGGTGCTCTAAGAGTTGCAAATAATGATCTGCAGTTAGCCTTTGATCTGTAAATATTGGACTCAAAATATGCCCATCTGTGATGTGTGTGACCTATGACCACACCATATATTAATTGATTTTTACCCTGGGTTTTTAATTCGTGTGTTTTTCTAGGATTATTTAAAGATCATTATCGCGTATTTTGTATATTACAACCCTTTCGTGAACGAACTTTCACCAGTCCATAAAATGTTTTTTATAAAATTATTATTCTCATTATGTCTATTTCAAACATCCAAACAAAATTGCATCCTCATTTGACATTCTTCTGCACTTATATTCTTTCAAAACTGAGCGGCTTAATCCCCGAGAAATCTTTTCATATACTCTAGTAATAGAGTAAACTGGCTGTGCTTCATAGAATCCGAATATGTTTCATTCATTTTCATAATTCCGGCATACCTTTTTAGCATTTAAAATATTACCATTTTCTGCAAAATTCTTTGCCAGCCTTGGAAATATCTGTTTTGAAGGAGCTCGGCGCTCTGGATAAAGTCTAATATTTACTTTACTATTTATTATTCAGAAACTATACTTGAAGCATATCAGTCCTTTCACGGATGCTAAATTCGCGAAAAACCATTTTAACAATAATGACTGGACAATAATTAAACCATCAAAGTTGTTTACGAATGTGTCAAACATAAAAATATTTTTATTTGTCACTCTTTGAAATTATACAAAAATTTCTTATTTTTGCCGACTAAAATATAAAGTGTGTCACATCATTGTAATCCGAACACATATAATATACAGGGTGTCCCATTAAAAAAAATATGATGTAGGCTTATGTGTCAGAAAATTGATAGTTTTGTTTTATAGGTCACTTGGTAAAAAAACGCTACTAACACTACATTTTGTTTTTTGTTTACCTTGATACCTCTAAAAACAAAAATGATCCCCTAAATTTTGGCACCGTTTAACCAACGCTGTCCTTTCCCCATTAAGTCAGTCTTGTTCTGACCCAACTCTTACCAGCGGGGCAGGTTTGTTTCGTAGGTCAGGTTCGACGTTGTTGCATCTTGGCAAGTGAAAGTAAAAAATTGTGTTGAAACACAATGGAACTTTTTCTCCAAAAAATAGTGGAAATTGGGTGAAAAATTCCAAGTGGCGGGAAAAAATTCCCAGGCGGGTATCGGGGAGAATAACCGGAAGCGAAAAATCGGGCCGCGGCGGCGACGACGATGCGAAAGAAGAGAGCTCGACGGCACCTTCTTCGGAGAGTATAAATCGTATTGTGCTGACCCGCATTGTTTAGTCCGTCAGCGCTTCAAAAAGAAGCGAAACTAAACCCATCAAATACGACAATCCCAGGATTTTTACGCGACGCGTATATACCGTGCATTCCCTATGACACGTGTGTGTGTTTGGAATAATTTATAATGAAGGTAGGCTTGCAATAAAATTAATAAACCCTTTAACAGTAAAAAGAATAATAATAAAGTAATTTAAAAGAATACCGGGTATGTCAAATTTTCAAAAAATACCATTCATTTATCATAGGACAAAACTAACTCTTTTTTTATATAAACGTGTGTTCTAACTTCTTTTCTTTACGAGATACAGGATGTCAATGTGTAAAGAAATAATTGTCTTATTATTTATTCAAAAAACCTTTAGCCGAATTGTGATCGAAACAAAATTATTTGTCGAGAGGATGAACTGATGAAATAGATTCGTTTAGAAAAATTGATTGCACTAAAACAATTGGTATTTAATCAGATTAATTATATTACCAAACACAATTAACGATTTCTTTCAGAAAATTTAATAAAACTAAAGAACAAATAGAAAAACATAAGGGATTTAAAAAATAATTTTTATTTTTTGAGTATACCTAATTAAATAAAAACTCGAGTTATATGAAAAGTTCAGGAACATGCAGGACAGGTTTTTATCTTAAAGATGAAGCTAGATACAGAAAAAAAACGAAGGAACAAAAAAAGTCTCACTTTTGATTGCTTGATCTAAAACAACAAAAAAAGTTTTCAAAAAATCAGTATGGACGCCACTGGAATGAAAAATGTTATTTTGATTAACACAAAATAAAAAAGTTGAAAGGTTTATGAGTAACTAATAAAAATCAAATAAAAAGCCGTTTTTCTCTATAAAAGTTTTGCACCCCGTATCTAGGTCAAAATAAAGAAAGTTAGTTTGTTATGTTATATGAAAAAAAAAATTATTCTTTGTACTGAATACCGCATCATCCTTTATTAGAAGTACTTTTCCTAGCAAAACTCAGCTGTTTAGACTTTCCAATAATTTAGCTATAATTCTAATTATTACCTAAAATACCAAAAATAGAAATTAATGACATTATTTTTACTTATATTGTATTTTATATTTATTATTTAACTGTGTGTCATAGTTTGATTATTATTAGGCCTTTAGCCTAGCTATATATCTTTAGGTAAAAGTTGAAATGAAAAGAAAGGAAAAACAACAGAAAACTAAAAGCACAAAGAGCAAAAATAAATGTAGACAATTTAAAGGATAGAAAACGAAATAAAGAAATTAATGTAACGGAAATACGATCGAGCAGGTTTAATTAGATACCCACAAGCGCCAATTCTATTGTTTCGGATATTATCGACGATAAGGGACCCTTTTATTTTAGCATGACCTAAATTGATGGCAAATATGCTCTTCACTGGTGTGGGAAGATATTATGTTAGTATTTTTTAATTTTACCCATTCGTATCCGTATCGAGCTGTCAGGACGACCTCTTTGTAAAATGAGAAGTAAATTAAGGCCAGCGGCGTTTATTATGAATATTATTAATCGTGAATCTAGGTGACCGGTTCAAATACAGAGAGAACGGAAACACTTTTCTAACGGTGGCATGTGGCGAACGGCTTTTTTCGCTGTCGCCGATCTCTACAGGGCGTTCCATATCCGTTATAGAGCGATAAATATTAGCAGTTAAAACCATTACATCCATTTCCTTGCTAGTCTTCCTTATCTTCTTCTGTTTGTTGGCTCAAATTAATCACTATCTTTGGCCATCCTTCGAGGTCCATTCTCCTTACGTAGGTATACTACAAAGTTGTTTTGTTTCCACTGTATCTATGCTAGTGCATCCTCTTCCTATTCGTCTTCTTATTTCCTCATTATTCTTGATTTCTACACGCTCTACTAAAAAAATCCATTTCACCTATTTTTATTTTCTTTTTGTTCAGCACTCCCATGCAAGGACATTTCACATAGTCAGTTTTGTTAAATTTAAATTCAATTTTATGTATTCTACTCTCTTATTTTTAGACGCTACATTTTCCCCATACTCATATTTAACCCCCATTGCTGCGTCGCATCCAGATTATCAATTGACTTGTATTCCCATTCCATTATATTCTAAAAGTGTTGGGGTGAGACTACAGCCTTTAGTTGACTTAGATAAAACTAAATTTTCGAAATATCAAGGAAACTAATTTGGAGTATATTGTTGCCGCGTCGCAGATCGTACTGCTCATCCTGCTGTCGTCGTGCGCCCTCGTAGTCAACTCAGAGTACCCGCGATTCAAGAGGCGAGGCCCGCAGCCCCCGCCGCCGCCACCGCGCCCGCCGCCATACACGAAAAAATGGCAAAAACCGCCCGGACAATTCCAGCGACCCTCGAACGGGCGGGGACGTCCACCGGCCATTCCCCCCAAAATTATGCAGCAGGCGTTCAAGATACCGCCCATCACCAAGCCGCACCAACACCAGCCGTTCCCGAAACATCACCAAAAGAGACCTGCCGCACCCGCGGCCTTCTGGCAGAGGCCTCACCACTTCGACCAAATCAACAACAACAACGTTCAGTTCCCCAAGCAGGAGATCGTCGCCCATTTGGCGCCACGTAAGTTATACTCTATACAGGGTGCTACTGAAAATTTAGTCAATTCGCAGTGTTGAAACATATTTGATTGTTTAACTAGTGATCACTACTTGTTTTGAAGATATTCATTAATTTCTATAGTTTTCGGCTGCACTAGTTTCTTGTAGATTACTGTCTTTGGCGATATACGGGGTGTTTAAGAAATCATTATTTTAGCGCCTTATACAAAATTGGCAATAATACAAATGTTTTAAAGGGTACGTCATCTATAATATCCAGTATTCTAATACATAATTAAACTCCCTTTCAATCGACGTATACTATTCCTATACCCTAGTTGATACGCTTTTCGTAATTACCGAAATTTTCTCTAAAAATCAAATTATTTTGACCTATTTGGTTAACTTAAATTAACTGGTTAGTTTTAAAATTTGACAATAGCCAAGAATTTTTTTTATCATCATTAATTAAAATTGGAAGAAAGTCATCCGAAGAAATGAGCATTTTTGGGCAGACCAGAATCCAAAAGCGGATGGAATTTCGATAGAAATTTAGTTTAAACGTTCAGGCTTCAATTTACGATGAAACGTTAAATTCGGCCAAATATCTCGAAATCTCGAAATTCTGAGTGAACCTTCCACCGCAAGAATACTGAAACCCGTGGCATCAGCTTGGCTCACTGTCCGCAGGAAGTAATAGAAGAGTTGTCTCAAATGTTTGGCGATTGATGGTTTAAAAGATCGGGTTCCTGCAATTGGCGGGCAACAGAGGATCTACAATGCAATATCGGCAGTAATCAGAAAGAACTTTGGCAATAGATTAGGGGGGCCGCATTTTATTCTGAATGATTTTTTTTTAGTTTTTTGGAAATTGAGGTCATTTGCAACATTTATTGTAAATTAGGATACTTTTGGTTGAAATTTGTCCACAATATTCATAAATAACAAATAACATCTAAATACGATACTATTATCAAATTTTCATAGCGACATATCTCATGATATTTCACACCACATGTCAAAATAAATCGTTTTTTAGAGAAAATCGGTTTTATTTTGAAAATCGTAGTATTTAGGTTTTGGAATATTATACAATCAATTGAAATGGGTTATACTTAAGTATCTAATTTTGGATAATCTTCAAATTTTAAACACCTCGCACAAAATTTGGAAGGCAAAATATTAATATTTTTAGAATTTATCAGAAAATATAACTGAACATCTAAAACATAGTATTTTTAAATAACGCCATGAAACATCCTATACATAAGTCCACGTCTTTAAAGAGCATATCCCTATGATTATTACATATATAGTTTGTCTATGTTTGGACCAACTGGACATTGGTATAAAAATTAAAAAAAATAAGTATGGAAACCAATTTAAAGATAAACAACTTACTTACAACTGCTCAATATGACCTCTGTTAATCGTCTATAATCGTCACCTGCTTTATTAAAAGCATCAACTGATGGTAATTTTCATTAATGAAAGATTCCTTTATTCAATATTAATATTTTGACACTTTCGGACCCAATTTTTCAAAAACAGCATATCAAGACAAACTATATATTTCTGTAATAGTAGAAACGTGCCTTTCAAAAATATAGATTATATACAAAGTGTTTCCTTTTTAAAAAATGACCTTATAAAAAATATCGCATTTCCAATTTCTATATCCCGATTTAACAAAAATTCGAGAATTCCAGCGACCTTGAGACGCCCTATATATATGAGGTCAATTGGAACAGCACACAAAAATAACCTTTTGGAAGGATCTTCGATACGATCTAATTCATTTCCTCTTCTTAATACTAAATACCAAAACTGGTCCGTAATAAATAAAACGATCCATTATACTGTCTGGAAGCCCATAGGAGATACGAAAAAAAGTTTCGTACAAAACTGCCTTGGACTCTGATGAAGATTTAAAATATTATAATTTTGTTGATACAGGGTGTCCCAAAAGTGTGATATTGACATCAACTTTGTTTTCGTGAATCGTGGGTTAAAATAATTAATAATATATATAATATATAATATATTAGAATAATCGAGGTTATGTATTTTTTTTCATATTTTGATTGACAGACTAAGGAGATGCACTACTCATTCAGTTGATACGCCTCAGCTTTTACGGGGTGTCCCAAAATAGGTGGTGCCGTTTTGGCGAATTCAATTAACAAAATCTCGAGATTTTCCAAGGGAACAATCTCTATTTTTATTCAGATATCAATTGTAGGACAAAAAATAAGGTAAGTTTGTAATTTATCTTATATTTAAATTTTACATACTTTTTGAGATATTCGAAGTTTAAGATAATACATCTATCAATTCTTATAGAATTTAAAGCTGCCCACATTAGGTCACTTGTTGGCAAATATCAAATTTTTAGCAAAAACATGATACTACCTTCTTTTAAAGGTTTGATTCTCCAGATATACGAATAAAACCTATTGCTAACAATACAAGGTATCCACTAATACGTGGAAATTTTGAACAAAAATCGACTTTATACTGCGGACTTTCAACAGATTTAATAAAACTTAATAGTTAATTATCCAGATTGATTGAAAATACCCAATAACAAAAATAAATAATTAAATGTAAATAATTAACCAAAAAACTATAACTTATTTAAAATACATATACACTAGCAGAAAACTTTTATGAATTATGAACTTTTTAAATATAAATATGAAAAACAACAAAAACAAACAGAAATGTCACAGTTTGTTTCTAGCTTAATGCGTCGAAACAAAAAAGGGTTGTGATATCCATTTTTAAATTATTTTTTTTTATTATTTTTTTTTAATATATTTTATTATATTTTTAACTAAACTTTATGGACCGAACCAACAAACCCTTTCAAGTTAACTTTTTTTTATAGTTTATTTATTCAAATTTGTTACCTTGGTTAGTCTATAAATTTTAATTATTTATTTATGTTATTAGGTATTTTCAATCAAGCTAGATAATAAAGTGATAAATGTTTTATTCGTATATCCGGAGTATTATATCCGTAATAGAAGTAGTATCATGTCTTTGCTATTTAAAAACTACCTAATATTGCTAAGAAGGGACCTAACGTGGGCAGCTTTAGATTCAACAAGATTTTACACGGGTATTATCTTAAACCTCGAATGTCTCAAAAAGTAAGTCAAATTTAAATATAAGATAAATTACAAACTTACCTTATTTTTTGTCCTAGAATTGTTATATGTTAAATTTTCGTTGCAATACCTATATCAGTAGCGTCACAACACAATTTTATATGGGACAATCAAAATATTAAAAAAAAAAAAAACACACAACCTCAATTTCTGCCTAAACAATGCAAAATTCCAATAGGATTTTCTTAGGAAAGTGACCTTTATGTTAACCAAGGATTTCGTTAAAAATAACACAGATTGATGTAGGGGAGACACTTTTAGGGCAAAACATATTATAATATTTTAAATTTTTAGGAGAGTCCAAGAGACTAGACTATTTTTCGCGTTTCCTAAGGGTTTGCCGATCGTATAGTGGATCGTTTTATTTTGCACTCGGTGTACGTTCTCAGATAAACAAGAGAAGGCGCCATTCCAATCTTCGCCGGCGATCCCTGTGGCGGTGGACTACGACTACCACGTCCAGACCAACAACATCCCCACGCACGCGAATCCGATCAAGCAGATCGGCGAGAAGGGTCCGATTCACACTATTCCGGCGCCCAACCTCAGTATGGCGGACGCGCCCAAGCACGCGTATCAGGAAATTAGGCGGCCGCACCAGCAGCACTACGGCGTCGTGCACCAGTACCAGGTCACGGAACCCGACGAGCAAATAGCCGGGCCGCAGGAGCCGGTCCGCGCGTACCAAAATCAAATCCACTTCGACCAAATGCCCCAAGAGACATACCAGTACAGGCCGCAGACGCAGGCGATATTGTCGACGTACCTGCAGCAGCAGCCGGCGGCGGTCGACAAGAGCATTAACGTGAGACCGTCCTACCAATCATTCAACTACGACGAACAGGCGCAGCAGCAGCGCACCAAGTCGGGCGCAGGCTTCGTAACAGCCACTTATAGCCTGGGCGATGACCGGCATCTGGTATCGGACGACGACCAAGACCCGTTAACGCAGGCGCAGATCGTACAGAGTTACTTCGACACGGGGGCCAAGACGGGCGACGGCGGCGGCGACGCCGACGCCAAACCGAGCGCGTCGGACCAAGAGAGACTGCTGGCGTCTTATTACGCGTCGCTGCCTAACCAGGAAGCGGCCGAGCGACTGGCCCGCCTCCAGGCGGCCGGCAAAGTAAACAGCAACCTGATGAAGGTCGGGTACCAGACGGCCGAGAATTCGATCGACATTTACGTGCCGGACGACGACGCCCAGACGTCGAGGAAAGACGTCGACCGCGACGAAGCGGCTACCGATTACGAAGACGAGGTGGAGGAAGGGGAGACTCTCCAGTCGCAGGAACAGACGGCCGGCTACGGCGCCAAGCTATAGCGCCGCTCTCTATTTATTTATTGTTAATTTATTACATTTCTCTTGCCCTTGTTGTTGTAATATTGTTGATTTTTATTTAATAAAATCGTTGGAAATGAGACGGATGTGTCACTAATGACGTGCGTCGAAGTGGACGCGGATATCGAAGCAGAATGCGTTCTTCTAAAGCGTCGGCTGGAGGAAACGAAAACGCAGCTCCTGAGTCTCTGTCGCGAGTTGCCGCGAACCAGGAACGAACCGGAACTAGAGAGGTTAAACCAAGTAAGGCGCGACATGGTAGAAACCTTTTACGATAAGCTGATTGGGTTGGAAAAGAAGAGAAATGACTACGGCGAAACGGAAATAGAGGCAGCCCTAATCAACCGGCAATATTGCATCGATTTGAAGACGCGACTGCAGCAGCAAATCGACAAGGAATGGGAGGAAATATCTTCCATGTATGTGTCACAGGCTCCAGCTGGGGGTACCCTCGAAAGCCGAGAACGGGTAGATTGGCTAAGTAACGTCCGACACCGATTAGGAGTACTAGGTACGTAAAATCTCTCCGTGGACGTCGAATTCGTTGTACTGTTGTACAGCAAGTTCGACTAAGCAAAAACCGATGCAGGAGGAATCCAGAAGTTTTTCTAAAAAGCGTTACAGTAGCCTGTGGAACTTTCTTTGAAAAACGGTTATTCATTATATTTTGACACCCACCTACATGGTTAATTTTGAAAAAGTGCAAATAAAAAAGTTTGTAGATTTTTGCTCTATTATATTATGCAAATATATATATATTCATTTCATTAGCCGTTTTTGAGATAATTCAGTTTAAAAATAATTATCCTTCGATTTCTGGACAATAGCCATATTGTTTAAAAATGGTCCAGTTTGCCTTAATAGCACATTATCTATGCAATTGTTTTAACAATGTTCCACTTATCCAAACCTAACATCTGGAGCGTAAGTTAACTAACTTAAGATATTTCAAATGGGTTATACCGAGGAAGAAAAACTACAAATAATAAAATTATATTATTCAAACAATAAAAATATCAATAATTACATTAAATGTTATTTTTTTAAGTATCCCCATAAACAAATCTCACAAGGATTCAGGTTGTTGGAAGGTTATTTGACAGTTCCTTGCCTACCTATTCAAAGTCTACCTTCATTATTTAGATAATCGGTAACCGGTTGGACATTATGTGGTGGTGCGCCATCTTGATGCCAAATGTGGGCAAGGAAATTTAAATATCGTTGGCCATTCAAGGATCCTTTGTGTATATAAAAAGCTGGAGGACCGATATAAAGTTCAGTTAGCCATTTTTGTTTTTTTACTAGACTCCAATAAGTCCCCGTCGTACTTGTTTGATAAACTTTCCAGAGATTTTTAGCTATAACGCAGTGAAATTATTTAATGAAATATCTTATGCTACAAAAAAGCGCTAATATTGTTTATTAGGCCCGCCTGTAACTAGCAAAAGTGTACGAGTTTAAGATGTGCGTCTATTTCTTGTATTTACAATGTGTATACGGGTGTGTATTTCGTTGACAATTATGGTGTTGGTGTCGTTGTTCTTGTAGTTACATGGAAGAGCGCAAATTGCGAATGTCGCCACTATTGTATTGTTACTTATATTGTAATATTTTTATTTTCACTAAAGACAATTTATTATTATTATAATATGGTTGCCAGCAATGCAGACTTGATCAATTTTTAAACAATATGGCTATTGTCCAGATATAGAATGATTATTATTTTTAAACTGAAACATCTCAAAAACGGCTAATTGAAACGTCAATAAACTATATGTTTTTGTAATCAGGAAAAAAAGATCTACGACTCAAGCTAGTAATATATAGGGCATTCCATTAAAAAAAAATGATATTGCTGTGACTTTTTGACTGCTTGCGATCGTCCTTTGTTTATTCTGACATTTGCGTAAGATAATAGAGCAAAAATCTTCAATTTTTTGTATTTACAACCCTGTAAAAACGGAATGGTTTAGACAATGCGACGCAGAAACTAGTGTTCAGCTTCAAGCGGGCGGCGGTGATGGTTTTCAGTGGTCTGTTTCGAGAGCTCAAGAGTCTCGAAGACCCTTTGACGGATATACACAAGTTGGAGGAAACGGAGCTCCACTACGATTTGGACACATACTTGCTGCGCGCGAGCGATGACACGTTTGGATCTCATAGGAAAGTTTGGGAAGCCGCATTGGCCGACATGGAGGGAATAATAGAAGACGGTTGCCGGTTTCTGGCGGCGGCGCTAGAGCTGTGGCAGCATGACTTCGAGAGAGTCCAAGTGATGCAGTCTCTCGTGCTGCGAGATATCGATGAGACGATGCGGTGGAACGATGCATTAGCTCAGGTATCGGCGGGAAATTGACTGTGGTGCCACCTAGTGAACGCTTCCGTGTTCCAGAGTCACGAACCCGAACTGAACATCTTGATAGACACTTTGAGAGAGGAGTCGAGCAGGGAGGAGCTGGACGGGATAATGGAACGAATCTTCGCGTTCCTGCGCCAAATAGAAGACCGGTACGCTGCGCAGCACCGAGCCGAATGCGACGTCGCCAAGAAGTACGACGCCCTCGCCGAAGTAGAAGGGAACGTGGTCCGCCACGAGATAGTGAGGTTCCTGCTGGTTTACGAATCCTACACAGTTCGCAAAGAAGACGACCATGACGACGCTGTCTTGCCGAATCAGATGCTCTACTGCAAATTCCAAGTAGGCGCGTTGAAAAATTGGCAGTTTGGGTGTGGAGTTCGGTTCGGAGTTGAGTTTGGATTAATTACCCCGTTTAAGGCTCTGGCTGGCGATAAAGAAATACTTGGAGACGTCCAGGGAGGAGATACGGAGCGCGGCCGCCGAGTGGGTCGCGGATCAAACGGCTAGAATTGACGCTAGGTGGGAGTTGCGCTTGGAGGTGCACCGCCGCGTCCCGGAATGCGTGGAATTCTACGTCTACCGGGAAAGGCTCGAGGAGCTCTGTAGACACAACGCTAAGCTGACGGCCTACGAGAAGGTAATCCGGAAAAGAACATTTGCATTCATTTGCTGATGACACTCAGCTATTTTACTCCTTCGATCCTAAATTATTTGATATTGCTTCAATTTTGGATTTGCATAACTTATTTCTATATTCTTCTAGGCATAATCTTCAACTTAATGCTAAAAAATGCAGTTTGATCTTCTTTTCTCCTAAACCTAACATTGAACGCGTATCCAAAATGTATTTAAATTATCCTTGGTGTTATATTTGATAGTAGACTTAGATTCGTGGAACATGTAAAAAGTCATATTTCCTTATCCTGTCCTTAATTTCAGTTTACGGAAACTTCAATCACTTGTCCTTTTGAATATGAACTATGGTTTAGTCCTCTATTACCCACGTCTTGATAGTATTAGTAAATATAGATTGCAAAAAATTGAAAATGGCTGTTGCAGATTTATTTTCGGCTTACGTAAATTTGATAGGATTTCCCAGAAACTTAACTGGCTAAAAATTGACAATACTTTCAAGTACTTTTTGGCGTCTATGGTTTTATTGTTAGCACATCCAATCCGTACTACTTACGAACTAAATTACAGTTTCGTAATGGTCAATCACAGACTACAGACTCTCACTACCACGATATCGTTTATCTTTGTTCCGCAGATCATTTTCTTATAAGGCTGTTGTAATTTTTAATAGTATACCCGATTCGGTCAAATCACATGCAATTAAATTCTTTAAAAATATTTCAGGTAGTCCTTTTTATTTTTACTTTTAATAACTTTGCTATTATCAATGTAATTATAGCTTCCTATTTAGTTGTCAATTTAAACATTTAGGAGGTTAAGTGAAGTAGCTCTTGCCAGACTTCGCTTCTTAACTACTGTATATAACAATATACAACAATAAAGGAAATTTCTAATAATAATAATAATTATTATTATTTCCAGGCAGTGCAAAATAATGTTGAGCGACTAAAACGGGACCGACCGGAATACGACTCGATATGCGCACGGTATAGTCAAGAACTTCGACGTCTCGAAGTCAAAACCACGGTCAACGCGAATTTCGCCATTCTCCAGACTTTAACGGCCAAAACTCTGGAAGACGTCCACGGAGGATGCGCGGAATACGCGAAACGATGCGACGTGGTGCTGAGCGAAACGAACCAAACGAGTTTCGAGTTCCTCCGGGCAGCCAGGTCAGACCAGACTAACGAAAACTCCGGTATCTGTAGCTGAGCTGCAGGTTGTTCCACGAAGGGGGCAACTTCGACGCGCGGGAAGCCCGCGACCTCGCAGGACGCCTCAACGCGCTGAACGCATACGCGAAAAAAGGCGCAGAAAGTGCGAAAAACGACGACCAAAACCGCGCGGCGGTCGCCCGTGACGTAGTAGCGGCCCGCACGGAAGAGACGTTTCGAATGTAAGTGGTGTGCTCTGCCGGGCAAACGCCGAACTCAAATACAACTCTCAGGGTAGAGTTCTCCAAACCATATACCGATTTTAAGACATAATCCGGTATTTAACTTGTCAGGCAACACGTATCATCTAAGGTATCCTCTCCTATCATTCGAGATATCTCGGGCGAGGTCTCCTATAACCAGGACTTCAATTGAAATGAATTTGCTTCATATTTCTCACTATAAGGGTCCTATAAATCTAAAAGTTGAAAGAATATTCTGCTCCCGGACCTGATTGAATATGCTGTAAAATCTTTAAAGCGTGTGCCGCTGTGCTTGCAGAGCCTATTTATAATATTTTGAGAACATCTTTGGACTCTGCCACACTCCCGACCCAGTGGTTATCAGCAAATGTAACATCGATTTATAAAAAGGGTAATAAGCTCGATATTTCAAATTACCGACCTATCAGCGTAGGGTGTGTTATATGTATAAGTTCTTGAGCGCCTTATAGTAAATCAGCTTTTACCGTTTTTGATCGACTGCCTATACCTACTTACATCACAACATGACTTTGTTCCCGGCAGATCAGTAATATCAAATACATTGAGATGCTTGGATCACTGGACATTCTCTCTTGACTCAGGTGATCCGGTGGATATTATATACCTGGACTTCAGCAAAACGTTCGGCAAAGTGTCATATCGACGCTTGGTATACAAACTTGAAAAGGTCGGAGTGAGGGGTAAACTGCTAGAGTGGATAGCGGCGTTTTTAAGCTACCGATCGTTCAGAGTTCGAATTGGTAACGCTTTTTCACTTCCACAAAACGTGCCTAGTGGTGTTCGCCAGCGATCGGTGCTGGGACTGGTGCTATTCTTAGTGTATACCGTGAATTTGTTCACCAGCATTGATTCTCATGTGAGCGCTTATGCTGATGGCACTAAATGATTTGAAAATCCTTCAACACATGCGGACGTATTGCTCAAAAGTACTCTGTGCTGCATGTTGGCAAGAACAATTCCGGTTTAAAACAAAACTATTCAGATGGACCTAGGTGTGACAGATAATGATCTTGCGTGGTCTGTACATGTATCAAATATTGCAAAGAAAGCAAACTGCGCGTTATTTTTGTTAAAAAAGACTTTTCATCGCATCGCTTGCAGACTTTTTACCACTTACATTCGCCCCATCCTGGAGTTTGCTTCCCCAGTCTGGAACCCATGGCTATTGCGTGACTGTGATGCTCTGGAAAGAGTGCAACGAGCCGCTACGCGCTGTCCACGTAAACTTAGACATACACCTTACGATGACCGTCTCAAAATACTTAGTCTGCCAACATTAAATCAGCTACGTGGTTATCCATTTAAAACAAGAGACGAACAATTCAGGATTGCACATGGCCTGCATTTTACAAGTAAGAGGACTTTCAATTATTAGAACAGTTTGCCCCCAAAGTTGTGTCTGCGCCGAACATGTCTGCATTTAAACGTCGCCTGGACAGTGTATTGTTTCACAGCAATAACTAAATGTTTATTATATGTATAACAGTCTCAGTCTCATCTATCAATGTGCAGTTTATTCTTTGTAATAATTTTTTTTTATGAAGATCTAACCGCAGGCCTACCTCGCTTGGGTTCCTCTCTGTAACCTTAATTCGGTACTTCGTGCATACAAATGCTGAAAGCTGTGTAGAGTTTCATAGGTGATATCTCTCTATTATTAGTCCGTGCGGTGAAAAATCGGAAAACATGCATTATAAATCAATTATCTACATAAGATTTCGTATTGCTTTCCTAAGAAAACATTTTATAGTCATTATGTTAAACCCTTCAGTTTAAGCTTTTTTAATGTGTTTTTTTTATAAAACGTACACTAATATGAATTAATAAAAAAAAATCCCTACTCTTGCCTTCTAACATCTTAAATACGGCCCTGGCTTGTGGCACACGTGCTGAAAAGAATGTTCCCTTCCGCTTTGCAACAGACGGATCTTAAACTCATTCCGAAGTCAAAACCATAAAGGGTTGTAAAAGCGGTATATCGCTTGGAGAACCATTAGAAGCGACCAATTGAGAGACTAGCACTGCAATTGAATAAGAAAGCACATAGCAGAGCCATCATTTATTTGTTTATAGGAAGGGTCAGCTTTTTTGTTTATTTATGTTGGTATCAGAGCTTGATACAAATCGGTACACACCAAAATGTATGAGAGTTTAATATTCAGATATTTCCTATTACAATTTGTCAAAGAAACTTCCGAAGGATACTCTAATATTACTTGCACATCTTCTGAATTGTTTTTCCTTCTACTTAAAATTAACTACCCACGTCTTAAAGAAGGCAAAAGCATCTGATATCTCCAATCCTCATTTTTTGCCAGAGCGTTCCAGATGTTGCTGCATGATAATATATTCCGCCCGGTGAAACAATTGATAAACCAAGTATATTTGGACTCTGCGAAATCCTTGTGCCGTTCATAAAATCAAAATGCAAAATGCAATGCTTAGCAAAATTTTACTATTGCTACGATTTGGCGAACAAACTGAATTTTTATTTACCTCCAAGAACTTTAACGGCCATTACCTGTACTACTCTTTACAAATATTCTAGATTCTTCTTGCGTCAGTTGATCAATCAAACTTGCTGAAGTTTCGCCACTCAGCAGATTTGTAAATAGTATTACAGTAGTCTGAGGAAGTTTTTTTAAAAAAAAGCCATCACAGGTGTTTTGCTCTACATATACCAGCCAGCTTCCAACCGCGTTATTTTACCATATTTGTACCCTGAGGATAAGGATTATCGAGGAAGAGCGTCGGTTCGATTACGAGGCCAAGCGCATCGTGAGGCGCCTAGAATCCGATGCAAAACGTCAAGCAAATGAGTTAAGCGATCGCCTAAAACGGGCCAAAAAATCTTTCGATGAGCTTCGTCAAAATATTAACGACGAAGACTTCGATAAAGTTTCGTCAACGTATTCGACGATTTCGGACGACATAATTCATGTGGGTGAACGTCTTCTCAAGACCGTCCCTAGCGAAGGAGAGCAGTGGCGCCATCTACAGGCTATAGGCGAGGTAACCCGAGCCCTTTACCTGCCTTTTTAAAATAACCGCAAACTCTGGAACCAACACGACCTCTACAATAAGCCGTGAATCACCACGAAAAGAGAGGATAAATGTCACTCGCTTTTAAGGTTATATATTAGGTTATACGTTTTGAATTCTTTTTTATTGTTTAGAAAAATACGCAAAATAATGGGTATTTGGTACTGAAAGAAGGGCAAATTGAAAGGAATAGTATTTGCGAAATACGCCGTTACTAGTTTAGAGGTATTAGTGTCAGTGAGTAATAACAAAGCCTTGTGTTTCGTGTATTACTAGCTTTTTTTTATATATAATCATGTGAGAATTTCCTCCTTCTCACAAGATTTGACCTAAACAAACACCAAAATCTCAAGATGGATTTTCTAATCTTATTCATTTTAAGGTATGTGAGCTTTATTTTCAACCCCATGAAACACACACAAGTTGCACTGCTGTAATCACCGAGTAAGTTGTGCAGAAATAAGGCAATAGTCAAAACTCGAGGGTATCAAACAGGCAGTAGCGGACAGTGTTCCGAGTGCACTTATATTATTAATTTTGAGGAACTCTTTGAAGAGATAAATAATTTAAATATTGCTAGCAAGCAACAAAACGTCACAGACACATAATTTCAATAAAAATATGAGATCAAATCTCCTTAAGAAAATAATTACTGAAGTAACTTTTTAAATTTAATTACAACTACTTTAACAACTGCCTGAAAAAAAACATATCCTGTTATTGGTAAAACAGCAAATTAATTTACTGAAATTGGTGACGGCTTGCAAGCTAAAATTTCCTAATCTTGTTTATTTTAAGGTATGCCAGCTTCATTTTTAGGGTCAAGAAATTGAAAGGGTTACAACAAGTAACAGAGTCCTCTTATGTTACTAATTTTGAGGAACTCTTTGGGGAGATATTGCTAGCACATAACAAAATGTCCCAAAAACATAGGTCTATATTTAAGTTGAAGTAAATACAATAAATTTAATAACTGATATAAATCTTCTTGAAAAAATAATTACATCCTTGTTCCGCAGCCAGTTATTTTCAATGCCGGCCACCGACCTGAGACGAGACTGAACAATAAGTAACCTCTAAATTTGCTCTACTAGAATCTAGGAATCATGTGGTTGTTTCCATAATGGATGAAATTCACATTAAACCAAATATAGACTACAAATTTGGAAATCTTGTGGGTGGTGTCCTTAATGCTTCAGAATATACGTGTGCACATGTGTTTAAGATAAATAGCAGGATTTCTATAATGATATAAAAAAATTAAAACGTATATTTTTATCCTCATATTTGACATAATGAACGTCATGACCGAAACATCTCTCCCTTAATGTGATTACTCGTAATTCAGCATTGCGAGGCCTTAGGATATACGAGGTGTAATGCGTTTTTTACGAGCAAACGTTACAAAATGTAGCGCCAATGTGGGCGGGTTCCTTGTACCAATCGGGATCCCTCGCGAGACCGCGTCTCCTATAGAACGAGTCCCGAATCACTTGACGCCTGCCAAACCCGGTCCTGTCCGTATGCGCGACCATGTCCCACATACGCCAGCCGTATTCGAAGCTCGACACCTCAGGGAAAAAGTACCTCTCCTCGGGCAACAGTTTGACGCGTTCTTTGAGGTAGTTCGACCTACCGTCTTTGTTGTTCCCCTCGTAAATCAGTCTCGTGGTGGCTGGGTCTACGGGTTTCATGACGCCCTGCGGGACTCCGTGGGACGGGGGCGGTGCCGAGTCGTCCTTTTTCACGCGCGGGTATTTTCGAGCGTTTCGGAAAGCCGAAATACGTTGCTAGAAGCGATTTTGGGGGGTGTAGAACCAAAGGATGGAGGAAACCGTTTTAATGCACTAGACCGACTTTACAAAATATGCGAGCAAAACCAACGCTTGGACCGTTCATCTCCCGTCAAATATGTTTAACAACGCCATTTGCCGATAAGCAACAAGCGTTTTAAAACCGTTAAAAACATTTATACATAAACAATTCTAGAAGCAGCCGCAACTGTACCCACAGCTTTCAAATTGGATTGACATAGTACGAGCCAATTATCTCATGTATGAATACGAGTTTTATTTACATACCTGGGTAGCCCGCCTGGACAATTCATCTTCGAAGTTATTAGTATCACTCTGAAAACGCACAAAACCACCAACGCGTACCTAGCTTAATGACACCGACCGACGCCATCGAATAAATCGGTCCCGGTCAAAGCCGCCTTTGAATGCTAGCGAGCAAAGCCATCTTAATGAAAGAGGGTAACTTTGCGACACGTATTTCGTCGCGGCCAGCAGTTTATTGGTGTCGAGTTTAACGTCGGCGTTCGTTTTTTGTTAAAAACTCCGTTTTAATCGTCTTATAAAGTGAAAATTTTAAATCTGGAATGTAAGATCGAGTCGTGACATCCACTAGCCGATTTATCAACTTCTGATGTACAGCGTCATCTATGGAATCACAAGCAAAAACAAACAAAATACGTCGCTTACTTTGTGCTGCTGAGTTTCCGACGAACTGTTAGAGTGTCAACTAACCAAAACTATTCTGGGATAGTTCACAAGAAGTGGAATAAAACTAATGATTTGCGTTTAGAGGCGTTTTTGCGTTGTTTAACGTATTTGAAGCGAGCGCTTTGCTCATTTTTTCGTAAATTCTAAGGCCCGAAAGCGCCGACTTACCTGTTTGACGAGCCCTTTCACGTCGTCGGGTACGAGTCTCGTCGGTGGTTGGTTAGCGATCTCGTTCAAGCGTTCTTCGTTCCTCCGAAACCACACCGACCTAACTTTAGCTTCCTTTTCTACACTCTTGACCCACCCCTGCCCCGTATCCGCTTTTTTCGTTCTGCTCATACTTAAAATTTGTCAAAATGATCCGCGAACATGGCATTTGACAGAACCGTTAAAAGAATGCTTTAAACTTTAAGACGGCGTAATTTATTGTCTGTTGCTTGCTTCTATGCGGAGGTTATTTTTTTAGAAGTTTTACGCGGAAGAAAGCAGACGCATCTACTCGAGCGTTCCCCCCACGTTGGAGGATTTCATTGAAAAAATGCGGGAGAAACTCGCCAACGTCGAAAAACGCCGCGAAACCGACCGCGTCGCCATCTTGCGGGAGTTTTTGAAAACGGCCGCGGCCTTTCACAGCTTTTTTCGTGATTACTTCGACTCGTACGCTGGACGTCGGTCGAGAAAATTCACTCGCGAATTCGGCGCTGAGTTCGAAACAATCTTGGCCGAAATTGAAATCGAAAAAGGCGAAATAGGTCGCCGATACAGGAATTTCATTCGCGAACTGATGCCACTGCATGGACATCCGAATAACGCGCCGCTATTGGCCGATTTGAAGTGGCGAATGATGGAGATGCAAAGGCAGATGGACGAGGCCCTGTCCAATCAGGATCGGCCACGGGTAAGGTTCAGTTGAAACGGGGGCCGTTCAAAAGCGATTTTGAGTTTTAGGAGCGGCTGCAACGGCGTTTTGAGCGTTATGAGGGTTACTACCGGGAAATTGCCGCCCGCATGCCTGAAATTATTGAAAATAACGACAGAGTGAGACGCCTGATCGCCAAATTGAGGACTCATAGTGCAGGTATAAACAACTGAGTGTCCAGAGGACACAACTTTTTTTTTTTTAATTTTTGCTGCGGTAGGGCAGACGCCGGCAGAAATGGTCCCAGCCCCGCCCACCGCCGATGTTAATTTGGGTTTGCCAGACTTGCGGCAATGCTTCGACAGCTACAAAGAGCGCTTGGAGGAAGACGATCTGGACGCGTACCACGCTAAATTGAAACTCGAGTGGCAGGACGCCGTCGAAAGGGTCTTGGACTTGTACAAATGTTCGAAATAGATAAAATTATTAAAAGGGAGCGAATAATCACTGGAACTACTCGAAAGAACTTTAAAAATATTATTCTGTTGAAAATAATGTACACCGTTCAATGAATGTCTTTAGCTTTGTATAAGTTAAACACCGATTTTGGCCAACGAACGGAAAATATAGTCAAAACGCGTTCTGGCAGCCAGCCTTTTGCCAATATCCGAAATTTCGCTTTCCGGATGTTTAATGAAGCCCAGAACGCGTTTTTTGACTTTAAGCATTTGCAGCATAGTTAGCCCAAAACTAATATGTTACGGGCTCGATTTTCGAGAGGTGTCGAAAACTAAACACCGCATCATGATATGTCAAAGCGTTTCTGAGCTACAGAGTGATTCTAAAAACCCTATATAACTTTTTCATTTGTAAAGATAGAGATTTTTATTAAAACATTTTTTGAAGATTTTTTAAGAGCAAATCTACCTGTTTCACCGATTGTGTCTGTTCACGAGATACAACACAAAGTTACATTTTTTTTAATGGAATACCCCAATTTAAAAATTAGTCTTCTAATAAAATTTCCTGTCAAACGATGTGCCATACACCTATTTTCATTAAGTAGTTAAAAAGAAATCTGCAATTTTTAATAATTACCATAGTAGGCTGTGCTTAACTCTGACCTATGCAGTTTTATGGTATCTATCTAGGTAGCTATGATCAGATAAAAACAATTGCCATTGCCATGATACGTCAAGCTATAAAAATGTTTGGAAACTTTGAAAAACATGATAAAATGTTACATTGAAAGTAACGAAAATCGACAGACCGCGTTAATCTATTTCCAGAGATATCTGGAAAGAAGACAACCTAGCCCAAAAATATTTTTGAAGTTAAAACGTCATCTCCAAGAATACGGATCCTTTACAAAACCGCGGCCTAGGACGTATAGAAGTCTAGTCAGAGATACAGAGTTGGAAGAAATAACGGTTCTGGGAGAAACAGAAATTAACCCGACTGCGTCCACCAGGGCTACATGGTTTAATTAATAAAAATTTTAAATAAAAAAATTGCTTTTAATAATTTTATTTCCTTTTATTATTTTAGGGATGGTAATTATAGTAAACTACAAGTTTAAGCGCGAGGTTGCAGTGTCCCCTGGTATCGTCGCCAACTTAATTTTGTATGAAAAAAAAAACAATATAAAAATTGCAAATATCTTTTAAACTATTTAATAAAAAATAGGTGTATGGCACATCATTCCAGGAAATTTTATTAGGAAACTGATTTTTTAGACAAATTGGGGTATCCCATTTAAAGAAATACAACTTTGTGTGAAACTAAAGGCTCTAAGACAAAACTGGTATAATAGAAAGATTCCAGCGTAAAAAAAAAATAAAATGATTTTTCCCAAAATTCTATTCTTACAACCAAAAAAGTTATAGAGGCCCTTTAAAATCGCACATTTTTGAGGATCACCCTGTAGCTCCAAAAGGCATTGACATATCACGATGTGGTTTTCAGTTTTTGACTTCTCTCGAGAAACGAGCATGTAACATGCATATTAGTTTTGGGCTAACTATGCTGCAAGTGCTTAAAGCCAGAGGCCCCTCGAATTTGAACCGCCCTGTATGATACCTATACGAATGATTGTAGCAAGGTTTTTACAAAAGAAAGATACGACCAAATACTTGCAGAGGTAAAGGCGGCAAAAGCTTGTAAGAGCAAAGCTGACACAATATCTTCGAAACAAAGACGACGACTTGGGAGAGTCAGAATGCGTTTTGGTAAATGCAACTTATATACGTTGAAAAACAAGATTTTTCTTTTTAAATAATGAACCAGTCATCAAAAGGATAAAAAGCAAATCGTGTTAGTACGATGCTGCGAACAAATACAAAATTAAAAATTAGAACTACAATTATATTTCTCCATGTTCCATATTACAATCTCTTACCTACAAATATACGAAAATAAATTACGCCTGCAGTGACACGAACTGCTGGAAAATCTCCAGGATATGCGGGTCCAGGTCCTGCGTGAATAGCAGCGTCTCCAGCGTCGAGCTGTACTTCTGTACTTGTTCCTGGTGCTGCGGGGAGAAAAAACCAAACCGAAAACCGTCGACGCAGCCCCAAAAACGTTAAAGCCTTACCGCCAAAAACACCTGCTGCAGTCTACCGATGGTCCACCTGTACCAGTGGGTGTTGTAGTCTTTACCGTCGGTGTCGCACCTGACCAAGTGCTCCGACAAGATCATTATGAACCGCTGGAATATGATCAGGAAGAGGTTCTTCTGGTCGGCCTGCGCGGCCTCCAATTTCTCCTCCATCCGCTCGACCATCTCCTCGGACGGCTTCTCAGTGTCCTCGTTCTTCTTCTTCTCCTCGTCGCTCTCGCTATCGCTCGACTCCTCCACACGGGCCAGTTTCTCTTTCGCCTCTACCAGCTCCCCGCCCAGCTTGATCACGTGCTTGTTCATCTGAAAAAATGGTCAGTGGTAGCGAGCGGATAAGAAGGCGCCCAAACAACACTTACCTTTCTAATGGTGAGGTGCAGAATTTCCCACAGGTACATTTTCGTAAACTCCGTCGTCATCTCCTTGGAGAAGATCCAATTGGCCACCGCTGAGCATTCGATGATCTGCGTCTTCAACATTTTGTCTACCAACACGATCATCATCTGCTGGTGGTTGTACCACAGCTCGAACATGTTCCTCAGAATGCAGATCTGGGCCTCCTCCGAGTCGGCTAAAATCTTTAGACGTGGATATGAACTACTGCACGATAATTGAACTACTGAAATAGGGTCTAGGTACCTTGAACACATAGTGGAATTTGGAGATGGCGGCGAAACTGTGGGAAAAACTCTTCGAGCCCAAATTGAGGAGGGTCTGGACGAACACGTCGATTTTTAGGGGGTTGAACCTGCCGTCGCCTTCTTCGTCTGATCTTGGGTTCGGCAGGTCCTTCAGGACAGCGAGCACCTCCTCGGGGGTGCATTTTTGCCTTATGGAGACGACGAGCTGGTGGGCGGCCGAAGTGCCCGGCAGATTAACTGCGAACGCCCATTTTTAATAATACAACATAAATTCCTGGTGGAAAAACTTAAAAATTGAAAAATTACGAAACCATTAAAAAATTTTGGGGCAAATTTTGTAATTCGGTAATCGGTGGCGCAACGCCGAAACATGCATCCGTGGACGCGTCTATTTTATCTCTCGGATCGCTTGGGCAACTGCTCCCCCTCCCCCCCTGCCACGAAAGGTCTTGCCGTAACCTTTCATTGTGTTCCGCTTTTATAGCGTTTCCCGCGTTTGATTTTCGTCGACGTGCGGGACGCTAATGTGTTTTATCTGATCTCCAGATTGATCTACGGCTTTGGCCGCGAAAAGAATTCATCAAACTAGTTGATTAAGAACAAAACGGTCGTATTCTGGATGAAAAGTGGGCGTATTAATTTAAAGCAAGCACTTGTATTCTGCGGTTACACTTAATCCCACAAAAGTATTAATTTCTTCCGTGGGGGAAATCGACTCTAACCCAAGGAGTCGTACAATGTCGCCAAACGATATTACTAAATTTGGCTTTGTAGACCTGGAAACATCAAAAACTCTAATATTAATTTGTCCAAATGTGAATGAAGAATTTGTTATTTGTTGTCACCGCTGTTTCAAATATTGGGCCTAGATAAAAAAGGATGTAGAAGCCAATGAATTCGAGGAATGCAAAACCTATTTTTTTATTTTATAAATATGTGGCGTATTATGATCAGCTTCATAAAAAAACACCCAAAAAGCGCCATTTCGCTACCTTTATCAAACTATAATGCAGGTAATAATATAAAGGCATCATTATATTTGTTGCGCTTTTTGTATAATATGTAAAATACATATAAAATACCTTTTATCCTGATAACTACTTAGGCAACCTTTAGGTATGCTAAGTAGCTGGTTAATTTTTTGCATAATCCAAAGTGTTTTAATTGACAAACAAATCCTCAAAATGATCACAGCTGAAGTATTGGATAAAGATATTCATAAATCATATTTCTTATTGAACAAATTTAAAAACCATAAATAATTTAAGCTGTAAGAACAATTGGGCCCACGTTTTTATTAACCGTTCATGATTCGTGATAATGGCTCTATGTAATTTTCGGAGTAAGAGGTAACTAAATATTACATCACTATTGAGAATCTTTAAACAAACACATTTATGATACGTTTGGCTCTTTGATTAATTGAAATGCAATTAATTTTTTTAAGCTGAGTCACTGTAAATATTATCAAATACATGCATTTTAAAAATATTGGAATTTCAACAAATAATAAATATTTTCTATATAGGAAAATTCTTTCTCCACATAAATGCTTAGACGGCCTCCCTCCCGCACTACCTGCGCTACGAATAGGACAAATACGGCCGTTTCCGTTCCCACGGATCTGAGCCACTTCGGACATTTCCGGGATTTTACCGCACTGGTTTTGGGAGCAATCGGATAGTTGCGGAGATTTTACCGCACGGTTTGAATTTTGAAGTTTGTCACTTCTGACGGTCGTATCATTGAAGGTATTTGTGTTTTGCAAAAATGTACCCTAAAACTAATACACGTCGTAAAAAAAGTATAATATGCAACACGTTCGGTAAACTTTTTAATTCATTCGTTTATTAAAAACTCGCTCCGGTTTGCTTCGCTCGTGCCAAATAAACTCGTGAGTCAAATGCCGTTTAACAAGTGCGGTAAACGGTGCAGCGGAGCGAGTGTTTAATAAACGAGTGACTTAAAAAAAAGTTCACCGAACGTATTGCATACTATACTTTTTCTACGACCGTTAGTTTTTGGGTACAATTACGCAAAACAACGCGAATACATTCAATGACATGAACGTTAGAATTGATAAAAGTCACAATTCTAGGCGTGGGAAATATCTCCGAATACATCCGATCGCTCGCAAAACCGTGCAGTAAAATCCCGGAAATGTCCGAAGTGGAAACTGATCTGGTAAAGTGACGCTTCCCATACGTTAGATCGGTGTGTAATTAGGCACTTTACAGACGGGAGTAGAAAATACACTATTACCATACCCTAACAGCACATAACCGTGGAAAACATCAGGATGATATAGGAGATTGCATGGTTAAGCAACAACGCGTATTGATTTGTGTGACAACGTCCAAGTCAAATTGGCTCTCAAGTCCAACAAGAGTTTTTTCAATTAATATGGAAGAAAGAAGTTCATCTATCGCGTCCAGCTCCAGTCAAAAACTTTCCTTTTTTCCTCTGCTCTTTCTTATCAGTTCCTATCCATTGATTTAAAAGTGTCATTTTGGCCTACGGAAAAAGCCGATATCATTTTTTTTATTAATTACGATTAACTTTGTTTTATCTTCTATTATGTCCGTGTATTTTTCAGGGATTAATTGAACTAAAAACATTTAGGCGATAAAAATATTCAATAAGTTTTTTTTACTATTTACGGTCCGGCAACACAGACAACTTGGCCAGGTGGTGACTAACTTATTTGTCCATCAAAGGATGCCTTCGTTAAGTTTGGTTAATACAAATTTTATTTTCTGAATTCTTCTTTCTTTTTAATGCCAAATCTTTTTGTGTGCGAAATTGTGTGGCGGCCTGGCTCTCTAGTCGCCGACATTGAACCATTTTTTCGGCATTTAATTTTATTCAAGAAAATGTTGTGCAAAAATCTAAGGCAACCTCCTGTCGATTATCGCGAAACCCGGCATTGTTTTCTGGTCTCTCCCCGCCCCCCACCGCCGCCCGGCGATGTTATTAATAAACGTCACAGTTGTTACACTTGCTGAACCGCAAACTTTACGAGGCGTTGCTCGGACCGACACGTAGACGAAATATATATATTTTTTCAATACAATATGTCAACTTTAATAATTTGGCATATTGTATTTTTTAAATAAATATAGAATATGTCTTAAATTTTGAACATTGAAGAATATTATTCTTATCCTATCTGGTTGAAAAAAAAACAAAATTATGCGTGTCTAAGCTAAAGTTAATGAACAAAAACAAAAAAGACAGAGATTGATGGGTATGAAAGAATACATGATGACTTTAGCTCACATAAGAAAGTTAAAGCAGTATAAGCATAACAGTGGGAAGGCAATAATGGACAAAAATGGAGGCTGAATTGTAGAAACAGAAAAAAAACGTATGATGGCGTACAAGAAAACGTAACTGGACCACCAATTATCAAAGACGAAATAGAAACAGTCATTAAATTAGCAAAAGCCAGAGAACAATAGAGCCAGATGAAATTCCAACTGATCTGGAAGTTTTTGAAATGTGCGTGTACAGGCGCACGTTGAGGATAAGTTGGATAGATCGGGTCACTAACATAGAAGTCATGAACAGAATGAAGAAAAAAAAGAAATCATCAAGATCAAGAAACTCTCATACTTCGGCTATGTTATGAGACACCCTGAAACATACAACATCCAGCGTTTGATCGTTCAAGGCAAAATTGAGGGAAGACGAAGCCTAGAAAGAAGAAGAACATCTTGGCTGAAAAACATAATCAATTAAAACGCTGTTTAGGACAGCGGCAAATAAAGTATTGATAGCCAACATGACAACATTCGATAAAAAACGGATATGGCCCATCAAGATTTCATTCTAAGAAAAAAAAATTTTGCCTAAGTCAAAGTAAACGAACGAAAATGAAAATCGACTCGGAATTGTTTCGAACGCCCTGTATAACCGAAGTGACGCTTCACCGCACACGGCGGAGCCTAATAACACAGAGGCGCCGGTATAACTTTCTTACTTTCCCTCTAATGAACGCAGCGACAACCCCCAATGGACTATTACGAGTGTGCTTTCAAAACGCTGCGACGCGAAACGAACGCCATTTTGTTTGTCATCGTCCGCCTCGCGAAAATTGTCCGTCTATTTTTCCTGCCAAGTCGCGCGTAAATAATAAAACGAGGAAGAAAATTTTCCACCGAGCGCCGCGTTTAGATACGAGGAGTTTGAAAATTTTAAACCCAATGTTATTTATTTCTTGGAAAAAAATCATAAAATCAAAAACCGCCATATTTTCGAAAGTATACTGAGACTTACATCTCAATAGTATCTCTTAATGAGTCGATGGCTAAGATCGGAATCCCAGACGCCTTGTATAGAAGCGAACAGCGTTGCACAATGCGAGCTTTCACGCGTTATACAATCGCAACCGGTCAGAAGCCATTTGCTTTAAAGACCGGCCGTTATTGCACCAAAGTATCGCTTACGAAGAAAAATGTATACAATTTGCAGCTGTGAATTTTAGAAATATATATATATTTTTTATTCTCCTCGTATTTACGTCGAGCCGGGTGCTAAATGAAAATGAAAAGATGAACGGTCGACACGCGAAAGCATCCCCACCCACCTGGGGGAGACCTGGGGGCACGCGACGCGACGGCGACGACTACGAAGTTTTAGTCTGCCGCGTACGCGACCAACGAAGATGTCTCGCGAGCACGAAACTGACGCCCGGCGTCGCGGGATGGCGACGACGTCGCGTGTTTTGATCGTATTGCTTGTTTTAGTGAGTGTCCTCCAAAATTGATGAAACTAAACAAAACAAAGATAAAGTTATAGATGAAAGAGTGAAAGAAGAAAATCCAATATATTGAAAACCACGGAAAAAACTAACATAATCGAAAAAACAGAAATAAAAAAATTAATTGAAATAATAAATATCAAAATGCAATAGCCTTCTGAAGCATACTAAAAAGGAAGCTATAAATTAAAATTATGTAGACAAAAATAACAGGGGTCAATTTGGTCTAAAATATATCAAAAACCTTGGCAACAGAGACGCAAAAAAAAAGATTCATTTCTACAAAATTTCCCTTAATTATCCGCCCAACGGACGAGAACAATTGTAACAACGTTCCCATAGCAATTATGCAATTTCGAACTCATTTTCACGGGCCGTGTGTCTCACTCATTAGACTCGAGCGAGTGATTAGATTAAGATAAAATCATTTTAAATCTTTTTAAATACCTCTTGGAAAGAGAAAAAAAAACAATCAAAATCAAAATTAATAAAATATAAATAAAAACAGAAAAAGATATAAAAGAAACGAGGAAACTAATAATTATATTTGAGCCAGATCTCCAACAATGATAAAGTGTAATGCGAATTTTACTGAAAAAATTCAGAGTAGCCCTTCGATTTCCATTTATTACTTATTAGGTGGGACGAGGTCCACCTCAAAAATTAACCAATTTTTTTTTTTTCGTTATTATAATTATAAATTCTGTTTTTTTGTACATTTTTAGCACTTTGCGTAATACCCGGGGTAAAATGGACTGTTTAAAAATTCTAAAAAAAGCTGTTCCATATTGTTATAATCGAATCATAATTAATGGATTTTGCTTAGCTTAGTCAAAAATAAATTGACTTGATGGTTAAAAGCCACAAAAAATAATAAAAAGCTTAGGTGACTCTCTCTACTTTTGTGTGACAAAAAAGTGTTCCAGGGCGCGAACTCATCGACCGTTCACCCGATCACCAACAAAAGAAGCGGCAACGTGAGGTTCTTAGGTCCCGTGTCCACGCGCGTGCTCAAACGCTCAGGCGACTGGGAGGACGGACTCAGAGAGGCAACCACTCAGGCCCTACTCAGAGAGCACGTGGACGATCCCGATTTGAGACGCCGCGTTTACTCCGCCCCCATAATAGGTGAGTCGTCACCATCCCTCCCGGCGAGCGCCTTTTAACGGATCCCTTTAGGTAAACAGGACAAAGCGACACCTTTTGGAGACGTCGCCGTGGTGGCTCGAGGTCAGCTCTACGCCTCACGGGGAGGGCTCGCTTTCGTCCAGGATCCCTACGAGAACGACTGCGAGGAATGCCACAATGCCGAGGAGGTACGACCACCTGCAGGCGACGAAGGGCTGCTCGCCCTGTGGACGGTCAAACGCGTCCGACACAGAGGATCGAGGCAACTCCCTAGGTACGAAATGGAGTTTATCATATCGCCGAGGCGTCGCATATATCGCCAAATCGGAGGTGGGTTCGATTACTCCGTGCCGGGTCACGTGTTCGTCATGCGCACTGACCCCGACCACGACCCATACCCCTACCAGCCCCTAAGACAGGGCGCTTTCGTCGCTCAAACGTCCGACGGTCGCAAATACGTGTTGCAAAGTTTCCCGGGGTTCCGCGCCCCACCCGTACGGCCCACGGCTACCACCGACGAGCAGGAGGACGAGAAAAATATCTACCAGACTCTGCTGGACATCATCAATAAGAAAACGGTGGAACCGCATAGGTAACCACGTGGTTTACGACTTCGGACATCATTTATACAGTTTTTCAAAGAAACTTCCACCGGCTGCTGTAATTTTCAAAACTTCTGCATTCCTCCTGCGAATTATCCAGTTGGCTTCTTCAGAGCTTGACTGAAACTGGTTCGTATTTTACTCTGTACCTGCTTATATATTGTTTAAGGGGGGCGGAGCTAAATAAGGCTGACTGATTCCCATATTGGTGACAGATAAAGACCTGAGTTGCGGTTAAGATTGTTAGGTTGTTTATAGATTTCTATAGACTCTCGAATTTTTCGTTGCTAGAAGAATTGATTACATGCAAGAATTTAAGTTATATCGAAATTTGAAATCCTGTGTCGTGATTGTGTTCAGCAACAGCTTGTCTTTGTCGTAAGGCTCTTTCGCGTTCTTTGAGTCCAGCTGATATTTGCTGTAAACTCCTGGCATCTCGAATGGGATTTTGTCTTTGGCGGACCAAAGATGTTGAAAGATTTTTGGGCAAGTGGTAAATCTGTTTGTGATGTTATAGTTCTTGAGAACTTTTGATATGTGGTCAGTGATGTTTTGATGGGAAGGAAGGACCACTGTGGCAAGTGTAGGGTCGCTTCATTGCTATTGGGAGGTTGTGCCGAAGTGTATTTTTTGATGGAACGTCTAATATCTTTAATGTGGAAATTATTAGACGGAAGAGCAGAGGTAAGGTATTTTAAATCTTAACCGCACTGTGACCAATATGGGAATCAATCATCCGAGAAGGTGTTTATGTCCCCTCAAACAATATATAAGCAGGCACAGAGTAAAATACCAGCCAGTTTCAGTCAAGCCCTGAAGAAGCCAACAGGATGACTGGCGAAACGTCAGCAAGTTCGACTCAGCAAAAACCGATTCAGGAGGAATGCCGAAGTTTTATAAAAAAAGTATTATGATTTACACAAATTTACCGTTACAGATTTTTCCCGTCGACGAGACCGGCAGCCGAAAACACCCTAGTGCAGCTTGCGGACGGACAACTGGTACCCGTAACTCGACTTACAAGCCCGTACTCCACAGAGACGACCCCAAGGTACACGCAAACCTCCGCATACGTAAGAACCAAACCGGTTCCCGTTTTTACGAGACCCACCCAGACGCCGACCGTGCCGGCCAAGACAACCTTCCACTTCTTCTCCGCCTCCGAAGACGACGAAGAACTCGACGACATCTTTCGGCCGTCTACCAGAAAGCCAGCGACGTCATTCGACGTGAAAGTGACGCAAACTACGGAGACTAATTTCAGGCCATCGCCAGAGGACGCGACCGTGGAAGTTCTGCCCAGCACCAGGCTTGCCGCGGACACGACGGTCGAGTTTTTGCCCAGTACCGGCCTGTTCACGAGTTCGGCCCTGTACTCGCAGACTAAAACGCCGAGGTACCCGACCACGCCCTACTACGAGGCTTCGACCAATTTTCGCGGTACCGACGAAGAACCTTCGACTATCGTCGCGAAACTAACTACCCAACACTACTCCACCCAACCTCCCACCACTTTATTGCAGAAAACACCCGCACCTAGTCGATTCACGACCCCCACCCCTCCCGGATTCGTCGAGACCAGTGTCGGGGTAACCAGGATCATGGGAGTTACGCGAAACGACACCACGGACACCGTATACATAGCGGCGGAAGACAACGAAATTTCCTCGCCAGGAGGGTCGACCTTCGAGAACACCAAAGCGACGACGGCGCCACCTAGAAGTGGAGGCGCCAGGTTCCCGACGACGGCCATTCCGCAGCGTATCGTCACCACCATAAGCGCGGACGGCAAAGTGTCGGTTGAGACCACGCCCATATTCGGCACTAAAACCGCCACGCCCACCGCGAGAAGTACCAGGAGGCAGCGGATTACGACCACCACTGAAAAAAGCGATTTCCTGATCGACGCAGGCGTCGCGAGCTCGCGACAGCCCTCCTACTTTAACTCGGCGAAAGACTACGACGATGACGCGATTTTCGGCACGGTCAAACCCCGTATGACGGTGGCGGCGAGCCCCAAGACCACAACCAGGCAGTACACCAAGTCGGATGTGGAGGTGGCGCTATTCGGCAGGGGCAGACGTCACAAACCGCCGAATAGTACCACCGAGAAGCCCATTAGGTCTTATTCACGAATCTACGTGGCACCCACGTCACTTATGACGCCGCCGATGACGATCGCTCCACAGGTATCGACCACCACCATCGCGCCCGTCACCAGTCAGAGTTACAAGACATCGATAAGCTTCGAGGTTAACAAGAGGAAGAAAGAGACGGAAACCACACGAGCCTTCAACGAGTTTGCGGCCCAATTGGTGAACCACGCGAGGGGCATCGAGATTTTGACCGAAACCACCACCCCCGGTACCAAGAAACCGAAATACACGCGGAGACGGAGCTACGTGCCCAAATCGAAAAGGCCCGTTAGGAAAAAGATGACGTAATCGGCCATAACTACGTCAGCGCTTTGTATATTTGTACAGTAACGAGAATTTAAAGAAATGTTGTTTATAGGGCGTCGAAAAACGAGACTTTGTTACAATTACATAACCTAACATTTTGCAAATGGTATTTATGTAAAATTATTGATGATTTAATGGAACTTACCGGGATTTATAAGACTTTATTTATTGAAAGGGGGATTTATAATGGCGTAAACGATAATATAGCGTAATTTTTTGTACAGTGCTGTTCACTTACCCGCTCCCTCCTTCGCGTACTTGTACTCGGGCTCGGGTTTTTCGGGAATAAAGCAGCTGAACGCCTCCGGCAGTATTTCCCTGATCCTCTGGTGATAGGACAACCTAAATGTTAAAACTCCCTAAACCCGTAAACGGGCAAACGCAGAACAACAATTTTATTACCGCATGCACTTAAACATAACCTCTCTGATGAACTTGGGCTTGGGATGATCGGCGTCGAGGGTAAGGCACATCTCCCAGTCCTCCCACCTCCATCGAAATTGAAAATTGCTCAGGTGGTAAGAAAACCAGCTCACGAATCGGTCGAAACAGGACACATTCATGGTGTCGATCTTGTTAAAGAGCATTTCTGTGGCGAGGGCGAGGACTTGGGGCATCGTAGAAGGCTGCAGCTTGCAGAGTTCGATCAGGATCGATCCGTAGCACACCTCCAGAAATCTCGGCGTTGGCATGTGGAAAAGTTCTGCAAATATCACCTCCACGATGCAGTACTCCAGCGGGATTTTGAGTTTGTAGGGGAAATTCAGCAAATGAGCCGCGCAGTCCTTCCGTTCCAAATGATACATCTCGACGATGGAATGCAAATGTTCCTCTATCAGGAAACGTTCTATCGAATGTGCGCCCGGCAGTATTGGTCCTTCGGGACAATCTGTATAGTCAAATAATCGAAATACAACCCATGGCATGGGATACTTGTAAGAATCGTGGTGAGGCGGGGGCAGAATCGAGGGTAAATTGTGCTGAAGGGCTTCGCACAGTATAGAGTCAAACGCTAAGTATGGCCGGGGAATGTGCTTTTCCGCCCAATTGTCTTGCTTGAGTTTCCTTATTTGTGCCCACAGGCAATCTAGGTACTCCTCCTGGGGGTGGGGGGTATCGGACGCCCACACCCTCAAGGCATTGTGGTGTTTCTTTGAACGTTTGTTTAAGAAAACTTCAATTTGAACCAACAATCTCTCCAAAGCTTGCTCCTTCTTCTCGTACAATTCCCGACCAACCCAAGGCAATGTGCTCAGGATGGCGAAAATATACCAGTCACGCCGTACTTGCGGAACACTATCCTCATTAGCCGCGTCTACCATATTATCTAACAGTTGCAAGAGTGATGTGGCAGAAATGACATGGCAATTTACCAAATCGGCTAGAAATCTTAACGAATACCTAGCCGCGTCCCATTTGCAAGACTTTAAGGATTCTTTGAAAGTTTTTACCATGTACTCCACAAACTCGCCCCCAAAATTAAAATTTTTCGCGTTTAACAACCCTACGAGAGTCGTATAGATGGTGCATTTTTCCGGCATTCGAATGGCGCAGTCGGTCAATATTCTGAGTATTTTACCTCTGAATGTACTCAGATCGGCTTCCAACACGCTAGCTAACCCTTCCAAATTTGACTCCAATGAGGAAGTGCTTTTCTCGCCAACTCTGAGTATAAGCGACTCCAATCTGTCTTCAATTTCCTGGTTTTCAGAAACCCGTCTTCGTTTTCGGTACGCTCGGTCTAAAATAAACGCCACTTTCAGTCAAAACAGTGCCCCAAAGCACCAATACAGATACAGTCAGTTATTAAGGAATTTCATACTAACCGTAACCATCATCTTCTTCGTGTGGCCTTCTGCGACTCATTTAGAACAGTTTCTAACAACAGCGTGTTCCCGAAATTTTAAAATGTAGAAATTTAGAAAATTGGAGTTATAACCTCGAAAATACCCAAAGCTTCGGTCACAGAATAGTCACAGATAACAAACTTAATTTAGAAACTATTTTATTTTTGTTTCGTTCCAAAAATTAAGTTTCATCTTATTAATTGTTGGTCAGTTTATTTATTTAATTACATCGTCCACATCTTGTGACATAAATAAGTCAAATATTTAAAAGGGTGGATGATACGTGGCTATTTTTTTCACCGTTTATATGTGATCTGTGACATAACCTTTGCTTCGGTTATGGTCCCCTACTTAAAAGTGCGGTCCGCGAATTCTATTTTCGAAATTGATCATCGTTTCCCGTAATCCCCATCTAACTTATTGTCCTGGATTAATAAGATAGGTACGCGGATTTTTTTTAAAGCTTTTATTTAATAATAATATTGTTTTTTGCCACCGTCCGCAGAATTGGCCAAAGTCTGCCTAGACTGTCCAATAAAATTTTAAGTTTCCTTGCAGAAAGCATGGCTTGCTTGTTCACTCCGCCGGATTTTGGAGGAAATGAAACTTTAAAAAACAGGAACGCATAAGTGAAAGGAAGTAAGTATCGAACGTCTGGCGCGGGTTTTAACGACTTTTGAACCGTAACGGTCACTTAAATTGTAAAGAAATCATAAATTTCCATCTTTCGGCAATGCATCTTGACGCCAAGACGATTTTCTCGCAGATAATAATTTTCCAAGTTCTGTGGAAATCCTACCCAAGGTGCCCGGAAAAAAGCCGTTATAAGCGTACGCATGCGCACCACGTGAAAGCCCCGGCTAATGACAGTTCGTATTTTTTCAGGTGGTTCGTAAACAATCGTGAGACATAGTTTGGCAACAGGCTGGTTGCAGGTGAATTTGTTGTGTGCGTGCGAACTTTTTTTTTTAGTTTAGTTTTGTTTGTTGTGCATTTTGCGTGTTGCTATTGAGCAAAACATGTCCAATAAAAAGAGGTTTTAGAATATTCCGTCCCAATTTGTGATTTAACCCGCCGAAAACAGGTTTTCCTTTAAACAATGGAGGTGTTACCATGGAAAAGAGTTTCATTTTTGTGTTTGGGTGAGTGTTTGCTTTAGTGCTTGTTGTTTATTTTGCAGATGCTTGTGTTATTGATTTCATGTTGGCAATTTTCGCAATGCATGAGCAAGTTTTTGTGTACAATAAACTATTATTGTGGTTAGTTCAGATATAGGTTATGACAGAGGGCTCGTTAGACGCGAAGTGTGTTGCTTATTTTTGGTCCTTGCTTGCATAGTGTGTTTCATTTGCATTTTTATTGGGATTGCACCCTGAATTTGAATTTAAAAAAAAGGAACCCAATTATGGAGAAGTCGAAGACATTTAATGAGAATTATACGTATAAACGCATAGTAGTGGAGGAAGCAATAAAGAATGACCGAATTCAGTAAAACAATTATACTGTTGTTCACGAAGGTGTTTTATTCAATTTTTTTTATTTAAGGAAATACATTTTCCGTTATAAAAAAGCAGCAGTACTTCCTGCTTACTAACTGTTGTTAACTGTAGATTCGTATGTAGATCTCAACAAGTGAAATTAGCAATTAATTATAAATAACGCGTAAAAGCAGTTAATTTAGCACTTGTAAAACGGCGAACCCAAATTATGAGCTACGTGAGCGAGCGCGCAATAAGTTTTCCGGTTTTAAATTCAAAAAAAGACACGTTTTCATTAAATGAAATAGTTTTCTTGAGTTTAAACGTCAAAATATCGTATTATATTCGCGTTGGTACCCTTTCGGGTCTGCCCTCCGTGTTCGTGTTTCTGTAATTACCACGGACGGGCGATAATTTGAAGACGGTGACTCACGCCTCGGTTAACAGACATGTAGGTAGTGAGAACAGGGGCACTAAAAGAAAGGAAGGAGATACGGTACTACACATGCAATGGAAATAGCTATTACTAATCAAAACTAGAGTGTTGCGTTCGACATAATTAGCTCTATAAATCTATATCCAGCCCTAAAGAAGTGGAATTTATCTGGTTTCTAAGTAGGAAAGCAAAAATATTCTCGCGAGCCTTGACGTTATTTATTGAGACGATGAGAGAATTTAAATCTATTTAAAGTTTAAATATGATATTACTTTGTCAATAGTATTCGATGATTGTGATAAAAGCGAAAAATCAAAGATCGATTCAATTTCTAATCGCGTTTCGTCGTCAACCATGGAAGAACTTAATTGGGCGCGGTTGCCAAATGGCGCAGCCAAGGAAAATAAATAATCGACAATTTCTCTTGGTTGAAGATAATTTAAACGAGTCGAGCGACGTGATAATTTTGATCTGTCCCGGATGCCTTATATTTACTGTTTCATTATGATTATTATAATTTATTATATTGCGTTGAGGTTCGAATAGTTTCAAATGTGTTGTACGGGTTTTTTTCAACACTCGGCAACGTCGCATAGCCTGTTTCTCGGTGTCCTCGTTATCAAACGTCACCACTCAAGAGTCAACAATAACATGTTGCAAAGTGTATTTTGCAGTGTCCAAAGCCGCACTGAGTAAGTGGTGTCGCGAGGTTCGTTGCGGTTCTTATTTTTTTTGTTGTGCATTTTCGGACGCCGTTTACGAGGTAAGTGTGGTTATCAGCGTAAACTTAACCTCAACATATTTGCGCGATTTCAAGACAGTAGTTTTTAGAAAAAAGCGATCGAAGATGGTGGGACGGGTTTTCGTGATCGGGGTCGCCATGACGAAATTCGACAAGCCCGGCAAAAAGCCGGGCGACTACCCCGACTGGGCGAAGGAGGCCATTTTGGGTGCTCTCAAAGACGCTGGGGTAAAGTTCACCGACGTGGAGCTAGCGGCTGCCGGTTTCGTTTATGGAGACTCGACCTGCGGGCAAAGGGTGAGCCTGGGGTGTTTTTGTGCGGGTTTATCGCCATGACAAACTCTCGCTTGTAAGTGAAAGTCGAGTGCTTGCGTCCCGTCCATTGCAGGTTTTATTATGATGGGTTTTTATGACGAAAGTCATTAGTAAACAGAAAATTACTTTAAAAGTATTCGAAACCGCTAATAAGTGTTCATGATTTTAAGTGTGCCGCTGTCGCTTGATGCGTTTTCGTTTATTTTTTATTGCATGTTGAAATCTTACATACCGTTAAATGCATGAATAATGATGTTCTGGAAAGAATACCGTTTATTATGTGCCTAGAAAAATAAAACAAACCCAATTTGATGGAACAGTTTTCCTTTCCGGCTATGGAAAGATTAGATTACAACGTTGACGCATTTTCAGGTCCTTTACGAGGTCGGTATGACTGGCATACCAGTGTTCAATGTGAACAACAACTGCTCGACAGGCTCAACCGCCCTGATGCTCGCCAAGGAAATGGTGGAGCACGGGCGTTGTCAGTGCGCGCTAGCTGTCGGATTCGAAAAAATGGAACGCGGTAGCTTGGGCGCCAAGTATATGGACCGGGCGAACCCGATGGAGAAACACCTCGAGCTCATGTCCGAACTGGTGGACATGGACGGCTCGCCACTCACGGCTCAGATGTTCGGCAACGCCGCAATCGAGCATATACGCAAATACGGCACCAAGCCTGAACACTTCGCCAAAGTGGCGTACAAGAACCACAAGCACTCGGTTAACAATCCCAACTCGCAGTTCCGCGACGAGTACTCCCTGCAGCAGATCTTGGAGTCACCGAAAGTGTACGGCCCTTTAACCAAGCTGCAGTGTTGTCCTACCAGCGACGGCGCCGCGGCGGCCATATTGGCCTCGGAGGCGTTCGTCAAGAAGCACGGTTTGGAGAAGAGGGCGGTAGAAATCTTGGGCATGGAGATGACGACGGATTTGCCGTCCACTTTCGAGTATGGCGGGTCGAATCCCTCCTTTGTTTATTATCACCTTTGTTCCAGGGAGAAAAGTTCCATCAAACTGGTGGGGTACGACATGACGCGGCTGGCGGCGTCCCGCCTCTTCCAGAAAACAAACAAGAAGCCCCAGGATGTTCAGGTGATCGAGCTTCACGACTGCTTTTCCGCCAACGAGCTCATCACATACGAAGCGCTGGGTTTATGCCCGGTCGGGGGCGCTGGCGCTTTCATCGATCGTGGCGATAACACTTACGGCGGCAAACACGTGGTCAACCCCAGCGGAGGCCTGATTTCCAAGGGGCACCCGCTGGGCGCGACCGGCATCGCGCAGTGTGCCGAGCTCTGCTGGCAACTGAGGGGAGAGGCGGGGCCCAGGCAAGTCCGGGGCGCGAAGCTCGCGTTGCAACACAATCTGGGCCTAGGGGGAGCCGCCGTGTTGGCCCTTTACCAGCTTGGATTTCCTGAAGCCTCCGGTGGCAGCGGCTCTTCTTTCGAGGACAGTTTCATCGTTTCGCCTTACATGAAGCTGCTGCAGCAAGCGATGCTCGAAGACGACGACGGGCTGATTGAAAAGCACAGAGCCATTTATGGGTTGAAGGTGCAGAAACCGAACGGGGAGGAGGGCCTGTGGGTAATAAACGCCAAAGAGGGCAAGGGGAGGATAGAGTTTGGTTCGAAGACAAAGCCCGACGTGACGTTTATTGTAAAAGACGGCGACGTGCTCGACCTATTGACCGGCAAAATACCGCCCCAAAAGGCCTTCTTCCAGGGCAAGGTCAAGATTCAAGGCAACATGGGTCTGGCGATGAAGCTGACCGAGCTGCAGAGGACGGCCGCTGCGAAAATCGACGCTCTCCGTGCTAAACATTTAAAGGCTAAGCTTTAATTTGTATCTTTGTTTATTTTTTTACAGCGGGAGGGGTATTATGCGTTGTTTTCTTTTTTAATAATAAAGGTTTTTAAAGGAAGACATTTTTTTTTAATTTGAAAAAAAGAAATAAAAAATATCAGTTAAAATATTGTTTTTATTATTATGTTTCTCGATAAAATACTTACATATTAAACAGAAAAGAAAAATTCCCAAGGACACGTAGATTAAGAAAAGTCCTCCAAAAGTAAATTTGATAAAATTAATATGTGTGGAAGCTATCTAAAACTTTTCCCATTCTTTTGCATAAATATTTTATTACTTCTTAAATAAATAAAGAAAAGTCTCGCATGTTCAGAAAATATTTTTATACCACCAGCAAAGCACGGTGTGACTTCATGCCGTTTATCAGCTGGTTGTCATTATTTACATCTGGTTTACTTCACGTTACATTTATGTTTTTATGCTTTTATTTTGGGACAATACTGATTGTCATTATTTACATCTGGCTTACTTCACGTTACATTTATATTTTTATGCTTTTATTTTGAGACATTAGGCTGAAAATTGTTTTCAGCAATACGATTCGGTAACAACTGCAATAATATAAAATCTGGGCCCATGCTTAGACACATCTCATTCATTTATTTGAATATATATGTTTTATTTTACGTACTGTTACTAAACGTGTTTGGAGTGGTCAAATTCCATGTAAAACGTAAACGGATCTAACAATTTATTCTATCTCTATTTATATCCATTCTTTTTCTTTTCTTCGTGATCTCTCTTCTCTTGACGTCATGACTATAGAAGCCCGTTGTGACTTGATTTCTTAACGTAAAGTCAACAAAGGAGGACAATACATGGAAACATCTCGTTTTGCTTTTCAGCGTATCTTTACTTAAACGAAGTGCACTCCTTCGGCGGCCTACCATACGCGGGCCCGTCCAATCAGTCTGAGGCGTACTTCAACGGTTCGTCGTACCTGAGACTTCAAACCACCATATCGCTGAAACGACCCACCGGATTGAGCTTCAGAACGTGCCAAGGCGGGAAACTATTTTCCCAGCAGCAAAACGACGACCTTCTCGAGTTGTCCGTCAACCCCAAGGGCGTGGTTTTCAAAGCCAAGTCGGACGGCATACTGTACGAGGAGATCATGTTCGGAAACTACGTCAACAACAAGTGGCACACTGTATTTCTACAGTACAGACTCGGTAACTTGACCTTGGAAGTCGACGGCAACTTGCAACTGGTGGCCAACTCCAGCTACCATTATGACCTGCTCGCCGGCAGCGGTTTATACAACGAGGGGGCGGCGGTACTGCTGATCGGCAAAAATTTCAACGGCTGCCTCCTCGAGGGACCGTCCGTGGTCTTCGAACCGAATCTCATCACTTCCAGCCACAACGTGGTGTTCGGCAGGTGTCCCATACCGTTGGACAGTTGTAAACCGGTGGAAACCGGATATGACTATTGCATCACGGAGCCGTGCATGAGACACGGTACGTGTCTCAGCGGACAAAACACCTACACGTGTGCTTGTCTACCCCGCTACACCGGCAAGAACTGCGAGATCGATTTGGGCAATCCGTGCGATAAGCGCCCGCCCCTTTGCCGCAACGGCGCCACCTGCAGTTCCGACGCTGCGGGCGATTACCTCTGCACGTGCGCTCCCGGATTCACCGGTCGAAGATGCGAGAGCGAGATCAAAATTCACCCCAAGTGCAAAATCAACCCGTGCCTGAACGGGGGCAGTTGCGACATCGATCCAGACACGGACGCCATCTATTGTCTGTGCAGACCGGGATTCAGCGGTCCCCACTGCGACGTCAACGTCGACGAGTGCACGCCTAATCCGTGCTTCAATGGAGGCGCCTGCGTCGACGCACTGAACAACTTCACGTGCGACTGCAACCACACGGGTTACCGGGGGCGGATGTGCGACATCAATATCAACGAGTGTCTGGCCAATCCGTGCCTTAACGGCGGCATTTGTTTCGACACGTACGGTTCATACCTGTGCCAATGTCCTGCTGGTTTTGGCGGAAAGAACTGCCAGTTTGTGAGTGGCCGCGTGGTAGTAATCGCCCACCCACATGGTGACCGCCTTACCTTTTCTAGAGTGTCGACGAATGCGCGTCACAGCCCTGCTTCAACAACGGCATCTGCGTGAGCCACGCGAACAGCTACGAGTGCAAGTGCCTGCCAGGTTACCTGGGCGACAACTGCGAGATCGAACAACGGCAGCAGAAGCATTGCGTGCCCGGGTTCTGCCCCCCTTACTCCGACTGCGTCGCGGACACGACTCTCGGCCCCAGATGCGTCTGTAAGCCAGAGTACCCGGGCGATTTTCCCAACTGCAACACCCTGTGCGCGAACAACCCGTGCAAAAACGGCGGTTCGTGCGGTACCGTCAACGGTAACCTCAACTGCACGTGTCCGCCTGGCTTCGCAGGTAAACCCCGGGAACGCGCATGGCGCTAGAGGCTAAGAGTCGGCATATGAATACATATACTTTATTAATGTTACTATCACATATGATTTACATACGTCAACTAAAAACGACTAAAATAACATATCTTAAAATGCACCTGATACATTATAATTGAAATAGAAATATTCATCTAAAGAATAAAAATGCTGAATTTAACGGACCAATAATTTGGATAAGTATGACACCTCTCCAAGCGGCAATAGGTAACTACATTGTCACTACCTTTGGTTTGATGGTCATGCATTTCCTAATAAGTGGTAAATAGATGCGGATTTTTCTTTATAAATAATAAATTTTCTAAGATAAAGTCTCGAAAGGCACAGCACTACCGATAACCAAGTCCACTAATAATTTGAATTGCTTTTCGTTGTAATCTGAACAAACGGCCAGCAGCATAGCCCCATATTAAGATCGCATATAGGAGGTGTGAATGAAGTGAGTCCCACTGAATTTTTGGGCCAATATAGATGCCAAGAAATCTGGTATTTATCTTATTAAAATTAATTGTACTTAAATTTTGCATTCAAAAAACCATTCTCTCTAACTTATTGGCACTAAACCAGTGTTCAGCCTTTTCCTGTGCGATCCTGGAACTCTCCAACGTGTCTTCTAATGAATCCTCAGAAACAGACACAGTGGTGTCATCAGCAAAAAGCGTGTAAATGGATCCACAAGGGGAAGGTCATTTATATATATTAAAAACAATATGATGTCACCCCAGAGTACTAATCACCTGGTATCTATTGTTAAGGGAAGATTGCATCAAACTAAGACTGCTATTTGAAAAATTATTAGCTTTTAACTTGCGCAGAAGAAGTCCATGATCGACACAGTTGAAAGCTTTAGTGATATAATATGTCTGAAACTAAATTAAGAATGCCGGAAACAGTGTTTTCATTTCTTCTAAAACCAAGCTGATTATTATTAAAAATGCCATTAATTTCAAAATATTGAACTAATTGTTTAGCTATACATTTCTCTACAATCTTTGAAACAATTGAAAGTAAAAATATGGGTCTATAATTTTCAACATCAGGTCACTTTCTTATATCTATGAACAGACCATACCTTTTTTTTTAAATGGGAGACAATAATATATCATTCTTAACTTTATTAATCGCGTGCTTATGCCAAATACTCCTTGATTATTTTTATTTTTGTGACTATTTATGATTTCCCTAACTTCATTAAAACTAATTTAACAAGAGTAAAATGAGATGACGCAGTACCTTTACTCAGAAGAGACTGAGCTATATTTGCAAAATAAGTGTTGAATTCATCAGTGGTTATGATATCTGAGGAGGGCTTTCCTGTACGAATTGCTCTATTTTTATTTATAACATCCCACATGCATTTGGTATGGTTAGTTGATGAACGTATCATATTATCATTGGCATCGATCTTAGCTTTGCTTATATTCTTCTTATTTATATTCTTTGTATTGATGTTTAATGAGAATAGTCCTGCTGCAAATTGTCATTGAACCAATTAATATCATTAGAGTGGTCAGAACGCACAACATACATTTTCTCCAGAAATGATCGAATATAAGCAGATTCCAAGACATCCATCAAATTACTGAATTTATCACTTACGTTTAAATTGTTATCGAAAATAAAACCCCGAGATGTATCTGATATGATACTGTAAAATTGGTTCAGTCCCTTCTGTGCGATCTGACCCTTATGGGGGGTTGCAGGTCGTCTATGCCAGATCAACGTCAACGAGTGCGTGTCGAATCCTTGCCTGAACGGTGGCGTATGCGTCGACAAGGTGGACTCGTTCGCGTGCAACTGCACGGAGCAATGGATGGGCCCCATCTGCGAGAAACCGTACGACGTGTGCGGATTGGGCCCGTGCCAGAATGGCGGCGATTGCGTGTCCGCCCCCAATAAGCGAGACTTCGTTTGCGAGTGCCCGCCCGGTTTCGAAGGCGCGAGGTGCGAGATCAACGTGGACGATTGCGAGGACATCGCCTGTCCTCACGGTCAAGTAAGTGTCCGCTAGGGGACTCGGCCAAAAAGCACAAGGACTTCCGTGAAACATCCTCGAAATATCTGGCGGGACATCGCATATATCCTAGGGATATACTGTTTCAGCTAAGGGACATCCTTAAAACATCTCAAGGATATACTATGTTACTAATTGGAACGTCCACAGTATATCAGATGCGTATGTCCGTAGGATGTTTGTTAGGACATACTAAGGATATCCAGTTATACTAGTTGAGACTGTGAGGATATACGATCTTATATTGATATATCAGTGGACCTTACTTATTTCCAACAGAGTTATGAGAAATACTGGAAAGGTAATGTCCAGTATTCCAATTGGTTGTATGACTACAAACATTCTATCTCAGTATTTGGTACTCCTGTGTGTATTTGAAATGCACGAGTCTTTTTCAATTAATATTTAATCTTTAATTTTGCTTTTGATGGTAAAATTGAAGGACTGCCGATTGATTCCATTAATTAAACACATTTTATACACATTTTTTTCTATTGAAGGTATATAATATATCAAAAATATAGAACAACCTAACCTAAAGTATCTTAAATATAGAGGAAGATACTATCTTGGACTAACTCTAAAAGAATAACTAATATTTGACAGGTTTTCTGTCATTCTTTGGTGAAAGTAGCTCTTTTCAGAGAAGCAGCTATTGAATTCTCACATTCTTTTAATGAAAGACAGGCTTTATATGCTTTATAAAAAAATGAATAAAAAGAACGAGGCTGGTATCTTATATGTTTAAAAAAGAATTTAAAAAATCCCTACGTCCGACTTTTACGTAAAGGCTTGATTTGACGCTGATAGTACTCTCAATAAAAGTGATCTTAGATGCTAATCTCCACGGTGATGGGGGTATTCATTTATGTATTTCATTTGATTAGGTAGGTAGGTAGAGTAGGTACTATTGCCCGCAAAAAAAAACTAGAACAAATACGACTTTTCAGTTTGACAGTAAACGCCTATTTTCGTGCAATATTTTTTGTCAACCTAAAAAATTTCCAATTTTTTTTTTTGTTCGTGGTGGTACCTACTATCACTATGAAAACAAGCCGTAAAAAATAGGAAAAATGTTTTCATGAATTAACCCAACAACCATTTTAATGTGAAAATTATACTTTATGCAGGGTGAACCTAAAATTAATACTTTGTTACTGGGGGCTGATTCTTGCATCCATATTAAGAAAAGAATATACTAACTATACTATATAACTAAAATTATAATTCTGTTCTGGGGGATTTTCTCTAGCATTGTTTACCTATAATAAAAAATTAGTTTAGTTTTGTATGCCTCAATTTAACTGCTCAAGAAACATGAAGAGAAAGTGGATTTTATTTTTGTTTTTAAAAACTAAACAATAATATACGAAAAGAAGTCTAGAATCAAAAAAGAGATGTAATCTAAAACCTATATTATAGATAATATAGATTACAAAAAAGCCGGGTTTATCTTAACTCGGTTCAGCAACCACTTAAAAAAAATATCAACTAAGCTATCACGATAATATATATTTTATTAAATTATATTTCTTTACTTTATTTATATTATATTTACGTCCTATTTACTAAAAAAAAAAATACCTGCTTTCCAAATATTAATTTGGCCAATTTTAATTTTGAGAATTTCTTCTTTTTCTTCATGCCAAACCAAGTAAATTTCATTGCAAGCGCATTTGAAGTCAGCGGGGTCAGAGCTTGCTATCTCATTGACTTAGCAAAATAATAAAAAACAGCTTAGAATTTATCAAATCTTATGTTATATATGACCATAAAGCTTTACTTACTTTAATTATTAGTTGTTCAGTAATAATAATACCAGAAAAAATAACTGAAATGAGACCACTGAAAGCAGTAAGCAAAGCACACAAAATACTCAAAATAGACGCCAAGTCGCCGTATACCGTATACCGCCAATAAAAACAAGGCTGAAAAGATGGCGGACGACGAGACGGAGGAGAAGCCGACTAGACTCGAGCGAGTCCGGCACGGCTCGATCGCGAGTAGTTGCGTCGAACAGCCGAACACTATTGTCAATTTTTATCTTAATAACAAATATATTATTTTTACGTTTTCGTAATTTTTCAACTTAGATGAATCCGTATTTTCTGTGGTATTTTTATTAAACAAGCGTTTCTTGTCTAGTTCGTGTCCAAAAATAATAAAAACAAGTTGATTTTAACGGTTTGATTCTGGTTTTTTTAGGACTTGCCAACACTGACGACGATGTAGATGGACACAAAAACGTTGCTAATAATTTTCCTTCTCAGTTGTTCAAAATTTAATTTTTTACCGTTCCCATTATGTCACAGGGGGATATCCTCAGGCCATCTATTTAGAGGATATCTGTGGTATATCGTGTACAGTAAATCCGCAAGCTATCCATTCAGAGAATATCCCTGGGATGTATTTTACAGTATATCCTTAGTATATATGGTCCACATGCCCCTGGACATGCGACTTAAATGGGACATTGATCGGATATACTGGGGATATTGTGTGCTATCTGGGCGGGCAATACAAAAGCCATGGGTTACTTTTCAAGGTCTGTTTCGATTTGGTCAACGGGCACGAGTGCAAATGTCCGTCGGGCTACGTGGGCGACGACTGCAGCACGGACGTGGACCCCTGCGCGCGCGATCCTTGCTACAACGGCACCTGCGTCGTCGACAAAAGCTCCAGGCAGACCGTGTGCAAGTGCCACCCCGGATTCACGGGTAAATTAAAGTAGACCACGCCTCCCGCATAGTTTTGGCTACGTCGCGCGCAGGTCCTCTCTGTGATATGGACGTCAACGAGTGCTTAATCCCGGGCTCGAAGATTTGCAACAACGGCATCTGCGTCAATACCGAGGGCAGTTTTCAGTGCTATTGCATGCCCGGCTTCACCGGCGAGCGCTGCAACCTCGACTTCAACGAGTGCCTGTCGATGCCTTGTCGTAACAATGCTACCTGTGTCAACCTGATCAACAACTACGAGTGTAGGTGCCCGGCCGGATACGAAGGAAAGGACTGCTCGTTAAACATCGACGACTGCGCCGTCGAGCCTTGCATGGAGGGCGCCACCTGTGTTGACGGCGTCGACGAGTACACGTGCGTGTGCCCCGCCGGTCTCGCTGGCAAGCTGTGCGACATCAACATCGACGACTGCGAGGTAGGTGTGTCCTAGACGGGACTAGATCGTCGTATTTATTTATTTATTTATAAATGGGCCAACCGCACACAAACACATAACATAGTAACACACAAAATGAAATAGGCGGACAAAGACCCCCAACCCTAGGATGACAAACATTGGCTTTCCAAAATATTAATATAAATATAGGAGTCGACGCGACAGTAAGAACCTGAGAAATGCAAATATTCCAGCAATGAATGGCTTTCTGCTAGTTTTCAATTTAACTCAGTATAATTCCTTTTTTAATGATTATGGTCATATGCTTCATATTGTTTTTATAACAACATCTGTATGGTTGAGAGGTCTACCGATTGTTTAGTGGCTGAGGACACGCATTATCCCGCGTTGAATGTTTTTTGTAAGCTGAACTTCAGTCACGGTTTAAAAGGTACTTTTCCGGCATTACCTTGTCTTTCAGGCATGATGAATTGATATAAGCAATACTTCGCTTCGTAATAGACATAACGTACACAAATTAAGTTCTCGCCGCCATTGTCACTCGGTATTCTTGTACAAAATTATTCATAATCAGGTTGTTGGTGCGGGCCTCTTATCAAAATTGAACTTTGGTGTTTCAAGGTTTACCTCCAGAGTAGGTCAAACCTTTTAGTTTTCTACTTGTATTAGCATTTCGCTGTCCATTTGTATATTTTTTTTAAATTTGTCACTTATGTCCCTGTTCTGTAGTAGCGAGGTAAATAAAACACATATAACAGTAGCGAGGCATCAACACATTGTTATACAATACTATACAGAAGTCAGACAACGGAACAGTTTCACTGGCAGTCTTTTAGTTCTTTCGTAAATATTTTTGCACTGTGGAAGCGGTCAAGTTGGTATCCATTTTTTTTTTGGGGGCGTGGCGTAGTCTTCTCCGTGCCTGAACGGTGCGAGGTGTATAGACGGCCTAAACGAGTACGCGTGCGACTGCAGCGACACCGGCTACGAGGGTACGCACTGCGAGAACAACATCGACGACTGTAAGGGTAACCCGTGCATGAACGGGGCGGAGTGTGTGGACCGGGTGAAGGACTACGCGTGCAATTGCTACGACGTAAGACGTTGAAATAAACGAACTGAATTTTTTATCGAGGACGTGGCGGTTTAGGGCTACACCGGCCGGAATTGCGAGATCGACATCCCCGAATGCGAGAGCAATCCTTGTAAGTACGGCGGCGTCTGCCTCGAGAAGTCCAACATGACGTTGTATAACCCGAGTATCGTCGCCGCCCTCAACGTCACCCTTCCCGACTCGTTCGATAGGCCTTTTAACTATTCGGCCGCCGATGGGTCAGTCTAGCTACGCGGCTGCGTTGCCACATTGTTAAATGCTTTTTTTCTCAGGTACGAATGTCTGTGCATTCCGGGAGTCACCGGCCACAACTGCGAGATCAACATCAATGAGTGCGAATCGAACCCGTGCCATTTCGGCGCATGCCTAGACCAAATCGGAGGATACGAATGCGAATGCGAAGATGGCTACGAAGGGAAGCACTGCGAAATGGTAAGGAGGGGCTTGGGGGCACTCCCCTACGTGTTACTTGAGGATCTTTTACAGGACATAGACGAGTGCGATAAGTTCAAGCCGTGCGTGCACGGTACTTGCGACGACAGGGTTGCCAATTACTTTTGTTACTGCGAGCAGGGTTTCGGCGGTAAAAACTGCTCGGTGGAGCTGATAGGTGCGTTCGTTTGGTGAGTAATCCGGCCGTTATCTGACTTGGCGCGATTTGCAGGGTGCTTTGACGGACCGTGTCAGAACGGGGGCGAGTGCCAGCCCTACTTGATCAACGAGAACGAGCACCGGTTTAACTGCACCTGTAGGAACGGCTACAACGGCCACATCTGCGAGAAGATAACCACGATGTCGTTTTCCGGCAACTCTTTGGTGATCGTCAACACCACCCGCGAGGAGGGCTACGACGTCCAGTTCCGTTTCAAGACGAACATCGGGGACGGTTTGCTGGCCCTCGGCAAAGGACTCACCTATTACATTTTGGAGTTGTCCAGGGGCCGGCTCAATTTGCAGACGAGCCTGCTCAACAAGTGGGAGGGGGTGTTTATCGGGTCCAATCTGAACGACAGCAATTGGCAGAGCGTGTTCGTCGCGATCAACTCCACCCACTTGGTGCTGGGCGCGAACGAGGGCCGTACCATCTACCCCATTACCTTCAACGAGAACTACAATATTTCCCCCACCAGGTGATCAATAGTTTTATTTATTTATTGATTTATTTACTGACAGTATTTACATGAAACCAACTAAAACGCAACAAGTACAATATCATCACATGTATCTCACAATAAGTAGAACCTAAATGCCCTATGTTATATTGATGAAATTTTAACAAAAAAACATAATATCCTCTTTTATATAATTTCTTCACATGGTATCATCTAAATCTATTACAACTAAAATATGTATAGTATGATCATTCAAATAGAGATTTCCATTTTTCACTGTTATGACATAAAAAATATATCTCTGTTTGTGTGCCATATGTCAAATGATAATTATTTATTATGTATATAGATCTAATATTTAAAATTTCTTGCGAAAACAACATGTGAGGTGGATATCGTTTGTTTTGTTTAAAAATAATTGTATAATTCTGTATGATATTGAGCTGTTGTTGTATAAGCCCCCCACCAAAACGAGATCCCAGACCTAGTTAGTGATTCAACAAACGCTTTATAAACAATCACGACAAGTTTTTTATTTAAAAACTCTTTTAGAAGATAAAAGTTGTGTACGAGTTTACGAATTTTATTCGTTAAATAATATGTAATAAAATAATATATGGTCCCCATTCCCTCATCTATCATCATGCCAAGTATTTTGTGCAAGAAACTTCCTCTATGGTAACAAATTCATATTCATTCCTACTTTAGTTTTAGTTTTAGTTATATTCAATGTTAGTTGTAGGTGTAGAGCCAACTAATTGCTTGTGTTCTAATTGTATTCCAATTATCAACACTAAAAACAAGAACAGTGTCATCATAGTAGTTCAAATGTTCCATTAGTGATGTTATGTTCTAGATCTGTTTTGTTGCAGTTTTCCCGTGACTTATTTCGGCGGGATCCCTTTCAACCTGAGAAAACTCACGCACGGGCAGCCGTTCTTGGTCGGCTGCGCCGAAGATATTCTGATCAACAACGAGTGGGTGTTACCACAGTCGAAGAACACCACGCTGCTCACCTTCCAGAATATCGAAGTTGGGTGCACGCGGGAGCCTCAGTGTAGCCCGAACCCTTGCCACTCCGGCGGCCACTGCACCGACCTCTGGCGGACTTTCAGGTAACCGCCGTCGCTTCTGCGACACGTCCCTAGCCCGCGCCTTTCGTTTCAGTTGCACATGTGAGAGACCCTACCTGGGCAACACGTGTCAACACAACTATACTGCGGCCACCTTCGGTCACGAAGGTATCACCGACTCTCTCGTCACTGTCGACGTGTTCGATTACGCTCGGCGGGCTGTCGAAACGGTCGTCGATATCAGCATGTTCATACGTACGCGACAGTCTAGAGGGCAGATATTCTACTTGGGTTCGTTCCTGGGCGCGTCGAACTTCCAAAACGAGACGTATATCGCGGCGCAGCTCGAAGGAGGTAAGTCTCCGCCCCCTTCACAGCCTTTCGCCGATATGCATACCTAATATTCATCATTTTTGCGCGCTAAGAAGAGCGGAACTATTTTGGTTCGCTATAATCTTCGTATCCGTTGCGTGGTTCATTTTATCTCTATAAGTTTCTCTAGTTTCTTTAGATATTCAAAAATAAAGCCTTTTTGTTGACGACACGTGCAGTGAAATCATTTTTTTATTTATAAACAAGTCTTTCCTACATAAAACATCCGATCGCTCCCAAACGCGTGCGATAATATCCCGGAAACGTATCCGAAAAGGCTCGGATTATTTTTTATGCCGCGAACTAATTCACTAATGCGCATGTGCCGTTATTTCCAATACGATCAAGTCTTCTGCAACTGTCCAATAAAAGCATAGCACTTTATCAGTGGACTAGTTTAAATTATTTTTTACCAGCTAATTAAGAACTAATTATAGCTTTTTATTACAGTCTGTTAATTGGTATACCGTCTTGAGTGTCATTTAGCATTTAACAACTGATAATTTTATTATGTTCGATGGATTGTAAGAAGAATAAAAAAAAAATCTAAAACTAAAACCCAATTTTTAAAAAAGTTCAAGAACAGCTTATATTAAATTTGACCAAAATTATGATAATTTTAATATATATTGCATTTGCGTAATATGTTTTAATATGTCTAATTAACTAAATATAGGGTGGTCATTAATTTAATTATTACAAAAAATAATACAGCGGATACCCAGCAGCACTTAGCAAATATCCAGGTGGCCGCCTTCCTTCGAGTCTGCTGTTAAAGAAGCTTTTGTTAAAAATATCATGTTGGCTTCCTGGATATCTTGCGAAGATATTGCTTTTCAACATTCATTGATAGTAGCTACTGACACAAGACTCGAAAATTTTGTATTACGTACCGACGTGGTATGTTTATTACTAACTCCAAATCCAAAATATCTCTATTAGCATTATAAAACATATCAAAAGCAAAAATCAGATTATTTTACCCACATCCAATCGGTCTTTGTTTTTCACGGTCTATGGTCGTCACCAGGTGAACTGCTGGTACGGATTCAAATCAACGGGTCCCTGGAGGCCTACACTGTCAGCGGCGTAAAACTCGATAACGGCTACAATCATCTGATCAAAGTCATCAGGAACTTCACGTTGCTCCAAGTGAAACTGAACGGTAGCGATTACTTCAGGAAACCGGTAGCCGCGCCGGGCATCCTGGATGCGCAGGTCTTGTTCTTGGGCGGGCAACCGCAGCTGAGGTCGGTGCGGCAGGCCGAGCACGGGTCCAAAACGAAAGCCGACCTATTGTCCCCGACCGCATCCACCGTCCTAGCATCCACATTAAGCAACGTCAACTTCAAAGGTATCATACAAGACGTCCAGATCAGCAACGGTTCGAATGTAATGGTGGTCGAGTTCTTCCCCTTGGCCACCCGGGACTTGCTTATACCGCCCGCCTTCGGTTCGGTGTCCTTCGACAAGTCCTTGGTGCTCGAGGGCGTCGTTTCCGACGACCTGTGCAAGGTGAACCCTTGCGAGCACAACGGTCGCTGCGAGGTCACGTGGAACGATTACCGATGCGTCTGCACCCGCGGCTTCAAGGGCAAAAACTGCAACGAGCTGGAGTTCTGTGAACTAGAGGGTTGTCCGACAGGCGCAGTTTGCAAGAACTTGGAGGACGGCTACGAGTGCATCGCGAACGCGACATTCGATGGTACCCAGGAACCGTTACAGTACCGTCTCACGCTCCTACCCAACTCGACGGACGATTTTGAGGTTAACGGCATGGAGTTGACTTACCGCACCAGGTCAGTATAGATGTTTTCGCCATCGCGTGCTCTGAGCTGAGTACATAGAGGGCGCCACCGCTATTTTGAATGGTAGATCGTGGGGGACTTTGTTGTTCGCGAAATTGGATGCCGACCACTTCGCCATCTTCATTTACCACAACGAGGTGGTGATCGTGTGGAGTTTGGAGGGCGTGACGGGCACCAAGCGTCTGAAAAAGGAGAAATTCGACGGGCAGTGGCTCGATCTGGTGCTGGTGTTTCGCGATCGAACGCTCGCCGCCGGTTTCCGCGAGAATTTCCTCGACAAGTCGTACAACCTGGAGCCGGTGGACATTGACACGGAGACGTTGAGCCTCCTGCTCAAACACGGCGACGTCTACGTGGCGGGAAGCGATGGGAAAACGTTCGACTACCAAGCGCTGATCGAGAACACCGATCTGAACGCTACAGGGTACTTCACGGTACTCGATACCACTACCGTGGATAGCCTGGTGGTCGACAATTCTCTAGAGTCGACCGAGCTGTACGTCGATGAACTGTTTCTGTACAAAATCGACCGGAACAAGAAAAGCGATCGGTTCAGGGGGTGCCTGGGGGAAATCCGAATTGGTGAGTAGTACGAATTATTAATGTTACTATCACAGATGATTTACATACGTCAAACAAATAGGAATAAAGTGTCATATACTTCAAATGCACCTGGTACATTATAATTTAATTTCAAATACTGAAAATCGTCTGACTGATTGTTTATACATTCCAAATTTAATGGTAAATTACGAACAGTATTTGGAAGCGCATTAAAAAACGTAACGGACCAATAATTTGGACTCGTTTAACACCTCTCTAAGCGGCAGTAATAACCACATTATCCCGACCTCTGATTTAATGGTCATACCATTTTTTTTCCATTCTCCAAGTCTCGAAAGGCATTTTTACAGTCCTCCCGATAACCAAGTCCACTAAAAATTCGAATTGCTTTTCGTTGTAATCTGAGCAAACGGTGCCTGCTAACAACATGGCCCCATATTAAGATCGCGTATAGGAGGTGTGAATCAAAAGTCCAAAATATGCAGTCCTTAACACACCAGGAGAGACATTTTTGGTCAAGCGTCGAAGCAAATACAAATTTTTAGTCAGTTTCTGAGCAACAAAATCTATATAGGAGTCCCACAGAAGTTTTGGGTCAATATAGATGTCAAGAAATCTGGTATTTATTTTATTCATATTAACCGTACCTAAATTTGGCTTGGAAAAACCACTCTCTCTGTTTTATAACTATGTAAAAATAATTTATTTGCACTAAATCAGTGTTCAGCCTTTTCCTGTGCGATCTTGGACCTATCCAACGTGTCTCCTAATAAATCCCCAGAAGCAGGCACAGTGGTATCTTCAGCAAAAAGTGTTCAATTAAACAGATGTAGAATCCACAAGGGGAAGGATTTATATATATTAAAAATAATATGGGGCCCAAAGTTGAACTTTGGGGCACCCCAATGTTCACCTCACTCTTCGCTGATGTCACCCCAGAGTACATAATCACCTGGCAATCTATTGTTACGGTAAGATTGCATCAAACTAAGACTGCTATTTGAAAAATTATAAGCCTTTAACTTGCGCAGAATCGACACAGTCGAAGGCTTTCGTGAGATCACAAAATAATACAGCATTATATTGCCAATTTCGTAATGTCTGAAACTAAATTGAGAACGCCTGAAACAGTGTTTTTATTTCTTCTAAAACCAAACTGGTTATTATTAAAAATGCCATTAATTTGAAAATATTGAATTGTTTAGCTATTTAACAATTGGAACTAGAGATATAGGTCGATAATGTTCAACAACATCAGGGTTACCTTTTTTAAATCCTGGTATTACTAGAGCTTTTTTAAAATATTTCATTGTTGACAGACTTTACAATTTTTTTTCCCTAACTTCATTAAAACTAAGTTGAGCAAGTGTAAAATGAGATGATGGGGTGTTATCGTAGATGGCCTGCTGCTGCCATACTTCACAACCGCGGAGCTCTATCACAAGCAGACGTACGCCGAGGAACTGTTTGAGCTACAGCCGTCCACTAAGCCGGTACTGGGCTGCGTACTGTGCTACGACGCGGACTGTTCAGACAGAGGTGTCTGTGTCAACACCACCGAGACGTACCGTTGCGCTTGCGACGACGGCTACAAAGCGGACGACTGCTCCATCGACATAAACGAATGCGAGAACCACCAGTGCCAGAACAACGCGACCTGCGTCGATCTCGTGGCGCGATATCAGTGCGAGTGTCTCGCCGGCTACGAGGGACGATTGTAAGTGGGTGTCGTTTCGCCTCGTATTCGATTAAAACGTTCGTTTCAGCTGCGAGAACGACATCGACGAATGCCTAAGCGATCCCTGCGAGCACGGCGGTACCTGCCTCGATCTGATCGGTACCTTCAAGTGCGAGTGTCCCGACGGTTTCGTAGGTAAACAGTGCGAAGCGCCTCTGCTAATCACGTGCGAGAACAAACCGTGCCGAGAGGGCGCCACTTGCAAAACCGGACCCAGTAAGTATTCCTGACCGAAAGGGGCGGGACTATCGAATCATTTTATATCTCCCGCGTAGACGAACAAACCGGGTACAACTTTACGTGTTTCTGCACGGAGGGCATGGAGGGTCCGTTGTGCGACACGCCCTTCTGCCAACGGAAACGATGCCAGCAGGGCTACTGCAACGCCACCGCGCGTGTACCTTTCTGCGACTGTCAGCCGGGATTCGAAGGTCGCTTCTGCGAGGTGAACGTCAACGAATGCGTCGCCGCGAACGGTAAAAGTCCCTGCCAGAACGGGGGCGTCTGCGTCGACGGGATAGCGCGCTACGACTGCAACTGCAGCGGCACCGGTGAGTCTTTTTTGCAAAATCCGGTTCGCACGACCAGATCGTGACGAGGGTGGTGGACCGCACGGACCCCGGTTTCGGGAAAATGTCGGCCAAATATCACACATTTTAGGCAAATCCCGGTAGCACCGGGCCTAAATTAAATCAGATCGTAATAATTCTTATAAATTGATTGCACTGGCTGCTGAGTGTGAAATGAAATCTGATCCAAATAAATTTTGGCGTTTTATTAATAATAAAAAGGGCTTAACTAATATTTCAGACAGGATGTTCTACAATGATAAATTGTAAATCTTACTTTGCTAGCTCTTCTTCAAATTGTACATTTAGTAATAGCGATAATATGCAAGTTCTTCATTTAACATCTTTTCAAAAAGCGGCTCTTAAGCAAACAAAAATAAGATGACGTCGAGACCTGATTGCATTCCGACGACTCCGCCGTGTCTGCCGCGAATGAAATGTATTGGTGTTTTCAGGGTTACCTTGAGAGTAGATCAAACCTTTTACCTTTCTACCACGGGTACGAAAATTTTAAAATTTTCTCCTTTCCACAGAACGTGCGATCTGTGCTACCCGGCAAGTTTTCAGCTTGACATATTTTCTTCTTCTTAAATAATAAATAATTTTGCTGTCCTTTTGAATTTTTTAAAAATATTTGTCACTTATGTCCCTGTCCTGTAGTTGGGTTTACCCTGTTGAACAGTTTATCTATATAAATAAATAATTAATAAACATAAAAATAAATTGATATATAAATAAATAGAGATATTTTAAATGATTGCACAAGATTTAGACAAAATTACTTAATGAAACAACAGCTATAATAATGGTAAGAGTCTTAAAATTAATTATTGGTAAAATACTAATTTGTTTCGGACAAAGATTTTTGTAATTTCAATAAATGGACCTTTAATTTTTTCCTAAACACTAGAACTGAACAACGCAAATGTTTTTTCTTCAGAGCTTGACTGAAACTGAAACCAGTTTTACTCAAGACAACAAATTATAGGCCATTTCTTACAATTATTGCAGAGTTTTTTGTTAATACTAAAGAAAGGTCCACTACCACTGACACTAAAGGTGAAACGTTTTTTTTTTTTTTTAAATTAGTTTGAAAATGTATTGTTATATCATTATATACCTTTTATTTCACATTTCACCTTTTTTTAAAATTGTTTTGGCTGGGTATTGGGCCGCGATTTCATTCGTTTGGTACCAAAACAAAGCTAAAGGCATCCATATACGGTCAGGTTTCACCGGCCTTTTGTGCGAAATGGACATCGATGAGTGTAAGCTGAGTCCTGCCGCTTGCGGTGAGATGGGCGTGTGCGAGAATCTGCCGGGGAACTACCGGTGCACGTGTGGCGTACCCGGCAAGTGCGGCCATCATTGTCTTCTAGACGACCCGTGCGTGCACGACAGGCCGTGCGCGAACGGTCGCTGCGAGTCGCAATGCAAGAGCATCGCCGACTACTTCTGCGAGTGCGAGGGCAACTTCACCGGCAAGAACTGTACCGAGCTCAAGGTAACGCTCGTAAAAATACGTTAAATTACATAAATTTATAAATTTTTATTGGAGTTTTCCAATTTCCAAAAAGAAATACGTTTAGGATTTTTAAATAGAAAAAAAAACTTAAAAGATAATTTTATTTAAATTGCCCAGTTTTAGTGTTTTTGTGTTAGTTTTCGTTTATTTTTTTAGTTAATTTTTCTTTCCATTTAGTATAATTCTTTTAATTTATTTAATAACATGCGTTCATTATATAAAAAAAGACAATACTACGCTATTTGAATGACTTGAAACAAACAAGTGCCATTAAGTTATTTAAATGAAAAAACTAAATAAAACTCACAATTTTTTTATTGAAATTAAGCAATTCGTCTGCTTTTCTATTTTCGTTCTCTTTTAGTTGATTTTTCTTTCTATTCAAGAATTTGTTTTCGTTGGACCATTAAACTTTTTTAAGAAAACATGCTAATTAAAACTAACAATATTTTGTGTCAATTTCCGTTTTTTTTTATATTAACTTCTCTTTATATTTCACAACTTGTTTTCCATTATCAAAAAACAATAAAATCGCATTGTTTCAATAGTTGGTAGTACCATTAACACTTTTAAATAGGAAAAAAAACTAATAAACCCCACAATTTTTTTGTTATTCAAATATTGTTTTTTATGTTAATTTTTGTTTATTTTTTTAGTTAATTTTTCTTTTTATTTAATAACTTGCTTTTCATTACAGAAAAAATAAATAAAACGACTTGCGTTTTTATTTTCATTCTTTTTTTATGAAGTTAATTTTTGTTTCTCTTCAAGCGCGTGTTCTTTATTGGAAAAAAAAAACAAGCAATAAAACCGCGCTCGTTAAAAGACTTGAAAATACCATTTTTTTTTACTAAACCACCAATTCTTCATGTTTTTGTGTTATTTTTTTTTTAATTATTTTTTCTGTGTATTTATCAACTTGATCTTCATTCTCAAAAAATAAAAATAAAACCATGGCCGTGGGAATGACTTAAAAAAAGTGCCATTTAGTTAAAAAAAAAAACTAAACGAAACTCACTTTTTTTTGGAGTCACTTAATTTTTATATTTTTGTGCCTATTTTTTAGTTTCTGTTTAACAAAAACAAGTTGTTTGAATCACTTGGAAAAAATATGGTTTGTAATAAAATAAGACTCACAATTGTTTGTTTTTGCGTTAATTTAAGTTTTCCTTTTTAATATGTTTTTCTCTATTTAACAACTCGCCTTTTATTAGGAAAAAATAAAACCGAAACTTTTTGAATAACTTTTGAAAAAAGTACTATTAAATTGTTTAAACAAAAGGCTAAGTAGGACTGACTAGTCGTCAGTTTCTGTGATTTTCTATTTTCTTCCTTTCTTTGATTGTTTTTCTTTAAACACACCCTTCACAACCGGTTGTTTTTTTTTTGGTAGAATGGTGTGTTGACTATTAATTTAAAGAATGGCTTGTATCGGGTAGTAACTTCGCGCGTGCGCAATCCGTTGCAGATGTCGGCCAGCAAGGCCGAGTCGGGACTGAACATCCTATATGTCATCGTGCCCATAGTGCTGATCCTCCTGGCTGCTTTCGTCATCGGAATGGCGGTACTGGTAAATGTGGCACGCAGTAAGCGAGCCACGAGGGGCACTTACAGCCCTTCTGCGCAGGAGTTTTGCAATCCCCGGGTCGAACTCGACTACGTGCTGAAGCCGCCGCCCCTGGAACGGCTCATTTGACGTCGCTCCCGGCTTCCTCATATCGCGTCGCTCTCTTTCCTTCGACGAATCTCCTCGACGCTCTACTTTAAAGGTAAACGCCGGTAGGTGGCGTCCCGTGACATACTCGTTTTTCGTTATCGTTTTGTTCTTCGCGTAGACTCTTGAATTTCGGGAACTATATTTTCCAGTTTTCGAAAAAGTGTTAATATTTGTCTTTATTATGTACTTAATTTTTTCTATCATTATTTCGCTTTTATTGACTCCATTTTTTTTTTCGACCACTTTGTAAGTACTTAAATTTTATGCATTTATATAGACGTATACGCAGTCTTATGATGTTGCCCGTCCAGTTTATAAAACGGCCCCCTAGAATCAAACGATATTAATGTTTTTCCATAAGACTGTTCAATTTTAGAATGGAGGGGGCTCGTTATTATAAATATAATCAAAAATAAATTAAGATATGTGATAGGTTTTAAATAGCGCAGGCCTGACTGTGCGGATGCCTTGTCGATACCAGGTGATTTAAATACGTAGCTATTTAATTATGTATAACTAATAAGACCAAAGTAACTAATTACCCTTGTACATACATTAGACTTTTAGCCCGTAATATCTGATTTTTAAGTCCATGTAAAATAAAATTAATTGTTCAGTTGAAAATGTGCTTTTTCTTCCTTGATTTTGCGATTTCCTCCCTCGCGTAGCGTCGAAACAAAAATTTTACTTCCCAAGGGGGTGATATCTATGTTACTAAAAATTTCTCTGGATACGGGTTTTTGTATTCTTCAAATTGGAGAATAGAAATGAAAGGATTCTATGCTGCCAAATTTCTCAACAGCATTTCGACTTATGCTTTAAACATATCCTTTTAAATAGAATTACAGGGAGAATGGTGGCCCATTAATAGTGGGACTATTAAATTTCATATCCTACTTGTTTTTACAAGACAACCCTAACAAAAAGATCTGGTAACTGAAAAAACTTAAATCAGGACGTCTCTCCCAATCTGAAATTGTCTAAGGCCCTGAATAAGCACAAAAGACAAAAATAAAACAATTTGTAGGTTATAATCTTCCGTTTTCCTCATTCCCATCGGTAACGACCAATAAATTTGCCCTGTTTTTTTATTAGAAATTCTACATTTTAAGATCTTGAGCAAACACGCCTGGTTTCGGCTATTTGCCCACAACATTCTATTCCATAAAATGTTTACAGCAAAGTATAAGTGAATCAGTCAAAACTATTTTCCGCCGTTACCAACACGGAAGAAAGGTTCGATCAGTTACCGTCAAGTTTAGAAATTTTCATTAATGTCGGGCAAATTTCTGCTAGAAAACGGTGAAAATTTATAGAGTAGGCGCACTTTGTTCTCTGCAAAATCAAACAACGCGTTGCGTAAGATTATTCAACACATTGACCTTATACGTGCGTATCGACTAGAATCGCGGTCGGCGGTGCGCGCATGCGCCCCTCGCGCCGTGATGGCGGTTAGAACTTGTTGAATTTCGTGATTTTTGCAGATTTTGTGAGTGAATTTTGTGCGTTGGATACGAGCGAGATAGAAATTGCGCCAAGCGTTCTGCCACAAGGTAAGTCCTAAATATTTTTACCGAATTTCGTGGTTATCGTGGAATTGTTATTATTAGTCCATACGTGTTGAAAAGAACTCAGTGGGGAACAAATTAATAAAATCGACCGGCGTTCGGATAAACGAGGCACTGTAAGTACAAAGATATTTTTTACAAGCACCGCGGATGCATTTCAAACGTCAGCTCCATTATGCATATTGTCCCATATTTTGCTTTCGCGGCTAGATCAAAGGGTTCACCTATTCGAGTATCCCGGGGCATTAATTAAAAGTCGCATCGAGGAGCGATCGGCGTGCAGCGTTGCCGACTACAAAAGGGGTGGTTTTTCTCGTTTTTTTTTCGCCCCGCACACGGGCACAAAGGGCCGCCGCGTGTGATTCGATACGTAAAATTTCACGCCGGTCGTTCTATTTGCTGATGAATATTCATAAATACGACGGACGAGGACGTGTGAATATTTACAGTATTCGCGCATATTTTGTAGGGGGTGGCACTCACGTAACCTGTTCCAACAGTGATTTGCATACGGTGTGGCAACGGCCTGCCCCCCGCCCAGCGTTTGCGAATTTCATTAGGGTTACGGATGCGCGAAAAAATTGATACACGCTCCAGTTAAATCTCTCGCACGGTATAAATTAACTCCCTCTCTATTTTTTACCAACAAGTTGATGTAGAAAGTTTAACTTGATCTAGTTAGCTGACAAAAATATGTCGCTTGGCGTAAAATGTCATTTTTGTCAACCGCGCCTTCTGCGGTCGAAACGTAGTAATTTTTTCAACAGTAGTTTAAGCACGGATGTCCCTTTTGCGGCAATTATATTTTCGTAGAGAAGCGATCTCCACACATTTTACATTTATTTCCCCAGAACATTTGACGAGGTCTGGAAACATTTCGAGAAAATACTGCCGTAAAAGTCCCACATCTGAAGTATAACCCGTCAAATTGACTGTCAGCAGCCATGTTGGATATTATTATTGGTTATGGGGCCTCAAACGCGAAGTTTGTTAGTTAAGACTGTTGAGGAAAACGCTCCTTTTTCGAACCAATCTTTACACCATATCGTACGTTTTTTTATATTTCTTTTTACCCAAAACAACTACTAAGCCGAGAAGTGCCGGACCGTGTGTAGCGGGCTTTAGATTTTTTTGTCGTTTTATATTGCATTTTTATATATCATTTAAGTGAACATAACTTACCTTAAAATTTTACGAAAGAGAGCGACATTGATGTTGGAAGAATTTCACTATATTCAAGTCAACGTAGCACTAAAATTTGGATCAATTTCAAAGTTATTTTTCTCTCGAACTGCTGACTCTATTTCAATATATTTTTGTAAATGATACAAAAACATTCTTATTTAAATTTAAGCTTTAGGCATATCCACAGTGTTTAAAAAAAACAGCTTTCTGCTCCTTTTTATACTCCTTTGATCTCTTGTCAGCACCATTGGTTCTAAAACAAATTCTCTAGCAAAATATCTAGCTTCCTTATTAAAACCCCTTACAGGGAAAACTGACAGTTTCGTACTTAATTATTTTCATTTTATTGAACAGTTCAAAAGCATTACATTAGATGCACAAGATATTCTAGTTAGTTTCGACGTAGAATCCCTCTTCCCCAAAGTTCTTATTTCTGAAACTCTGGACATCATTTCAGATATATTAAAATCCGAGAATCTGGAACCAAACCTTCTCACCTTAATTGAAAAATGCTTATCGGGAACATATTTTTCTTATAACGGTCAAATTTTTGAACAAACGTCGGGAACTGCTATGGGTTCTCCACTAAAGCCAGTCATCGCGAATATATTTATGGAAGCTTTTGAGAAGAAAGCTCTCGACCCCTTTCATCAAAAACTAAAATTACGGAAACGCTACGTCGAACGTCCAACGAAAAATCCGAGAGTATATAGAAATCTATAAACAACCTAACAATATTAACCGCGACTCATGTCTCTACCTGTCATCAATTTGGGAATTCGAGACGGTGTTTACGCTTCTCATTTAGCTCCGCCCTCCTCAAACAATATATAAGCAGGCACAGAGTAAAATACGAGCCAGTTTCCAACGGGATGATTGGCGAAACGTCAGCAAGTTCGACTCAGCAAAAACCGACGTAGGAGGAATCCAAAAGTTTTGTAAAAAGTAGCTTTATACTCAATGTTTGACATCGACGGCTCAGACGCTTAATAAATGCTTGACCCACCTTAGTCAATATTTCCCTGATAACTTTTTCTACAACCTACCCATAAATGTTCTATTGATTCCTGATCTGGACTGCGTGGAGACCAGTCAGTCTAATCTTGCAGTATGTGGTTTGGCATTATAAAACCCCTTGCAATTTGGCAAACGTATGCGTTACACATTAAATTTCGTATTTCATGAGGTATTTGAGGCCATGGGGATTGGAAAAAAAAACGGTAACTCTAAATAATTTTTGATAAAATTTTTTGAGCACACCTCGTATATTAATATTATTTTTTTATATTTGAAACTGGGACCCTATTACTCCATTATTTCATATTATTGTTATGTTGCGTCCCTGCTATGGTTACAGCTGCTTAAAAAGCTGATATTTCCATCTTTGAGTTTTTCGATTTATTTCCTTTGTCGTTCATCTAGTCGCTTTTTGACCTACGTGAAGTGTCTCCGACACGGAAATTTTGTTCAAGGCGATTTTTTTTTTCGTATTTTTTCATTTAAACCCACTTTCGTGACGAATTTCAAAATGTACCAATAAAAATTTGTTCCATATGAGCTTTATGAGGGACCTGGCTTCCATTGATTAACCAACATTTTTCCTGTATATATAAGAACATATTTTGGCTCCCTCACGAAAGGGTATATTTTTCCATGCCGCCATGTTCTACTCATCAATTGTCAGCGAAACAGTACTTCAAAACTTGCGACGCGTCTAGCGGAACGAACTTTACACTAGTCGCATTTCGCAGAATCTAGGAAATGAAAAATGTATGTTTGCTATTAAAGGGCTCGTTTGAACGTATTAATAGGATAGGCCTCGTCGTGCCGGCGATCACTTTTTTTATGTTACGCTCGAGTTATATCCGGACGGAAATAATGAGTTTCTTTTTGGACCAAAAACCAAAAAAAAAAACAAGGAGACGTCGTGCCGACGTGGCATGCGAAGATGCGAATTTAATTACACCAAAAAATTCGAATAACACCCCACGTCGGTCAGGCGGCCGGTGGAGGAGGCCCGGGCTCGACGAAGGGGCCGCTGTTGCACATGTCACGCGCGCACTGACTGCAGTTGAAGTCTTTGACGAAGCGGGCCACGTGTAGGATGGACTCGCAGTCGGGGGCGCATCCTTTGAAGTAGAACTTGATGGGATCGGGGCCCGCGAGCGCGGGATTTTGCCCCTTCAACGGGCCCTGCCTCCAACCGCTCACGGTGACGCAATTGGCGACCCTGCCGCACACTTCAGTTTTCTCGCACTTTTGGATGATTTCGTCGGCTATCGGGCCGCAGGCGAAGCATTTTTCGGCACCGCGAACTCCGTCTGCAAAAAATTGTGGAGATTATGATATGAAAGCAGTTGAAAGTTGAAGTGGAGTTTCGTGATGCGACTGTGGCATTTTGCCCCATTTATACCGGCATAGAACTTAATTTCAGTTTACGGAAACTTTTAGCTCAATCACTTGTCCTTTCGATTATGAACTATGGTTTAATCTTCTATTACCCATGTCTTGATAGTATTAATAAATATAGATTGCAAAAAATTCAAAACAGCTGTTGCAGATTTATTTTCGGCTTGCGTAAATTTGTTAGGATTTCCCACAAAATCGAGGAACTTAACTGACTAAAAATTGACAGTACTTTCAAGTATTTTTTGGCGTCTATGGTTCTTCAAATTATTAGCACATCCAATCCTAAATACGAGCTAAATTACAATTTCGTAATGTTCAATCAGTGGCTTTAAGGCACTTTGTTCCGCAGATCATTTTCTTATAACGCTGTTGTAATTTTTAATAGTATACCCGATTCAGTAAAATCACATTGAATTAAATTTTTTAAAAAATATTTCAGTTTGAAACTGTTGTCTTGTCAAATAATTTGATTTTCAATGTTATTCTTTTTATTTTAATTTTATTAAACTTTTTAGTAAACTATTTTCCAAAATGCTGGAAAATGTCCCTTGGAAAGCCATTAGCTAAAAATAATGCCCGACAAGTTTCAATAAATATAAGAAAAAGTTCTTTATAATGAAATACCTATATAATGGATAATAGAATAGTACCAGAAAGTCAGTGCGGCTATAAACGAAAGTCAAGTACTGCGAATGATATAAGTGTCATTGATGATATTGGCCGAGCCACTGACAAAAAACTAATGAGTGCCTTAATATTATGGTTTTTCCTCTAATTCACGCGAGCTGATTAAATCGTATGCAGATAACAGTATATTAAAAAAAAATTGAAATTTACTCTGGGGTGCCGCAAGGTTCCATTTTGGGGCCGTTTTTTTTTTATTTACATCTCTGACATTTTAAAACCTTTAAATTTTGTGCAAAGTTCAGGCATATGTGGACGATACGCAATTGTATTGCTGTTTTAATTTTAATAGTAACATGGATGCAGAGGTATTTATAAATCAAGATCTTAGCAAGATTAGTGAACTTTCTCATCAAAATCGAATTTAATGATATTTGAAAATAAACATAAAGTTAAGTTACTTGAACAAAATACCAATATAATGTTAGATAATATTAAACTTTCCGTTGTCGGGTTATCATAGATTGCGATCTAAGATTTCGTGAATGTTTGAAAAGTATCTTTCAAAAGGCATATTTCTCGCTAAAAATCTTATATAGTAATAGGCATATTTTAAATTTTAGACTAAAGAAACAATTATGTGAGTCACTTGTTCTCTCACATTTTAACTACTGCGATGTAGTGTATGGTTATTTTTTATTGATAACGAGTGTAAGTGCCGTATTCAAAGGTTGCACAATGCTTGTTCCTTGTTTCGTGTTTATAATTCTTTGTCACAGGAATTCAGTAACTTAAATTTATAGTCATTTAAAAAAGGTACAAAGATCATTTGTTAGAAATACAGTTTTCCTAATAATGTTGTTGCTAATTATATTATTAGCAAGGGATTATATTGAGTTAGCAAATTCTTTGCATTTTCTATAGTGTGTAATAGAGTTTTGTTGTTCTTCCGATTTTGCAGGTATTTTTCATATTTTATATGTTGTTCATCAATTTTTATTTCAATAAATAGTGTGCAATTTATTAATAATATAAATAGTTGTTTGGCGGTTCAGTAGAGTAGCTATTTAAAGCTAGACTGCACCGCTTTTGAGCTATCTGTATACTTTTCGTTGAAAAATATTAATGTTGTATATTGTTTTTTTTTTGTTATAATAAAGGCTATTTATAATAATAATAATAATGATAATGATGATAATAATAATAATAATAATAATAATAATAATAAGCAGGTCAGGATAAGAAGTATAGACCCATATACTTAATCAATGTAGCTGGTAAGCTACTGGAACATTTGCTGGTAAAACGTCTCAAGGAAGAAATTGAAAGGACTGGCAGACTGGCAGAAGAACAGCATGGGTTTCGGGAAAAAAGATCAACTATCAGCGCTTTGAGAAGGATACGAGAAAAGGTAGACGACGTAAAACAGACACCGTGGGGAAGGAGGAAGTTATGTGCTCTTGTCACGGTAGACGTCGAAAATGCCTTCAACAGGGCACCATGGTGTGGTATATTGGAAGAGCTTCGAAATCGTAACATAGCCCCTTATCTGTATAACATCATAGCAAGCTACTTCGAAGATAGGCGTTTAAGCATAGGTGAGGCAGCGCAAATGGACGTCACATGCGGGGTCCCGCAGGGATCAGTAATAGGTCCAACCCTATGGAATGTGTATTACAACGCTGTATTCCGAATTCCTGTTCCAAATGGTATTACCCTTGTCGGATATGCTGACGATCTGGCTATCTTAGCAGAAGTAAAAGGAGCCGAGATGATGGAAACAGTAGCCAACCATGCCCTTTACAATGTCACGGAATGGATGAAATCTAAAAACTTGAAATTAGCCCCCCAAAAAACGGAGGCAGTCCTACTTGTTGCTGGAAGGAAAGTTAAAAACATTTCAGTCACAGTGGAAAATACAACAGTTCAGAGTCAGGAAGTGGTCAGATATCTAGGTATAAAACTAGATAGAAACATATCCATGGGGACCCACATCAGAGCCGTAACAGAAAAGGCCAACAAGGCCTTGAACAACATCAGTCGCCTTCTACCAAAAGTGAATGGGCCTCGTGAAAGCACCAGGAGGATATTATGCTCAGTAGTGACTTCAATACTACTATATGGCGCCTCAATATGGGAGAAAGCAGTTGAGAAGAAAGTCTATAAAAGGATTCTGAGTAGTGTTCAAAGGAGGGTAGCCATAAGAGTCTCCGAAGCATACAGAACAACTTCCAATAAGGCACTTATGGTGATAGCTAGGATCCCACCTATTAATATCCTAGTTAAGTGCAGAGCCCGTATAGAGAAAGATGGACCAGACGCTAAATCGGAAGCACAAAACACGGTGATGTTATGCTGGCAAGAGGAATGGGACATAGATGATGGTACAGCGGAATGGAGTAAAAAGCTAATTCCAAATATAAGACCCTGGTTTGAGAGACGACACGGTGAAGTAGATTTCTTTCTTACACAAATACTCACCGGGCACTGGTGCTTTGAAGCCTACATCAAACGTTTCAATCTGGCCGAAATCGAGGAGTGCCTTTATTGCATAAACGTGGATACGATTGAACACACTCTATTTTTCTGCCCAAGATGGAACATGCAGCGGAATATAGCAGAGCAAATACTCGGTCACATAAGCCCAGACAACCTAGTAGAAAAAATGTTAGAGTCACCGACAAATTGGGACCACGTCTGCAAAATGGCAAAGCAAATACTTTCTGGCAAGAGGATAGAACGGCCAAATCTTATACAAGCTCGCTGAACCTTAGTCAATAGGAGACCGAAAGATCATAGGGAAGATCATAGGGCGCGAGAGAACATCACGCGCGTTCGGACGACACTCCATCTGAAGTAATGCTGACGCTGTTCCAGATGGTGGGCACACTGTTTTGTTGTCAAGAGAGGAAGTGTGAGTATGCTCACACTGGGTTTACACGGTCGGCTGTTGCCAACCCGTCGTCGCCAAGGGGATACACCATCCATCCCCAGGGTGTCTTGAGACGCCCAGAACGGACTGAGGAAGATTCGCCTTATAACCTCTCATACAAAAAAAAGTAATAATAATAATAATAATAATTATTATTATTATTATAACTTTCCACTCTTCCATATTACTATTACATTTATCTATTATACTATATTTAATTTACCAGTGTAATTATAACTTCCTATTTAGTATTCGATTTAAACATTTAAAAGGTTAAGTGGAGTACTTTTGTTAGACTTCAGACTCTTCTCTACTGTATATTTGTATATAATAATATACAACAATAAAGCCAATTTATTATTATTATTATTATAACTTATAGACAAAAATCATAATTAATGATAAAAAACTGTGGACCAGTGGAATGAGCAACATATAATCGCGCCAGTTGTTTTTCAGCTGAGATTTAAATAGGAGGAGTTAGCCCAGCGCAACGTCGAAATTGGTGTTTCTGACAATTAACATCGACTGTGAACTGCGGAGGTAGTCTTTCATTTAATTAATGCCAAGGGATTCCTTAATATTAATACGAAGAAATGTTTTAAAAGAATTAAAAGCAAAAGGCGGACCATTCATTACCAGATATTGAAATTGAAAAAGCTAGTGTAAGTGGAGGAAATTTAGTGAAAAAGTGAATTGATTTGTGGAGGTAACAAGAGAAATGTTCTATATTGTTTTCCCTGCTGCTCTCGTGAACTGCAGGAATTGCAGAACACCTTAAAACATTCAGTACGACCCACCACTGATTCACACTATTACACGACTTAACCGTTTAGGGCCTCGGTCGTCGCAGGTCTTGAGGACATTCGAAATCTATGCTAAATCTAAATATCTGTCAAAGTCAAGAGCTACAGGGGTTGTCGAAAAAAAAGAAATGCGCGTTTCCTTGTCCTAGAGGGACGCATTGTTTTTCTATCGTGCTCCTGCGGACCATTATGGAACTTTCGCAAAATGTATAAAACGCCTTTCACGTATCAATGAACTTCAGTCACGACAAATTTTGATAAATAAAAAAAAATTGTACAAGTAATAATGATTTCCAACGATGTATACGACGCATCGATGCGAATTGAAATTGGATTTTCGGTAGAATATAACTGGGGATGCATTAAAAAAGAAAATGGACTCTTGTGGGTTACATTTCGAAACTGCAAAACTAAACTAAAAAGCACTGAAAAAAATGGAGCTTGTTTAAATTATGTCTAAAGTGACTTACCTTACCCTCACACTCAGACTCATGTTCAAAGCTCCATCTACTAGGCTTGCACTTCTTTCTTCTAGTTTTGCGTAACCTAGTGTGTACAATTTATTTTGTCTTGTCAAATATGTTCCAAGTAACTTCGCAAGTCTCACTTAACGAGTAACCGCCTTAACCTGAAGTTTAATAAGTACTTTAGGAATATACATTATTTATACGTATAGGAACGGATTTCAACAACCCAACCTTGCAGAGTTGCACCAACAAGCAAAATTAATTAAATATTTACAACCAGCGTTGGTTAAAACTTGAACAGATTGCTATTTGCTATAATATCCACGTAATTTTTTTTAAATTAATCAAATAAAGAGTAATTTTAACATCTTAACAAATCTTCTTCTTCTTTTAAGACTATGTCTTGTGTTTTCAAGGAAGCAGCCTAAGTTGTGACTCCGAGGTCCAGCTCTCATACCAGCGCTTTGGTGGTCTTCAGGGAGGTCTGCTTGTATTGCGTCTTTCTTTGCGATTTTCGCCAGTCAATCGTCTTCCATTCTATTAGCATGATCTCTCCATGCTCTTCTTCTAGTTCTGGCCCATCTCACTATATCCGGAACGTCACACATTCTTCTAATTTCATTGCTCCTTATTCTGTCTCTTAGCGTTTTCCCTGTGATTGAGCGTAATGTTTTCATCTCGGTCGTTCTAAGAAACTGTTTAGTAGCTGCAGTCTCCGCCCTCGTTTCCATGTCATAACTGGTCTAACACAAGTTTTATATATCCCTCTTTTGCTTTCGATACTTAAGTATTTATTCCTCTATATCACGGTTCGAAGGAATTCCGACATTCTAGATGCTACTATTGTTTGCATTTTTACTTCTTGTTTCAGGTTCCTATTGCTCGTGATGTTAACCCCTAGATACTTAAAAGACATAACCTGCTCCACACTTTTATTATAAATTGCCAGTTTGCATCTTCTGGGTTCTCTCGCTATCGTCAAGGATTGTGTCTTCTGTGTCGATCTGATCATATTGAATTTTCCTGCAGTTGTTTCGAATCTGTGTAGTAGTTTTTGCAGATTGTCCTTATCTTCCGATATCACAACCGCATCATCAGCGTAGCAAATTATCTTAAACTCATGTTTTCCCATTCTGTATCCTCTGCCTGCAGTTTTGACTTCTTTTATTATTTCGTCTATTAGAATGTTGAAGAGTATTGACTGAGGCTATCTCCTTGTCTGATCCCTGTTGATACTGGTATTTTACTGGAGAGTTCGTTGTTTATCCTTACATACGTGCTATTTCCGCTGTTCATGTCCCGAATGATGTCTATTGTCCTTTGGTTTACGTCTCGTTCTTTTAGCAGCTCAATGACGTCATGTAATCTCACTCTATCAAATGCTTTTGTTAAACCTATGAAGCACATATACACGGTTTTATTGTACTCTATGGCCTTTTCGGCAATCTGTCTTAAAATGAATATAGCGTCTATGGTCGATCTATTTTGTCTGAATCCCTGCTGTTCTTCGCTCATACCACTACTTGAGAGTTCTTTTTGTTAATAATTTTGAAGTCGTGTTTAGGAGGCTGATCCCTCTATAATTATTTGGTTCTTTCTTTTCCCTTTTTTTGAAAACAGGGATTGTTATGCTTACTTTCCATTCCTCTGGTACTTTTCTCTGGTCGTATATCTTATTAAACAGGACATGTAATTGGTCTATTAATTCATTGCCACAATATTTAAGAAGCTCGTTATTAATATTATCCAGCACTGATGATTCCTCACGATTTTGTAACAAATCTACTATACGAAAATGCATTTTACATTATTTTTTACATATATTTACATTGATCAATCTTCAGTGTCCTATTTAATCGTGTTTGTCTAGGTCCTTCGATTTAGAATTACCCGCGCCACAATTTTCCCAAATAGGAAAAGCATTTTAAAGATTCATTCTATAGCGAGCAGTTTGATAATCTCGACAACAACACAACAATCAATCCACTGACAGCAGGAACTACTTTTTTATGTAAAATATGCTGAGTCTTCTCTTATAGACATTCTCAGGTTCTGTTATTGGTTTTTATTTGTATTGGTTCAATAAGCGTCTTTTTTTAAATAATGTATTCAGTTTTTTTCTATATTATTAATCTTTAATTTTTTGTTCAGTAACCAGGAACTATGAATTTCCAGAACCTGATTCCTTCAAATTGAGAATATACAGGGAGAAGCCCAAAGGTCCAAACACTAAACCCCATAGAATTCCAAAACAATTTCTTTCTATCGTGCTTGTTACTTTGGAAAAATCTATGAAATCGATACTTTTCGAAAGTATACGCGTTCTTCAGTAAACTCGAGATCTCGTTAACGGTAGGTCCTAGAGGACCGCCATTGGTACAGAAATGATCAGCGCCGAAAAAATTTTTTTTTTTGTCTGGCCATTCTCCGTTCTTTGTTGCAGGGTTTTTCGACGATAACTTCCGAACGGTTTGAGCTACACGCTTTAAATTTTGGTCTTTTTTAACCGTCCACGGGGTGCATAAGATATGTAAAAAATGGCTGCGTTCAAGCTTCGGCGTCCATCTTTTTTTTTTTTTTTCGATTTTCGAATGCTTTTTGGACGTTGTTATGAAACACCCCGACATTTCAAGCTATCGACTTCAAATTTGGCAGGCAAATAGCGTTTGGTCTCCTAACGGAACCTATTAAAATTGAGGGGGCTGGGAAGTATTAAAAAAAAATTACTGCGTTGGCAAGGGTCTAAGGAAAAGATAATTTCTCGAAAACTGTTTATGGAACCGAAAAAATTCTTGAACGAGAATACGTAGAAGATTTGGCTGCATAAACTTTTATTCTTGACAATTAAAAATTAAAAAAAAAATGGGTCCCTCTATTATTGAAAATTGGCTATAACTAAAGGACTTTTACATGGCAATAAAGCTGCCATACACATCTAAAGTTTAAAGTTTTCACCTATTGTTCAGGGTGTTCGCGATATTAAAAAACGTAATAGGCTAAATGTGCAGCTAGCGACTTCAGATTTAGAAGAGAAGTTTAAACCTATATTTAAACTATTAAAGTCGAGCGCAATTAAGTACCGCAAAAGTATAAAAACATGTTTTTCTCGATAACCATTCACCCGATCGCAAAAATTCTTTAACTGGCAGACGCGGAGGATCCAGTGCTATAACATTTATTTCAATTATATACAGGGTTTTTAAATGATAGGCAAAAATCTAAAAGACCTTGAAAATTGTTCTTTTCCATAGTGAATTACTAACCACAAATCAAAAATCGTAAAAAATATTACTAATGGGTTCAAACAGTGTCATAGGGCGCATCAAGAGTTACAATTTTGGTCTTTGCGGTTTTCGTCTATCACACACATTGCTCGAAAAATTTGAAAAATTCTATATGATAATCACTAGTCCGGGGCCTTTCATGGCGCCATGACGTCAATGATTATTACGACGCATTGCATGGTTTCAGAAACATCTTATTTTCTCGAAAACCATTTACCATTTTAGAAAAATTCTTGGACTATTAAACGTGGAAGATCCAGGGCTATAACCTCCATTTCCGGAATTATTTGCCATTTTCGTGGGTAAAAATTATTAACCGTTAATGAAAAACTATGAAACTTATAAAAATTTGATCCAAACAGTATTGTAAATCGTGAGGAGAGAGAGAGACTCAGGTTTCTTCTATCATACAGGGTGCGCCAGATACTTGGAATAATATCATTGGAAATCGTTATTACTTGTACAATTTTTTATATTTATCAAGGTTTGTCGTGACTTTGAAATTCGGCGATACTTGAAAGACGCTTTATACAGGGTGTATGCACAATATAATTACATCGATTTTGCGAAAGTTCCATAGTGGTCCGCAGGACCACGATAGAAAAATAATGTGTCCCTCTAGCACAAGAAACCGCGAAGCGGCTTCTGTGCGAACTTGCCCCGCCCATCGACGATTTTTCGAAAGCAATCCTGTTTCTTATTCGCTTCGTTAGGCATGACATAAGACAATGTATAATACTTCTAGGATGCTTACTACTTAAAATAAATACCTTGTTCAGGACTACAACATCTTTTTTGTTCTCTAATTCTGCTGATATTTATTATTTTTAAATATTACAGTTGCACTTACGGTATTGCCATTTTTAATTGGTATTGGTAATTTAGTTTCAATTCTTTTTGTTTAATTGTTATTTTCAGTTCGGATGGGGGGTGGTTATTTTTGCCTTTGCCTTTACAATTGTAGGTGTTGAATTAAATTTGATTTTTAATTAGATATTAGATTTTATCAGGTTTTCAATGATCAATAATCTGGTGCAATTTTACGCATAATTATATTTCGTATTTGAATAAAAGTGCTGTGTCCCAAGTGATTAATTCTCTAATGAAACTTACTTGCCAGTAATAGAAGGCAACTCCAAACGGACCACGATGAGAAGCGGACAACGTTAACCATGATGATAGGCGTTAGCGTTGCCAGTGGGAATCGGTAAAACACATAAGCCGTCCTATCGTTGAAACGGCCATACATTAGCTACCAAAGATGATAAAGTTTAAGTGGTTTTCGAGGAATAGCGATAACTCTATCCAAGGTCTTCAAGTTCTTGATGCTGGCCATACTTTGTGATGTTTATTTGCTTACTCAATAGTATTAATTCCTCTGTTAAGGTGAACTCTTGATTGCTACAAACAGGACTGGCGGAATGTAATTTTGTCAGTGTGAGCACTGAAGGTAACGCGAGATGACTGGCTGGGCTGGGGAGGCAGTTTTTTCCGCATTGGATTGCGGATCATCTACGCCTTAAGACCAAAAGTGGGGACATTCAGTTCCTCACAACTAGTAGGAGTCCCCGCAGGACACTACCATCTAGGAAGGCACCTCCATATCATCGAGGTGGTGAAGACAGCACATGTGGGCTGTGTTAAGAAGAGGAGGAAACTTAACAATTCATTGCTGCAATTCCTCGAGAGTACGTGGCTTTGTTGGGGAGCAGCTCTTTATCTATTAGTACAGAGTTACACTTTAGATATATTGGAATAAAACATTATTAATTTGATTAAGGTGTTTTTTTTTTTTTTTTTTTGAAATATCCAGACGAGTGGTGTATCTTTTTTGTGTGTTTTTTTTTTTTCATCTATTATTGGGTTAATTTTTCGAAGCGACAGTTCTGACGGAACGCGCTCTATCCGTCGTGTGTAAACAGAGATCGGGAGCTCTGCCTGGCGTGGAGAGCGCACAATTGACAAATCCTTATTGTACTCGTCGACTGAACGGGGGCGGCGCGCGGGGGTGGATCCGGCCGACGGGAGGGGGCGCGGGTTCGTTTTGAGTGTAAAAATCCTCCTCTCCCCCGCGCGCCATCTCGTCACCGAAGGGGTTGATGCGGCTATATTGAAATCGGAGAGCGCGTCGGGGCGATGTTTTTCGAGGGGGGTGGGGGTGGTATAGGCGATACGTATGATATTAACTTTTCGGCGGTTTATTAATATCCCGTTCCCGCCGATTCGGTGCGTTTTGGGTCCAATTAACCCGGCTATAGCATCGGACGTCGCGAAAACCGGCACCCCAGTCGATACGTCCCGCGTTAACCCTTTTTTAAAACCGCCCGCCCGCCGCCACTGGGTAGGTATTTTGGTTCTTGAAAGCACTCTTCTGTCTTACCGGACGCTCTGATGAACACTGCATTTCGCATGCATCTCGACTCTGTGAAGTGCCGCTCCCTCCCCCCGCCGCCTATATATACATATATTTTCCTCGTCCTCTGAATATAATGTTTTCCCGCAAGTGTGGAAACCTGTGAATATTTTATGGGTTCGCGTTTGCTTTGTGCGAAACGCGTTTGATTGTTGCCAGCGATATTTCCACCCTTCGACGATATGTTTTTGCCCTCTTTCGCGCTTCCGTCAGTTGACGCGGCATAAATTTGCTTATTCCGTGCCCTAGTTAAGTCGTCGATTATTTTTGCTCTCTCGGAAGGTGTCGGCTCGAGACGAAGTTCAAACGGTCTTATGCTTTCTAGTGCTAGTTTTTCTTATAAAACTTTGAAAGTACTTGCATTGATTTAATAACGACGCCTAAGGAGCCCTTCAAAACATATGTAGCTTGTTCGGTTTATCAGAGGTGTTTGTTGTTGTACACGTAAACGCATGTAGACCTTATGCGATAAAGATCTAAAAGTTTTTCAATAGCCCGAGCTTATAATTTAAAAAAATATTGTTAATATGTTTCTCACAACATGTAAAAAAATTGGAAAAAATATAGGTATCTTGCGTAGACTTTCGCCTGAGCTTAGCCGCTGGAGCAGACGCCTTGGTACTTTCGAAAATCCATGAAATCGAATTTTTAAAAAGTACCTACGCTCGTATGGGATCGCCGTTGTTACAGAAATGATCACCGTCGAAAAAATTTTTTTTTTTGTCTTTTTGCTCGTTCTCCGTTCTCGTCTTTTGGTTTTTCCTGAATAACTTTCGAACCGAAATTTTTCAAAAACCGTTTACGAGACCAAAAAAATTCTTGAACCAGAAGACGCAGAAGATACGGCTCCATTAACTTTTATTCTAAACAATTTTTAAAAATATACTGTGAGACTATGATTCAGATCTCACTTTCTTTTATATTGCGATATAGCCCGCATAGACAGCAAACAATTTTGTAAGTTTTTTACGTATTCTACAGACTGTTCTCGATTTTCCGTGCTAAATGAGAAATGTGTTAAGTGTCCTATATAAGATATCAAATATCAGCAGAGAAGTAAAATTTCGTGTCCACATTTAAGCCGTAGAAATTGGGTGCAATCAAAATTTACCAAATATTTTTTAATAATTTTTGAAATTTTTTTGGTAATTTTAGCTTCACCTGACCGGCAAAATTCTTCTTTAACCAGCAGACGCCGAAGATCCAGTGCAATAACATTTATTTCATGCATTTTTTCGATTATATACAGGGTTTTCAAATTATAAGCAAAAATCTATTAGACCTAGAAAATTGTTCTTTTACAGTGTAAATTATTAGCCGCAAATCAAAAATCGTAAAAAATATATCTAATTGATTCAAACGTTGTCATAGGCCGCATCAAGAACTACAATTTTTGCATTGCGGTTTTCACATACGCTGCTCGGGATATTTGAAAAAATCCATATTGAAATCGACGATTTTTCGAAAGCAATCCTGTTTTGAACGCGATTATCAGCCCTCATTTTTGGTATTGTAATTCGCTTTTCGTTTCTTGTAGAACCAGTGGTGTTCATAGAATACATGTGCTACAAAAAAAAGCCATGCTTGATATTTTGGGTTGTACACGTTACACTCCCATTCGTGTAATGCTTGGGTCTTTAGGGTGGGCGTCGGTATCTCAGACTATTGAGTTCTCTAATGTTTTGCTGATATATAAAATAAAAAATAAATTATTTCCATCCTACGTACAAGATTATTTAATTCCTAGATCGTACAAATATTTTTATAATGTAAGGGGTAAAAATGATTTTGATATTCCGTTTGTTAAAATTCTACAAATGCAAAAAAGCCTCTTTAGTGATGGGCTTCGATTGTTCAATGCTCTGCCGACGGACACCAAAAATTTACCGAATCTAAAAAGCTTCCAAAAATGGTAAAACATTCTATATTTATATTAATATTAGTGTGAATTAGCCTTTGCCTTTATATAAATGTAATTTACTACGATTCGAATATATAATCATGCATTGCTTTTGTCAATCAAAATAAACAATTTCATTTTCGAAAATTGTACTGAAGAGGCTTTCACTTGATGAAAATCCATTTAAAATAGTTAAATAAGAACAAACGTTGTTCAGATTTTCACATAAATATATTTAAATGACAGCTGTTTCGGCAACACCGTGCCTTTATCAAATGCATTTGATAAAGGCACGGTGTTGCCGAAACATCTGTCATTTAAATATATTTATGTGAAAATCTGAACAACGTTTGTTCTTATTTAACAATTTCATTTTCACCAATAAATTATTGAAAAAAAAAAAAGATTTTTTTTCGATTTTTAAAAAGAACACTGTTATAATGATAAATAAAAGTTATTTAATTTTTGCGAGCTTAACTATGTTTATCTGTTCTATTAAAAAACAATTTTCCTGAACTTAGAAAATAAAATTTTATGAACTTAGTATATTCTTTTTCGAATTCTATCTAGATCCCAGTACCTTCACGCATTTTCTCAGATACCCAGTATCTACAACGTTCTAAATCCACGTTTTTCTATAGCATCCCATTTCTTCTTATGCATGCTTACTAAAGAAATGTTTTGTGCACGCCAATGACTGCTAGACGAAAACCTTTGTATTTTTAGCTGTTAATATTACCAAGATGTAGTATACCCTCAAAAATGCGTTTATCTTAAAATCACCCTATAACTTTCAAAGTCGTGAGAATATCTAGTTTTTAATAAAAAAATAAATAAATATATTAGTCAGTCTCAATATCTCGTAAAAAAAAATGATCGAATAATATAAAAACATGAAATATATATCTTTAAAGGTTTTAAAGTGGTAAAACGAATTTATTAAGCACAACAACTAACTTAAATAAATACAGCTAGGGTTGTGGAATTGACCGGTCAAATTTGTTTGTGTCAATTGACCGATATAATTTTAAAAATGAACCATGAAATTTATATTTATTAATTTATATTTATTCTATATCGTTTTTGGTAAATTGGAAGTAGCATAGTAATGCCAGTTGTAAGCCACTTTTGGCGGGAAAATTTAAATTTTCCACAAAGGCATAATAATTTATTATAAAATACATATTATTATTGGCCACGGTCAACTGACGACCATTTACACTTCACAGTCCTTTTAGTTTCCTTAATTTTTTATTAATGTTTAATTAATTTTTCATTTTGATAGAGTTACGAATTGTTTTTTATGAAAGTACTGAGCACATTGTGTGGTAATTTTTTTAAAATTTACTCTCTATTTTCGGGGCGCGCCGCGGCGCTCACCGACGCGCAATACGAATTCGTGACAATATAATATCGGATTACAACAAATATTCGGTCGGTCGAAACAGCAATAAAACACGCCAAATTTGCGTGGCCGAAAACAACGCTAAATTACCGTTTTGTTGCCACTGAATCGGAAAAACCGATCGCCGTTTTTCGCATCAGCAGCGTTATTCGCTGCGTCCGCGCCTCCCTATTGCCCCCCCGATCCCCAAATGACGGCATTAAATAATTCCCCACGTACGATTTCATTTCCGGTCCGTCCCTGCACGGCGCCCCGTATTTTTAATAATTTTTGTATGATGGGCCCCCTGTTGCTTCGCTCTTGGGAGGAGGAGAAGGAAAACAGACATTTCTTTGGGAAGAATGAAAATTTATCGGTCTATATATTTCCGGGCCTCTTGGGTTACGAGAGACGTTGACGCATTGCCTCATAAGCACGACATCGTAAATTTGTCTTCGGTGAATTTTTAAGAAGGCGATTAATTAAAAAATCTCGGGGATTGTCCTTGATCTCCCTCCCCCACTGCTTCTGCCGGCACAAAAACTTCTAAACATCCAACATTTTGAATGAGCAGGATGATTGGCGAAACGTCAGTAAGTTTCATTTATAAACAACCCACGCAGTCAGCTAATAATTGAAATATAATATACAGTATAAAAAAGAAAGGTGGATGTCACAAAAGGATCATCAGTACGGGTCGTCATTCAGAATTACAAAATTTTAAATGCCTGAAATTAATTAATAATTAATTAATTATGAAAGCTGTCTACTGAAAATTGAATGTGACATTATAAAAGATCCTGTATTAAAAACCAAAGAGAAGTCTCAGGTGTATCCAGATATATGAACTTTAAAGACACCGAGTAACATAGTCGATATACTCAACTCTTTTGTACTATGTTTTCATCAGTCATTTTCTAACGGGAATTCTCTCGACAATTTTAAAGGTATTAGTAATTCATATCACTCTGAAATTATAAACACAAAGATGTTCTTCGAATATGAGGTGGAAAAAGCTCTTAAAGTAATTAAACCTAAATTTACAGTTGCTCCAGATTTAATTCCAGCATCCCTTATACATGTTTTTTTGTTTTGTTCTAGCTAAACCGCTTGTAATACTTTATAAACTGTGTCTGAGAAACCAAGCCGTTCCTGGTATATAGAAAATGTCTAAAATTTTTTCTGTTCACAAAAATGAGATCGCAAATCACATACTTATCTCATATATCTTGATTTTTCAAAAGCGTTTGATCGCTCAGATCCACAAGCTTCGTACTTTTGGATTTTCCGATTCGCTTGTTAATTTGTTTCCTTCATATTTGTCTAACCGCACTCAGTTTATCTCTATGGTCACACTTCCGATGAATACAGTGCTTCGTTCCTCAAGGCTCAATATTGGGGCCATTATTATTCAACATTTTCGTTAATGACATTTTATCAGAAGTGATAAAATTAATTTCAGGCCTTTCCTATTCTCTTGTTTTTTTGTATTAGAGTTAATCTTTATGTTAAGCTAGAATTTAGGTTAAGTTTCATCATCATTATTTTCAATGCCTCTGTAGGTAACTATTTAACTACCTGTTAGTTGGCTTAGATGCCTGTTAGGTAGATTTAAATAAATACAGAAATTTGAAAATAGACATCCCTCCGTATGTGTTGAAAATGAGGGGACGACATTTTGAAAACATATTTTATGATCTTTACTGGTTAAAAATGTCATCTTCTTTTGCTATTTGGGTTTATTTTATTTCAGCAGTTTGCCAAAAACAATGGCGTCGCAATTCGATACTGATTCTTGGTTCTTGTTGTCTCCCACGGGCCACAAAAAAAAACGCTATGATTAAAGTCCTCAATTATATTATAAAGCCTTGGGGAAACTTGAGAAAGTCACCGAAACTCGTTTAAAATCGAATATTTTTGAATCGTCACGAATTTAGTCAGTAAATATAGAATTCTACGAAAATATCGATAACTCGAATCTAATCGAATGTAGCCCGTGACAATAGGACTCTACGAAGATATCGATAATACGAAATCGCATTCTACCTTAACTCGCTTAAAATTTAATAATTTCTGAATCGTCACGAATTTAGCCCGTGAAAATAGAATTCTACGAAAATATCGATAACTCGAATCGAATCGAATTTAGCCCGTGACAATAGGATTCTACGAAGATATCGATAATACGAAATCGCATTTTATCTTAACTCGCTTAAAATTGAATAATTTGTAACAATAGAATACTACGGAGATATCGATAACACTAAATCGCATTCTACCTTAACTCGCTTAAAATTAAATTGATTTTTGAATGTCACGAATTTAGCCCGTGAAAATAGAATTCTACGAAGATATCGATAGTACGAAATCGCATTCTACCTTAATTCGCTTAAAATTGAATAATTTGTGAAAATAGAATTCTACGGAGATATCGATAATACTAAATCGCATTCTACCTTAACTCGTTTAAAATTAAATTGATTTTTGAATCGTCACGAATTTAGCCCGTGAAAATAGAATTCTACGAAGATACCGATAATACGAAATCGAATTCTACCTTAACGCACTTAAAATTGAATTATTTTTGAATCGTCACGAATTTAACCCGTGAAAATAGAATTCTACGAAGATATCGCTAATACGAAATAGCATTCTACGTCGCCGACCGCAGGCGTACGAAACGTTATATACCCCTTTGGGGTCTTATTATTCGCATCTCAAACGCGCGATTGATTGGCAGTGTCAGGGGCAGCAGCAGCCGGCAGGGGTTGCCGACAAGGGGAAGGTTAATTTTCCGACGTATCTCGTTACATAATATCTCCCCGGGACGTCGCCGTTGCCGAGCATAAAGGGCCTGTTCGACGTTAATTATTTATACCTCTGGTTTTGACTCCCAGCCCTCATATAGTAATCGATTTTATGCAATTAAAACGGTTCATCGATTGAATCGATTGGTCCCCCTCGCGGTGAGCTGAACTATTCGAACTCATCAAAAAAGTGTTGTTGCACGACAATAACGGTTTGTGCCCTTTTAGCGTAATTTCAACAAGACCTCCATCAACCTAGTTGTCTTTTGTCTTCACGTCATTCATACTTCTTTTCAAGGATACGCTACTACAAAATTTTAATGCTTCTCCAGGCTGATCTAAACCATTCGAATGCTGCAAAATAGTGAGTGTAGTGAAGACAGTGGTTGTGTGTTGTGGGACGACTTAAGGGATGTACTCATTCGGCGTGATTTCAAAAAGATTCCTCCATAAACAACCCCATTGTATTTCTCCTTTTTTTCATTTTTATGACGTTTCTTAAAGACCAATTCATCAAAAATATGGATAGAAGTGATAAGAGAGGCACTAGAGGCAGCTTTTTAAGTTTAGATCTGGATATGTTATGAAAAACCGTGTAGAGTATCATCTCGCTAGTTTAAAAGAATCTAGCGGGTTAAGAAAGCAATACGAACTTTTGGGTCTTCACAGCTTAACTGAAACTGGCTGGCATTTTACTCTGCACCTGTTTATATATTGCTTGAGGCGCATAAACAGAGTCTGGGATGACTGATTCCCATATTGGTCACAGGTAAAGACCTGACATTCTCGGATTTTTCGTTGGTAGAAGAATTGATTGCATGCAAGAATTTTAGTTTTGCCGAATACAATTTTATGTCCGGTTCCGCGAATGTGTTCGGCAACTGCTGATGAGTTTATTTGTCTTAGTCTTAAGGCTCTTTCATGTTCTTTGAGCCTAGTTGATATTTTTCGTCCGGTCTTTGCTGCATATGCATAGAATGCTGTAAAGTCCTGGCATCTCAAACGGATTTTTTTCTTCGACGGATCGAAGATGAGAGATTTTTGGACAAGTGGTAAATCTGGTTTTGACGTTATATTTCTTAAGAACTTTTGATATGTGGTTGCTTGATGGCTTGATGTTTTGGATGTAAGAAATGACAACAGTGGCCAGTATGGGATTGCTTTCGGACTCATTGCTATTGAAAGGTAGTGGTACAGAGAAGAGCAAGGTTCTAATTCTGGGTACAGTGACTCGGGCTGTGATATTTTTACGGCTCTGGAAACAAGAGTGTTGATAACAGATGATTTTTGGGCCGGAAGCCTTTGAGAGGAATGCTCTCAACATCTGAAACCAAAATTATGGAAACGCTACGTCGGTGATGCTTTTGTTATTTCGCCTCATGGTTAAGAATCCTTAGTAGATTTTCTTTCCGTTTAAGATGCCCAGCAGTTTACAGCATTCCATGCATATGGGAGAGACCGGACGAAAAATATCAACTAAGCTCAAAGAACATGAAAGAGCCTTAAGACTAAGCAATTAATTTAATTAGTATTTTAGACTACTAAAACATTTTTCTATACATTTTACACACGCACTGGCAATACCAGTTTTTTCGTTTGTCACTTTTCATAAGTCAATAGGGTCGTAACTTCATGAGTCGTGGAGCAGGACGGTTATTTAATTTTCCTGCGGCCTCGAAACTTGGCCGGCCTTTGTCCGACAACAAATAATAAGGACTCTTCGGGGGCGAAAAGGCCACAATTTTGCGCCCTCCGACATGTGTCAACACCACTTGCGGTCTCGCACAGGCTGTCGCCGGGCGGTTATTAGTATCGACGCGGAGGGGAGCGCATTCACATGTCCCCCTCAAGCAAACAACCAACTTCACGTGTCCTCTCACTTTATTTTGTACAATTGAAATTTTGATATTAAGCACTACTTCCCCACTGACTAGATCGCGTAACATTGTTTTAACACAACGAATTATATTATTGCAACAATCACCTCGCCTACTGGAGGGCGACTACCTCGAGGGTGGGACTACCCACCGACTCTATATCCGAAGACAGGGTCTCGTCGTTCGACTCCTGATTGGACACATCATCGATCGGCTTCTTGTGGCTCATGTAATCCACCACGAGCTCCAATCCGATTAGCGTTCGTAAATCTTTAACCTTCTTCTCGGCGTCGTTGTCTGCGGTCCCCTTGGACGTCCCTAGACTCTTGTATATAGAAGCGATGTTACCCATGATATAGTTCGTGCCGGCCTTGTTCCGGGCCTTGTCTAACCCCATCGACTTGACGTCGAATTTCTTCGGCTGCTTGGTCTTACCTGGTACTGGTACCGTGAACGCCGAACATTGCCTAGTCTGCTTGAAAAGGTCTTTGCTGTCCTCGGACTTGACATCCTCTCTCATCTCCTGGTTGTTTGTCGGTCCGACAGAAGTCGACGGGCCAGTGTCGGAATTTTCTCCTCCCTCTTTCGGCGGTTGATGATTGTTGTTCTGCCTGTCGTAAATGTGACCGGAGACCCTGAGATCTATGAAGAAGTGCAACGGATCTATACCGTACGGTGGGTTGGGGTAGAGCGGCGGGTACCACATGGGCGGCGGAGGCGGCAACACCAAGTTCGGCGAATGCTCCTGCGCACCTACAAATTGTTGTTGATGGTGTTCCTCCAATCCTTCCGTTTTCGGCTTCGCCTCCTCCTCCATTTTGTGGGTAAGCTCCAGCGGATTTTCTTCATTTTTCCGGTTGCTCTTGATCATCCACGGCTCCGGGTTATCCATACGTTTGCCGTCCGTCGCGGCGGCGGCGGCGACGGTAGGGGCGGTCTCCCGCACGCACGCCGGCCATGCCCGCTTCCGCGACCGCCTCAGCGGCGGCTGGAAGTTCATCGCATTCCGCTGCAGGCTCTGCTCGTTTTTCGCCTGCACGAACGACCTCAGCATTTCGCTGAAGAAGTAGGTGTTGGGGAGGAGTGACATGTTGTAGAGGTAGGGGGGCGTGGCCGCGAGCAACCTCGACACCAGGTCCGTGTTGCGCAGCTCCAGCGGCGACAGTTTGTGCTTCTGGGGCGGTGGCAACATGTGCTCGTTCGCGGAGGACATGTCTGGAAAAGAAACAAAAATTAAACAATATTACTAACAATCAAAATGCTTCTAAAGGTTGGAGATATTAAGCTTTTTACTTGTAATAATAACTTTACGTACAAGAGAATAGCATACGGTTTACTATTCTAAGAATCATACATGTAAGTTCCTTCATCCTTTCTGAAAACCGAGTGGTTATCGGCCACGAAAAAGATCTGCCTATAGGACAATCGTAATCGAATTAGGTTGTTGCTAATTGAGAGAGAGCAAATTTAAAAACTAAAAAATAATAAAGACTGCACAACATCGATTATCATTCCACAGGTGCCACTGCACTAGCTGATGTCCTCATGGTAGTGTGCTTTATAGACTACAGCACTTTGTCATCTGGGACGGGTTATGGGAAGTACTTAACCAAATGGAACTTCCAGATCACTTAATGAAAAATCAAATTAGAAGATTAGTCGAGTCGAGTCGAAACTTCCACCCACACTTATGGTTTAACACTTATGGCAAAGCAATAATGAAGAACTTGCTAGACGGGTGGTTACGCTATGACAGCACTATATTTGCTGCAACAGATTAGGACACAATGTAACGGAAAAAATTGTGATATCAACTGATATCAACCTACAAGTTTGCCTAGCAACAATAGGTTTCAAGCAATTATTCTGTAGGAGAGGTTCCGTCATCGATTTCTGTATTCGTATACTAGAGGATCGTGAATTCGGTTAATGAGACGCTTCGAGTGATCGAGGCTCCCTCGGCCAAGAAAAACAATAGTGATTAATAATTTGGCAAATGGATTATATCCATTTTAAAGTTTTTTAGGTATCCTCAAGCACCGAGGAGCGACTATGAATCCGGCCCCTAGTCATTTTGTGATATTGTGATTCATCAAATTACACGTTCGAACCCAATCTTCACGAGTTGTAGACAAAAAAAATTAGTATTATGGAAATAAGCAGCTGTCGAAACTCTATATAGCGAAATCGAAGCTGCTGCTGCTGCTTTTTTTTACATTTAATGTTTCAAATAATCGGTATTTTTATTTTGAATTTTTTTAGTATGCCAATACGCATCTCCTACTTTAGTTTGTATTTTCGTCGTTTCTTCGAGAGGGGCATCTTCCCCATGATTTCTGTAGCAGCTTAACTGAATATACGGTGTGTTGAATGGTTGGTGGTGGTCTCAGATCAACTTCTTCCTCTTGTTGCTCTTCCGCACCCTTTCTTGCTTGTTGTAATATGGCTTCCTCTGTCAAGTCTGCTGTTGTAGGCGAATCCTGATCTATCACTATAAAATCTTGCAACTCCTCACTTGTAAACGTAATTGTTGCTTGAAACTGTTTTATCCACTCGCTTAGTGACTGATCATCTCTTCTGTCTCGGTAATAAGTCCTACATGATGATAGGAGTGTTGAATTGTTTTTGCTGTCACCTCTTTCCAAGCTTTACTAATAAGCTAATATAATATATAATAAGTAAGTATATATAATAAGTAACTAGCATATTAATGGAAAATTTCAATTAAACTCTTAAGACTTTTTATTGCGCTCTGCTTCATCAGCTCTAATACACCTGTTGTTTCGGCTGGAAGAAATGCCAATTTAATATTCCCTATATTTGGAATATGGGGATGTGCAGGGTAGTTATCTAAGAGAAGTAATATTTTCCTCCCCTTCGATTCTGCATCCCATTTCCGTATCTGCTCTTCAAAAATTTGCGATGTCATCCATGCAGACTTGTTTTGCTTGTAAGTCACCGTTCTTAAAACATCGTGGGTTAGTTGATTTTCCAACCACGACTAGCTTTCTTTTTTCTCTCCGACTCGTATTGGCAGCTATTAACACTGTTATACGTTCTTTAGCAAGTTTTCCACTCACATACTTTTCACTTCGAAATTTAAGAGTTTTATATGGCGTCATTTTGTAAAAAATACCAGTTTCGTTAGCAGGGTACTTTTCTGCTAGTTTTGGCCACGTCTTCTGCGGTCAATCGTTAGTGACGTTTCTGTCTACATCACGAGCTTCGTCACTTATCTCTTCCCCAACCATCCTTCCGAAGCCTTGAAATCGATAATGCCAAGCTGTTCAGCAAACTTTTCTGCTTTTAGTTTTACGATAGGTCCAGAGAGTGGTACATGTTTAAGACGTTCCAACAGGAACCACTGCAACATTGCCCGATCCAAGTCTTCAAATGTTGGCTTCCTTAGTTTTTAACTAGAACTGCCTGCCGCTTCAGCCTGAATGAATTTTTCTTTGCACTTCCAAATCACTTTTCTTTTCTCATGGTCGCTTTCTTATATCTATGAACAGACCATACCTGATGTGCCCTATTTTCTTTCGTTATAGAGAGAAATTCGTTATACAGAGTGGATTAATACATTGCTTTGTATGGAGACCTTATAGTACAACAAATTTTGTTCGTAATACAGGGTTTTCCGTTATACGGAATTTCGCTATGGGGAGTTTTCACTGTATATCGTGAAATATGAGGATTTTGGATATTTTTGACTCTATCTGTGAGGTTTTGTCAGAGCAAATGGATTAGTCGGGCAAAAAACAAAATGATTGAGATATCCGATAGCGGGGGGAGTGAAACGCGCCGCCACTAGTCCACCGCAACTCAATAAAATCAACCCCCCACTCTGGCGGTGACGGGCGGCGAAATCCGTCCTCTCGGTGTATGCAAATTCCCGTTCCCCTTAAATTATTTCAAAGTAGACTCGGGCGATTTGCGAAAGCCTTTTATAATGGAAAAAGTGGGTTTCGCTGTAAAGTGTGCGACGTGTACCTATCTCTCCCGCATTCGCACACGGGGGGCCGCCTCTTATCTCATTCTCTTGTCTCTTTTATTTGGGCACCGAAACGCGCGAGACAATCTTCGACGTGTGACGCGATGATTTATCTACCCCTTTGGAAAAGCGCTCCCCTGCACTCCCCTCGTCAATCGAATCAAATTTTCCATATTTTTATTAGGATAATTAGTGCGTTCCCTTCGCCCTCTTCCCAGGTAAAAATGGCGTTCGACCGTGACGTGACACACACACACATGCCGGAAGCAAGGTCGGTCATGCGGCACAACACTGAAACGCAATATTGTACGTAGGGGGCTCGCGCCCCCTCGCAAAGGTCGTGGGGCTTTTTTTCTTAGTCGATGCCTTCGCCGTCTCGAGGTAATAACGGCGGTCGAGGGGACTGCCTCCCCCCGCCCACTCGACGATGAACCCCCGGCAGGTGTTGAAAATCGACTCGTTTAAATGCGAATTATCTTTTAAGAACCGACACAATGGAGGCACTTGTGCGAAATGCAATTTTCAGAGAGACGATCCCCGATGATGCCGGGCGACGTCTAAGCGGCTTAACTTTCGCACAGGACCGTACTTAGCGACGCCCGCGATAAAGCGATAAATTCATACGATGTTTTTTTTTCAAAGAAACTACTGTGATACTTTTTATAAAACTTCTGGATGCTTCCTGCGTCGGTTTTTGTTGAGCCGAACATGCCAACGTTTCGGCAATCATCCTCTTGGAAACTCAAGCTCAGTCAAGCTCTAAAGAAGTATTCATATGATGTGTTTATTTAATTGGCAATGAGTTGGAGATGAATGTAGTTCCGGAAACGGAGGTTTTCGCAATTCTTTTTGCTACATGCGCTATGGTAATATCGTTTGGCTTTTCATGGCACTTATCGAAATAACTTACGTACTTCTCTGAGCTATACGTTGCGATGGTCTTTGCGGATCTTCAATGGTTTGCCTTGTTATTTTCGAAAAATCTATGAAATCGATTCTCTTCGAAAGTATACGCGCTCCTCACGAAATTCGAGATCTCGATGAAAACGTTTTTTTTTCTGTCCTTTCTCCGTTCTCCGTTTCAGGATTTTCGACGATAACTTCCGAACGGTTTCAGCTACACGCCTCAATTTTGCTCCTTTTTAACCGTCCACGGGGTCCATAAGATGTAAAAATTTCTGCGTTCAAGCTTCGGCGTCCATCTTTTTTTTTTTTCGATTTTCGACTGTTTTTTGGACGTTGCCATGTAACACGAAAACTGTTTATGGAACGGAAAAAAATCTTGAACGAGAACACGCAGAAGATTTGGCTACATAAATTTTTATTCTTGAAAATTTTTCAAAGATGTACAGGGTGCACCTCAAATTAAAAAAAAATTAAAAATGGGTCCCCCTATTATTGAAAATTGGCCATAACAAAAGGACTGTGTTTCAGATATCAGTTTCTTTTACATGGCAATAAAGCTCGCATACACAGCCAAAACTTTTGTATTTAAGATTTTCACCGATTGTACTTAATATTCGCACTAAATTTGCAGCTACCGACTTCAGATTTGGCAGAGAAGTAGAAGTTCAGACCCACATTTAAACTATTAAAGTCAAGCGAAATTAAGTACCGCAAAGTATTTTTTTTTAATTTTTGGATTTTTTTTTGGTAATTTTGATTTCCAGAAAAACATGTTTTTCTCCATAGCTATCCACCCGATCGGCAAAATTCTTTATCGCGCAGACGCGGAGGATCCAGTGCTATAACATTAATTCAAGCATTTTTTCGTTTATATACAGGGTTTTTAAATTATTAGCAAAAAACTAAAAGACCGAAAGTTGTTCTTTTCAGGAGTAAATTATTAACCAACCGCGAATCAAAAATCGTAAAAAATATGGTCATATGGTTCAAACAGTGTCAATGTCAATTTTTGTAGTTGTGGAAAAAATCCATATGGAAATCACTATACCTCGGGTTCAGTCAAGACGCGATGACGTCATTGATTATGATTTTCTCTAAAAGCATTTACTATTTTGGAAAAATTCTTGTACCAGGAAACGTGAGAGATCCAGCGCTATAACCTCCATTTCCGGAATTTTTTGAAATATGTACAGGGTGTGTCGATTATGGGTAAAAAACTCTAAAAATCCCTGAAAATTGCCATTTCCGTGGATTAGCCGTGAATGAAAAACTACAAAACATGTGATAATTTGGTTTACACAGTCTCGAAAATTGTGTC